TTGCCTCTCTTGTCACCTTTGGCAGTGACCTTTTTATGCGGAGGCTCGTCTTTAGCTGCCTCAGAACCTCGCTTCACAGCATATGGCCCCATCCCAGGTTTTTCGTCAGCAACGGGTTCTTGAATAGTCACATATTCATGTCGTTGGCGAACAGGCTCGAGGCCAAATACCCTGTTGTTCCACATCTTGCGAAGCGAGCTGCGCAGAGTAATCATGTTTGCAGGGGATTCCAGTAAATCGAAATCACCAGGTGCAGTCTTTTCGCCTTCCGAAGCCTTCTGATTCAGGATTTCCATCAGTTTGTGCTTGAGATCTATGCCTAGAATGGCCCCGAGTGGTTCGACGACGTTGGCCTGGATTTCCGAGCGTCGCGAAAGGGAGGAGAATGGGAACACATGGCAATCCTCGCTGCTACTCTTGTGGGTAAGAACACATCGGAAACCGTCTCGTCTTAGGGCCTTTGAGCAGGTTAGCATAGGGATCAAAAATGACAGAATCATAGAAACTACATGCCTCCTCCCTCTGCGAATTGCTGCGCACCAAATCTAGCTCTCTTGTTGACCTATCCGTCTGACTCACTGCAAGATGTCAGTCATGCGAAGAGCGTGCGACCGGTGATGTCGATAGACTCACTCCACCATATCACTTCGCCCACGTTGCGGACAGCCATCAGGAAAGCGCTGAGCCTGTCTTCTTTCTCTTTCGCAGCCCCAGTGCGCATAGAAGATTGGAATGCGACGAGTTCGTTTCAACCCATGGTCAACAATACCGCCCAGCAATTCGCGGATGTGACCGTCTTCTTATTATGAGTCCAGAACAACGTTCTTTCGAGGTCCTTGTCATGGTGAATAGTGTGCTGGAAGGTCCTCATCACCTCGCGTCTTTGCTCCAGGGCAATTTTACCGTCGTCTAGATAATCAATGTGACCGCCCATGCTTCGAAAACAGTTCCGGAAACAGTCGATATGGTCGTTGTCTTTGCTGCGGCAGGTTGGTGTTGATTTTGTTGTCCCTCGTACGCGTGTCGGAGATCATAGTGATGAAATTTCCGAAACCAATAAAAGTGTTATGCCACATAAATACCTTGAAGGCCCTACCTTGAAATGACCTCTCTGATATGCAAACACCCTGCAAGTCCAGCCTGAAGGTTCAAAGTCAAGCTTAGGCGTTAGAATATCCAGTTTTCGCTGCCGTCGTTGCCGTCGCTATCGTCATCATTGTCATCGTCGTCAATGTGGCTGCTGTCCCACGTATTCACTGTCCGCCCGAATAGCAGGGCTCCTGCCAAAGCAGCTCTCCTTCCTGCTATCAAGATTATTTTGCTAATCTACTGTGATCTCATATCTCAATTGAGTAAGGCGAGGTTATGTGGAGCGTTTCTGCTGTCGAACCGCTCGTGCTGCAGCCTCGAGATCGTCTCCGACGATATGGTCCCAGGCATTGAGCCGCACCTCCCAGACCTCTTTCCCCCCTAAACTTACGACAGATATATGATCTACTAGACTTTCATATCGCTCTGTAGTTAATTAGCACACAAACACGCTTCCCACCTTTCGGTACCACTTTCATTAGAAATAAGGTTGTTGGCGCATGATGCTTTCCGTTCGTGCTGTAGCAAAGTTTTGCTTGCAATTCAACCAAGAAGAATCATCAACACTTTTAAAAGACGACGTTTGCCAGAAAAGATGTTCTTGATCTGTAGTTGCCTGTGATATCCAGCGCTGATAGGACCAGGTGCTGCCTAAGACTCAACATGAGTGAAGTTGGGATAGAAGACTCTGTGATGGATGGGGGTTGATTATAGGTCTTAGTAAAGGTCATAGTCGTAAGCCATGGCTGGCTTGAATAATTACAGGATGAAGTTGTTGTTGAAACACTTGCTTTTCCTATGAAGGCTGCGAGGCACCACCGACGGGTTTACATACATACCCATCTTACGTGGAAGTGTGGGTGAAGCCATGGAGGATAGATGTCTGAGAGCTACGTGCGCCTGCTTCTGAACTTTGTCACCAGCAGCATCACGATGAAAGTCAGTCTGCACTTGATAGGCTTAGGACTGGGCAATACCTGTTGAAATTACCAATTGTCCTCGTCATCTGTCAGTCCGCATCAGCCGTAATAATCGTCATCGGAAAAGGATGCATAGACAGTCTAAATACTGCAGGTAATTCGTTGCCCAGCTCTCGCCTATTCTAGTATGATTTCCTCAACTGTATTAAAAAGGTCCTCAACATCATCTGTACTCCAATTAATTTTCAAAAGCCCATATCGTTGGTAAAGTGTCCCCCCCTGTCTCCGCACTAGTAGCCCAATGTACCAGTACCAGTCGTCGTGATCCGCATTCAAGCCTAGGGTTAACCATAGTATATCAATGCCTTCGTCTAAACCCGTTAGAAATGAGTCGTACAGTGTATCATCTTGATTGGAGCGCTGAGCATCCAAACTACCATGAGCTTGGCCATTAATCCTCTTCCCTCGCCGATCCTTAGTAGAGACGATGAGTTGATTGTTTATTCTTTGCAGAGAGAACGCAATCAATGGAGCTCTGATGTACAGTCTAGAATCAATGCCTTCCGTCAAGGACATATTTCCGGGATGCACAGGGAACAGTGGTGGCCGCTGTGGGTGGTCGTCACGGACGAGCCCAACATCTTCGAGTTCATGAAAGTAGACCGGGCAATTTGAGGCCCAGCTCCAGGTGGGAAACTGGGTCCCGACATGCTTTGGAGCTCGTATCCTCAGGTCGAGATTGTCGACTTCCATCAGGTCATCACCCACATAGGACCATGCAAGTCCTTGTGCGATGCTACTTCGAAACACGCCATGAAAATATTCAGCCCCACACCGTTGAACTAGTAGACTCGCAATCCCATGGATGGCGTACAGGCGGTCGCGTTCGTACGAAAGTTGCTTCGAGGAATATGCCTCAATTAGCTGATACCAACCAGTGTAGGCGAGTATTTCGTCATCGGGTACTGCTAGAACTTGTCGGGGCTCGTTCGAATATCGGATTAGTTTCTGAAGCCCGCCTTCGATGAAATTCGAGCTTTGACATTCTAGATAAAGACCATTCAAAGTCCAGTGTAATATACGCCGAGAAAGCATCAGTTCCTGGAGGTACCATCCGCGTTCCATTAGCGGTGATGCCGAGAGCGCTTTCTTCAGATACATTTCGAATTCTTCCCCCCTCAAAAGCACTGATTGCGACGTTATGCTGGATGATAACTTCGAAGCGATGCGTGGGACAGGAAATCTACCCAGTGGTCGTTCAGTAAGAAAGCCTTCTGAGCTATCGCGCGCAAGAGACGCTGCTATGCAACATTCTGCGTTGACATAGTATTCCCTCATCCTCATGGCCTCTAGTTCGAAGTCTCCAGGATCGTCCTCCGTGGCTTGAATAATGCACATTGCATCAACCCAAAGGTATCGAAAGCCCATCATTCGTGTCAATATGATGGCATCCCTTATGGTTTTAGGTAGCGTTGTCGTGGAGAATCTACACAAACGGCTCTCCAGATTATCTCGGGTCGTTTTGGCGCTCTCGTTACTCTGGCCCCAGCAGTAACTGAGAATCAAATACGGATTTGTCACCGACTTATGGCCCGTTTCGATAAGTCGGATTAAATCATCCTCACCTTCTCCGACGTCAATCAGTCGTGCTGGGAAGATTCTGGAATCACCCGAAGGTCCACAGTGGCTATGATCTTCTTGTTGCTCATGGCAATTCTTCATCCACGGTAGGATTTGGTTGTTGACTAGTTCTCCCAAGTCATCGAATATAGTCCCCGGAGAGAAACCTGTCAGACATCTTAATGAGTGTATCAAGTTGCCATGGCGCCTCCTTCACTTACGTTTTACTTGCCGTTCCTCTAATATTTCCGACCCTTTCCACTGGTCGGCTTCCAAGGGGATGAAGTTGATGCAACTCCAGGAATCAACTGACATGCCTTCCACTCTCAACGAAATGTAAAAGCTACCTCCGTGTCTAACACCAACATCTATTGAGAGTGATGCGTCAAAAAGGAACCGTACGGTCTGCCTTTTTGCAACTTCTTGGCTATTGATAATGCAACACCAGAAGAGTTGACAAAGAGTACAACCTGCAGCGGCGGATTCTTCAAGTAGAAGAAAAGTTTTGTCGGGCGGGTCTGGCTTGTAATCCGGCCCGTCAGCAATTGGGAGTTGCGGCCATTGGAAAAGCTGGCATGAAGTGCATAACTGCACAGTGCCAAAGAAAGTGGCTGTAGTGGACATAGTATCTCTGTGTTTTGAGGAAATGTCGTCGAGAAGATAGGCTGGGCGGAATGAGGAGTGGTGAGCGAGCAGCCTGGGCTGCTTACATGCAAGTCGCCACATATAACATAGACGCGAGACCTCGCATCCCCACCTGCAACGTGCGTTGTCAGCAATGCCAAATTCGCTACCCATTTCTTCTCATTTGGGGCCATGGGATGACACATTCGATCATTTTACTGGATAAAGATATTGGTTCTTGGATTCGGTGCTGTAGGAAAGGTACTGTGCAGAAGCTGCGACATTTATGCTCCAATCAGCTGTGTCATCGCAAAAGTTTTGTAATGTGGCTGCGGTTCTGACACACATATATGGTGGGCCCGAGTCCAAATCCCCCTCATTGCCCAGACTTTGGCTATTCGTGCGAATACTGATGGCAATCCGGATGGTGATCGACAAAACAACGACGACGATGATGATAGCGACGACAACGATAAGGACAACACGAAGGATACTGAAGAAGTCAAGAAAGCCCCATGATAACAGGGACGATCAACAGCTAGAATAGGCAGTAATAGGCCTAAGTAGAAAATCTGTTGCTCAATATCTTAGCATAATAACTCAAATGAGTTAGCCATATGTCAAGGTAACGGAAATGAGGCTGACGTTATTCACAGCCATAATCATAAAGAGTTCCATATATAAGTCCCTGTTTGTATTTGTCGGTGGAAGCCTGTCTTGCATGTCGACAGATTCGCTCCTGTTGGTTTATGTTTTGAACTCGACAGTGACGTTGACCCCGACAGGACGGCCCGTATCGACCAGCCTCGCCTTCAACTCCTTAGCCCTCTCCTCCTCACCGGCAACCTCACCGATCACCAGTCTCAGCTCTCTCAATACAGGCGGCCGGCATTCCAAAAACTCCATAATTTTCCATTCTAGGGTCTCCCATCTCGCCATCTCGGCATGACCGCCTTCACAGTTGAGGTCATCCCACTCATATTTCCACCACGAAGCCATCTCGTTTGTGATCGTTAGCACCTCGAGGCTTTCCGGCAAAACGTAGATTATATCAGCGGCGCCTTGCGTCTTCCAGCCAAGTAGAACGGGCAGAGAAATGATCAGGTGGGTCAGGCTGGTAAAATCCTCTAGCGAACCGATCGAACCGCGGATGCCCCAGGGTCCTGGCCCGCCACAATCGATGGCCGTTGACGACCACAAGGTCAACGACAGCGATAATTCCTTGAGTGACTCCTTTAGAGGCGCCAGAGCAGTTTTCAGGTTTGCCAAGTTGAGCCATCCTTTCGCGCAGTCGGCATCGATAGCGATATCGACTCGCAAGACTTCGAGAGTTGGGGAATTTCGAATGATTGTGGCAATGTTGTCTTCTATGAGTTGGCATCTCTTCAAGACCAAGCTCTTCAGTGTCGGTGCTGTAAGCGATGAAATCGGCTTAATCGGCTTTCCGCCGTCATCCACTCTGTGAAGCTCAAGCGTCTTGATCGAAGGCAGGCTGAAAAAAGGCAGGATGGATTCTGGGTAGATGCAGTATCCGAAATCCTTCGCAAGATCATCGTCGGGAACAGGTATGCTAAATTGGAGTGTTCCAAGGCTGTTGAGAACGGAGCTATTGTTGGAGGAGGATATGAGCTGCCCTAAGGTGCACAGGAATGGGTCTCTGGGAGGGCGAGCTTTGCCTCCGTCATCGTAACTGGCTCGGTCAAAGGTCTGTATCTCTAGGGTTGTCGCTGATGAAAGACGAGACACGACAGCAGCTATGGCATCTGGCAGTTGAAGCTCTCCAGTAGCTTCGTCCTGCATGTTGGCCAGCCATGATCCGAGGATAGCTCTTTCCTCCTCGTCAAATTTCTGGGTGCAAAATTCTCGTCCAAGGCATTGTGTGCTACGCGTGCCCCGCAGCGTCACACTTCGTATGTTGCTGATTTGCGCGGCATTTCGAACAATAAAGCGCATTTGACTGATGACTTTGGGTATTGAGCCATCATCACTCCAATCCCAGCAGAGCTCATCCTCAATATGTGTCGTCATTTTAGACCTCGTGGTACTTTGGTGTTTTCTTTGTGGTGATTGTGAATGCCCCACAACGAAGTTACTCAAGGGCGCAAGTGGACTCTTGCCGCAGCATTCAGCCCTGTATCCGTCATGTTGGGTAGAATCCCCTGTAAATTTAGTTGCCCACTGGCTACGGGATGCCATCAAACTTCACCCGCTCCATCTAAGGTAGGTCGGCCAAGTGCTGTCGGCTGGGTGGTCGAGCTTGCCAGACGCGGCCGTGCATTGAAGACCCCCCGAAAAGAATCCGGCAATAATTCCGTCCAAGAACATGGACATTCCGTCAACCCATCCCGATGCTCTCAGCCGCGCATAGCTGGTGTCAATACGCGCCAAACGAAGCCACTGTGGCGGGGAACACGGGCTAGTCCCGGATTCAAAGCAGGAACACGACTAATGCGAAAGATCATGGCGATGACATCCCAGAAGCCGAGGATTACGAGGCCCTCGTAACGTCGAAACCCCACGCCCATCTCCACGTGCATTGCCTACGTATCGCGCGCCGAACACGGCCATCCCGAACCAGCGAGGAATCCTTCGTCGCTGCTGCCATTCTTCATGAGTGGGCGATGCAAATCTGTAAGACTGTTGCGAAAGGGCGTCAGCCCCCGGCGGCGTTCCGGCAATGGCTGAAATCTCCGCCTTCGAGTGCCGTTTGCTGAGGGAAACGCCGCCGGGGTGGCTTGACACTCCTTTCAGACACCATCCTAGCCACACAGGATGTGATATAAACCTTTCACCAGGTCCTTCAAGCCTTGGATAGCGATGTCTCACTGGTGCAATTCGTCTTTCCAACATGTCTGATTCCAAGAAAACCATGAGCTCCGAGACGGACGAGTCGCTTTGCGACAGCCCCCCTCCTTATGAGCTTCACTCATCAGGCGCGCTTCTTTCTAGCGCTGCAGCCATATCTGGTAGGCTCATCGCTGCCATGTGGTGCTTCTTACTAACCATCAACCAGCCGATGGTCAGGTCAACATCAACTTCCAGTCTGAGTATCCTGAGAAGCTTGCGGAGGAGCTTCCACCCTTTCCAGATGACGCTGATGTCACTGCGCCGATATTCAACGATAAAAGGGTTCCTCCTCTCAATGTCGTGATTCAAGTGGTCGGCAGTCGTGGTGAGCAGAAGACATCTTTATCAATTGGAGACAATCGTGACTTACTTGCTGCAAATTAGGCGATGTCCAGCCCTTCATTGCTCTCGGCACAGCTCTTCGCAGATACGGCCATCGCGTACGGCTTGCAACCCACGATACCTTCGCCAAGTTTGTAACGGACTCTGGTCTAGAGTTCTTCCCCATTGGCGGCGATCCGGCAGACCTGATGTCGGTATGTAAAATCCTTACCATCTGCGGTGTTCATGACTGACCCCATCAAAGTACATGGTCCGCAACCCTGGATTGATCCCATCAATGGAATCACTAAAGGGCGGTGACGTCGGACGGAAGCGCGCCATGATGAGAGAGATGCTCCACGGATGTTGGCGGTCTTGCATCGAGCCTGACCCCATCAGCAAGGGGCCATTTGTCGCAGACGCCATCATCGCCAACCCTCCGAGCTTCGCCCACGTTCACTGCGCTCAAGCATTAGGCATACCCGTCCATATCATGTTCACCATGCCATGGACTGCCACCCGCGCTTTTCCGCACCCACTCGCCAACATTCAACGTGGCGACAACCTCGAGCCTCAGACAACCAATTGGCTTTCCTATGGAGTCGTCGAGTTGATGACATGGCAAGGTCTCGGCGACGTGATCAACTCCTGGAGACGCAAATACCTCGAGCTCGCACCGATACCAGCAAGTATGGGACCGGGCATCACCACCTTTCTGAAGATCCCGCACACCTACTGCTGGTCACCTGCCGTTGTATCCAAACCTGCCGACTGGGGCCCGGAAATCGATGTCTGCGGATTCTTCATGAGAGACGAGCCTTCGTTCAACCCGCCATCCGACCTAGACGCCTTCCTCGCATCAGGTCCCCCTCCCCTCTATGTAGGATTCGGCAGCATTGTAGTGGATGATCCCGCCCGACTGACAGACGTCATCATCGCAGCAGCAAAAGCTTGCAATATTCGCGTGGTCATCTCTCGGGGATGGAGCAAGCTAGGCGAGGGGAAGCCCAACACGAACGACGTCTTTTATTTGGGCGATTGCCCCCATGAGTGGCTGTTCAAGCGGGTGTCAGCAGTTGTTCACCATGGAGGAGCAGGGACAACGGCGTGCGGTCTCATCAACGCGAGGCCGACCACCATCGTGCCCTTCTTCGGAGACCAGCCATTTTGGGGTCGTGTAGTTGCCGGTGCCGGTGCCGGGCCTCTACCAATTCCTCAGAAGGAACTCAGTGTGGAACGCCTGACTGAGGCAATCCAGTTTTGTTTATCCCCAGCGGCGAATCAGGCTGTGAAGCAAGTAGCCGACATCATGCGACGAGAACGAGGTGTGGACACTGCCGTCGAGTCTTTCCATCGCAACATACCTGCCGCCAGCCTTCTTTGTGACATGCTGCCTGAACAGCCCGCCGCCTGGATGTACGAGGCAAAGAGCAAGTCAGGTCGCAAACACCTCAAGCTCTCAAACCAAGCCGCCACATATTTGATCGACGCGAAGAAGATCAAGTCTTCCGACTTGAAGCCTCTGCGGACGAAGGAGTACAACACCGACGTCACGCGATGGGACCCCATCACCGGCGGAGCTTCCTCCCTCCTCGGCACGGTGACTGATTTCACCGTCGCGTTAGGCGGCACTTTCATCGACCCATGGAAAGAGTATAAGCGCTCAAGAGCTTCTGGTCACGAGGCTGGACGGGCCAGTGGTTCAGCTGCCTTGGCTGCTGGGAAAGGATTCGCCTCTATGACGGGAGCCGTCGCCAAGGGTGGCCTCGTAGACATGCCACTTGCGCTCACAGAAGGTCTGCACAACGTTCCGAGGCTCCTCGGTGACAAGCCTCGTGACAATGGCAAGGTCGAAGACTGGAAGAGTGGAGGTGTCGTAGCCGCAAAGGTGAGTCAAGCTGTCGCCCAGAACCGATTTGGACCGCCTCTGACTTGATGACAGACTTTTGGAACAGGCTTCTACGACGGCATCACCGGTGTCTTCACTGACCCCTACAAAGGTGCAAAGGAGGGAGGGGCTCTCGGCCTGATGAAGGGTGTCGCCACAGGCTCCCTCGGTCTTTTTACCAAACCAGGCGCCGGTAAGTAAACAAAATTCGTCCCACCGTCGAATATGTCGGTCAGAGCTGACCCGTGATGACCAGGGATGTTCGGGCTGGTGGCATACCCGGCAAAGGGAATTCATAAATCCCTCAAGTCGAGGACGGGACGCGGGCATACGGTGTGGCAGGCAAAGTCTGAGCTTCTAGACCGTGACCGGCGGAAGCAGCGCGAGGATTCCCCCCGCGCCGGGAGCAAGGTCCTGCAGGTGTTCGATGCCTACTTTGCGCAATAAAGTCGCATGCGGAGTGTATCGTATGGGGCGGCCACTTAGACAATAGCATTACCAAGCGATTGGGTTTCTACTGCATGGATTTTCTAGCTTGCTTGGCGTATCTGAATGTACTTGGTGGTTCCATGCATATGAGAGACATTGGTATGGAACATGGCAGGTAGAAGATCAGTGAGAAGAAGGAGCCCTTAGTCGGATACAGGCTCAACTGGAAGCTCTCTGATGGCTCAATGCCTAACGATTTCCAACGAGAGTAAAAGGGCTCGGAAACAATATTGCGAATGGAACGCTTCTGGCTGACCGGTCGGAGGAGAACGCGACAGATACGTCAGGAACAGAGGACGAACCATCGCCCGATGGCCACCAACATGCGACCAACCACCTCACAACTGAAAGACAAGGCAAAAGCAAAGAAACAAGCACGAACCGATGCCAAAAGTCCGTCGGGTTGCAACGAGAAACAAACAGAAATAAAAACAAAAAGCGGGTTCTCCACCTCCGGCACCCCGGTCCCGAGAACCTTGATGTCCCGGGCTCGGGCGGGGTTTGAGAACCCGGAGGGCCGCCGCCGACTCAGCCTCCCATACTCAAAGACCACTTCCACCCTCACCACCCTCGAGCTCGAAGCCAACACGACTTTAGCACCTCTTGGCCGTGGGGTCCTTCGCCTTGGCTACCATCTGTTTTCTTCCCCATTGGCCAATGGGGACTACATCCCTCCAGCGTCAGTCATGATCGTGAGCTTGGCGTTGAGCTCGCCCGCTTTGCTTGGCAATCACCCGACAGCTCGACTAAGACGAAGGGCAGTCATGGCCGAGAATGAGCTTGAGAGGTAACTCCACATGGGCGAAATATTGGCACTTTGTCCATCGAAGAAACGAAAAAGCTTGCTTGTGAGCTCCGGAGGAGGGGCTCGTTGGGAGGGATACCGTGGCCTGGACGGCGGAAGATGGCTGGCGATGACTGCATACCCGCGGCGCATGTCGTTGCCCGATCAGCACATACGGCCGGGAGGGATCATGGCAGGATCAGCCTGGCAGAGCGGCCATGACGAACGACGACCGACGAACCCACGCGAGCAGCAAACCCCTCATGGGCAAACTGCTAGCTCGCGTCTTGGCTCGACATGTCGAAAGAATCCCCATTGGCGTCCCGAAGCTGCGGAACTACTCTCTCGACGAAGAAGAATTTTCCCTCGCAGCATCCCGCAGCTATAAAAGACTACCCGCATACCTCCCCATCACCAACTCTCGATGAAGCTCCAAGCTCAAGCTGTTTCCCAAGCTCCTAGCTCACCTCAACTACATCAGCCCTTTCAAGCTCCTTGAACCAACCTCACCAAACAAACCTTCAAGATGATGTACACAACCCTCACCGCAGCCATGCTGCTCCTCTCCAGCGCCTCGGCCTCTCCCCTCGCCGTCCGCCAGGAAACCACCACCACCACCACCCCCTCCGCCTCCGTGCCGACCCCGGCCGAGCCCTACTCCTGGTCCAAGGACTGGCAAAAGACCTTCCCCATCCACCAGTCCTGCAACGCCACCCTCCGCGCCCAGCTCGAGGTCGCCCTCGCCGAGACGCAGTCCCTCGCCGCCCACGCGCGCGACCACATCCTCCGCTTCGGCGACGCCTCCGAGCACGTCCGCAAGTACTTCGGCAACGCCTCCACCGCCGCCGCCGTCGGCTGGTACGAGCGCGTCGTCTCCGCCGACAAGTCCCCCATGACCTTCCGCTGCGACGACCCCGACCGCAACTGCGCCACCCAGTCCGGCTGGGCCGGCCACTGGCGCGGCGACAACGCCACCGAGGAGACCGTCATCTGCCCGCTCTCCTTCGAGATCCGCCGCCCGCTCTCCTCCGTCTGCGGCCTGGGCTACAACGTCGCCAACTCCAAGCTCAACACCTTCTGGGCGACTGATCTGCTCCACCGCGCCTTCCACGTGCCCACCGTCTCCCTCGGCCAGGTCGAGCACTACGCTGAGGACTACGCGGAGGTGCTTGACCTCGCCAAGAACAACGCCAGCCTGAGCGTGGTCGACAGCGACGCGCTCCAGTACTTCGCCATTGACGTCTGGGCCTACGACATCGCCGCTCCCGGCGTCGGATGCTCCGGTGAGCTCGAGGAGGAGCACGACCACGACACGCCTGCCCCTACCACCACCGCCGCCACGCCCGCCGCGACCACCTCCAGCGCTCCTCAGGAGTGCCACACCCACGCTGACGGCGTCGAGCACTGCACCTAAGCGTTAGAAGAAGAAAGCGGAAGATAGTTGAAGAGTGTGTTGAGTGACGAAGGAAGGAACGAGAGAAGTCCTTACATGCCGGAACGATACCACTGGATCCATGACATTAGACGAAATTTGGGAACATATGCCTTTCTGGAGGATGACCTGTTAATGACGAACATACTAGATATTCAACTTCAACCGATCGTAGTCATATGTTACTAAACTTATGACAGATTGGTCTGAGGTCTCCGTTAATGATTCAATTAGAGTAGCAATAATCGCATAGCTTGCTCGCAAACTTCGAGCAATCTCTACAGTTGAAACTTGCACAGATGCTGGCGGATGCCCTGATATATTCTGCCGTCGTGACTTCCCTGCTTCTCTTGCAATTTGCCCAAAACGCTACTGACTCTGATTTTGAGCCTACAGCCGAGACCAGTGAGTGTGCTACACCAGCCCGGCATACTAAACAAAACAAGCAAAATAAGTTGAAAGTTTCCTCGGTATCAAACATAACCTATATTATAGAGGAATAATTGTGTGCTGCACGAGATACAGCTTGGTCTAGGCTATGCTGCATCGGCCGGTCGAGGAAAATGCCAGCGCGGAGTGCACAAGGCGACTTAGAACGCTTATCATGGGCTGTTCACAGCTGCGAGAGCGGATATATCTTGCCCCAACACAGTACATACCCCGAAGCAACATCTATTGAGAAAAATAATTAGAGTTCCATGCAGAGAGTTAGCTGCAATGTGGAAGGCGGCTATTACCATATTGCGGGAAGAACACCAGAAAAGCCATAGAATGCAGGGTTTCAGAAAGACGCCGAGAGTCTTGCGGAAAGATTTGCCATGTCATGGTCAGGGTGATAGAAGAAAATTTTTAAATGTCCAATGGACCGGTCCAGTTGGGCTCATTCGGCCGGATCATGACTAGCACCCATTTCAAATCGGTACACAGAAGTTTCCCGCTCGCAGAGATGGGTCAATGCCTTAGTTATGCCATGCGATGTCGTGTTGTTCATGGTCAGAACCTACTGAGCAATCTCGTATCATTTCATCGAAAACTTGGAGATGTATTGCTTCTTACGAAGACTACGAAAGCGATCTTCATATTAGAAAATATGAAATTCTTGTATTTCCCAAGCGGTAAAATGAGGAAGACCTGAAGTAGCATACGTATTGTTATAATCGCAGATGCGGAAGTATCCCAGTCTCCGGTACTGGTTGTCATGGAATCTTTTCAACACAATACCTTCAAGTCTCGATTTCAGCGCGGGAAAATCTTTAGACTGAAAGTCTATAGCTATGAGTGTGACAGGCGTGTAGTTTGTATTCGGCTCTCGTGCGTCAAGCTGTAAATCGATGTCAGGTGTTCCACAGATGTCGTTATTGCCAGGCTTCCGGTATATCCATTGACTCATAGGGTGAGGCTGATTTCGGCTCTCACTTGCATTGTACTCATACTGCCACTCGATCTCCACTGCTGGCCCCGAAATTCGCAGCTGAGCGCTTCTCAACGCACCGAACGGTGCCTCCTCAGAGACAAGTTCATACTCAGCACTTACTACTGAGGCGAGACATCCCCAGTTACGACCTGAGAAGCGAACCCCGTCATTAATCGAGAGCCAAGACCAGGTTGGTCCTTGGTATTGAGACGGCCTTGGCGATGGGTGGGACTCAGTACACCGCCATAGAAGCGACCACGGCAGGCTATGGGCCCATAGGCCCGCGATATACTGCTGAAAACCGGGTAGCAAGGCCGAGAACCTCTCCGCTAGCCCAGATATGGCGAGGCTCCTGTCGGTTTTCACCGATAGACAACGATGCGTGTATTTTTGCACTAGGCTATTCCAGCTGGTGGTCATTTCCTCTGGTGTTGGTCTAGAAACCCTGAAATTCGGGTTCGACGAGACGAACATGACGGCGTCCAAGACATAGATATCTTTGAAGCCGAGGATTTCGTTCTTCCAACTGAGGTAGTTATCGAATGGATGTACTTCGTACCCGTTGTCTTTGGCAACTTTCCATCCATCGTTGTACTCATATGCTGCCTCGGGTCTTTGTTTCCGGCAAGTCCACTCTGTCCGCCAGGTACCGAAAGTGAGCGAGCGGCTACAAAGGACGGTCTCCTGCAACACCCACCCTCGTGTGTCCAGTCTAGTGCAATCATCATCTTTGACTGAGGACTTGAAATACAACGTAACCGATCCGATTTGCTTGTCTTGATCCTGAAAACGATGATCATGAAAACGAAGACTGCTAGATCCTGAAGGTAGAGATCTTGTGTGTAGAAAGCCATCGGTGGCTTTGTTCGCTCGTTTAGCCATGATAGTCAATGACGCGTGGCTGTACACCCAAGTCATCTGGCTGATCTGTGCAATCTTATCTGTTTCGTTGTTCTGAATGATGCAAAGTGAATCCACCCAGAGAAGTTGGATGCCAAGTATGTGCGTCGTTATTACGGCGTCCTGTAGCGTCTTTGGGAGAACACCCCATGGGATTTCGGTCTCGTACTGAGTCAAATTCTCCGTTTTAAGCATGCTTCCGTCTAAGCCAGCGCCCCAGCAATAACTCAAAGCTGCATATTCTATCCCCTCCAACGGTTCTTTGTAGACAAGTCTGAGTTGGAAATCTGGTCCGCGGGGGGTGATCTCAATAAGCCGTGTCGGTAGATATGCAGGCAAATCTATCGAGCAGATTTTGTGAGTGGAAGTTGAATGCTTAGAGCAGCCCTCAATCCACTGAAGGATGGAAGACACGGTTGATGGCGATAAAGGATCAGCTGACATCTGTTGTTTGACACCAGGAAGATGCTCGATAGGGCTTTCTTCGCCTCATGTTACTTGTGATGCACGGGTTGACGCCAGGGCACTCAGGTTACCTTACCTTGATCTTCCACAAGATAGCAGGTGGCGTCGCGGGCTTCTAAGGCTTCCGTGGCGCACACATAACGATGTACTACATCGGAATCGGCGTTTTGCTTGCTGAATTGAGGTACGCGATTTACTCGGATGAGACTGCAAAAGTTAATTTTGCCGCAACCCAACTTTGCATATAGCTGTATGTCATTCGCGTCCATCCCTTCGTGAAGCTGTTTACCGAGGTCGCGTAGAAGACATCTCGCAAAGTCGCACCCGTCTCTGGATGCGTCCGTAAGGTCTTGATAGGAGACATCCAGACGAGTCAGGTCTATGTTATGGAACCTGAGGCCGTGTAGCGACGCGTCCCAAGAGCTACTAAAGCTTAGCTCTTTTGAGCAACCAGTGCGTAAGACGATCTTCTGACAATGACTGCAAGAATGAGCCCTCACATAATGATCCTCTTGACATTTAACCGTAGTGACATCCATTATTGAGCCTTGAAGTAAATTAGATAAGACGTTGCTAGTGGTGCAATCTTTTTGAACAATGATTCGAACTGTGGATGCTACTTAAAGTGGCAACTGAGATAGAATAGGCCTGGGACACGAAGGGAACGAAATGTTTGGAAATGGGCGGCTAGATAGGCTTACAAGCCTGTGTCCTCTCGACGTCGCCACCCCCGCCCAAAGTGCAATGCGCGGGACTTTCTTCCATATCCTGTCTGCGGCGAAACCGTTGGCAGGTCTGCATTGATGTGCAAGCGTGACCTCCTCGGCCAAGATGACTGGCCAATTCAAAAGTTGGCGAACCAGTCCGCAAATACAAATGCAATCCGTCAGGAATAACAGCCAAGTGTTCGTCCTGTCTGGCAATGAAGTGGCTGATAGAAAGAGCCGAGCACGAGAGGAGACTGGAGTGCGTTGCTGGCAGACATCACCGCGAAGCTTCTCCGCCCGCTTTGGAGCAGACCATGCCGATGACACCTAATAACAGTACCGTAGATTGTACCACGCTGAGATGGGATAGAGGAACGCCTTCATTATTGATACCAATCAATAATAGCAGTGGCATATTTACTGTCAAAGAAACAGACCCTTTGCTTTCCATTGTCTTCTGTAAATGCCTCGTTTAAACCAACATAACCCGAACGATTCCCCGCCGTTATTGAACCCTTTCTTGAACCAACACACTCCTGCACGCCTCTGTCGAGCCAAGTCAAGCGCGTCCGCACTGCCTGTGTATGCTTTTGTGTCATGACATGAAACCAATCATTATCTTGAATGCCAGTGCTCCAACAACTCTCTACGCTATGCAAACATTTTACTCAGCAACCAGGCCTTCCAAAACATTCATAGCCTTGGTGCCCTCGTTCTCAAACTTGCTGACCATCGCCTCGCACTCCTGACGCAGCCTCTCCTCGGCCTGGTTCGCGTTGAAGTGGATCCACTCCTCGACCGTCATTCGCTGCTCAGGGCTGGTTAGCTCCATGCCCTTGTGCAGCAGCCTGTCAACAGCATTCCTCTTGTCCGACTTCTCGGGCGACCCAAAGATGAGGTCAATATCGACCGGGTTCCAAGGCGTTGTGCTTCGGAGACTAGCTAGAACCTTGCGCTTAGTCGGTGAGTTGGGGCGCGCCGGCGTGGATGAGGGTGCTTGCATCACGCGCTTCTTTGCGGTAGCAGATCTTGAGGAAGGCGGCTGATTCTCTGCGTCGGAGGATTGAGGGGATGGTGAGGGAGACACAGCTGGTTGACGAGCTGACTGAGCAGGTGAAATACGCGGGGCCGCTGTTTGTTGCTGAAGGCTGCGACGTGTCGAGGGAGCAGCAGCCACTGGGGAAGAGGATGCAGGTGGAAGGCTCTTCTTCTTCGGCTGCTGCTTGGGTTGAGGTGTTGGCTCGGGGGCTTCTGACTCTGGCTCCTCCTCTTCCTCTTCCTCTTGTTCCTCCTCCTCCCTTTCAACTTGGGGCTCATCTTCATCCTCTGCCTCATCTTCTTGCGGTTCAGCTGGCGCTGGTGTCTGGCGCGCTGACGCAAATGATTGCCTTACGGAGACCTCATCAACCTCGTCCGCCTCCTCTTCGTCCTGCTCAGGCACTTCCTCTGCCTCAACTTCAGCCTCGGGTCCCACTTCGGCCTCAGACTCGACCTCAGGTTCGGGCCCGACGACTTCTTCAGGCTCGACTTCAGGCTCAGCAACTGGCTCTGGCCCAGCCTCAGGCTCAGCCTCAGGCTCAGCGATCTCTGGCTCGACCATATCAACCTCTTCTGTCTTGCTAGCCTCGAGGGAAGCACGCAATTCAAGCGACTTCTTGGACGGGCGGCCGCGCTTCCTGCCGGTGCTGCCGGTGCTCGTGCGGCTGCTGGTGCTCATGCGGGCGTTCTTGGTAGTCGTCGTGATGACGGTAGCAGTACTGATCTCGTCCTCCTCTGGGTCAACAGGCTCTTCAGGCTGGGCTGGCTCGACTGGCGCTTCTGGTTCGACCGCCATGGACAGCTCGTCTTCCTCGACAGGAACTGGCGCAGCCTTGGCCTTCTGAACCTTGGTCTGCTTCGAGACCTTGCGAGGGCCAGCTGCCTTTCGTCCCTTCTTGGGAACCTCGAGGACTTCGGGCTCGTCGATGGTCATCTCGGCCTCGAGCTGCTTCAACTCCTCGTCGACGGCTGCTTCGTCGGCCACGTACGGCTCGGCATCGAACATTTGGCTGTCTGCCCGCTCTGGGCTGGCCGCTTCATCTTGGGGCACATGGGCCTTCTTCGTCTTTGGCTTCGGAGCAGGAACCTTTTGCCTTTCGGAATCAGAGTCTTGCATGATGTCCTCGTCATCAGTCAAGGGACGCTCCAAGTCCGCCTCGAGTTGTCGTTGAATGTCATCATCTTCTTCGGGAAAAGCACCGGGCGCAGCTCTTAATGAGGCAGTGGAAGCCGTTGACTTGAGCGACTGTCCCGAAGCCTTTCGCGTTCCCTTTGTACCAGAAGCACGAGCGGTCTTGCGGCCCTTGGGTGCCTTGGCAGGTGCCGGCGCATCAGCAATACTAATGTCTTGTTGCGACTGGTCAATGACGGAGCTGTCTGCAGCAGCCTTGCGACCACGCGGCGCGCGCTTTTTCGGTGCGGGTGCCTCGGAGACGGTCATCGCAGATTCGTCGGCTTCGTCGCTTGTGCGCTTGCGACCTCGCACGGGCTTGGGAGGTGGTGCTGGCTCCTCAGCCTCCATAGGCTCGCTCTCTACAACCTCGACAGGCTCATCCTTCTTCGCCTTGGTCTTCCTGCCCTTCGCCGTCGTCGTGGCCTTCTTGGCCCTCGATCCCTTCTTGCCAGGCATCGAGGCGGTCGTCAAAACGCTGTCGTCCACCTCGGCGGGGGCGTCGGTAAGGGTGGTGATGTCTGATGCCGCTGTCGCTACGGATTGAACGGACAATCGTGCCGCGGTTTTGGAGCCTCTAGCTGCCTTGGCCTTTGGCTTCTTGGTTGCGCCGTACTGTTCCACGAGGGCAAAAAATGGGCATTCCGGTGATCGGTTGCTGTGCTCGTCCCTGGGGATGTCAGCTAGGTCCACAAAGGGAGGAGGCAAGACACTAACCAAGGCTTGTCACCCTGTTCCCACCCGTCTAATGCCAGGTCGCAGTAGGTACACGTCGCCATGTCATCGTATTCCAGGGAAGGGGTGTACTTCCATCCGGCCTCCGCAAGCTGTGAATGGTCAGCGCAGGAATCAAGATGCAGGTGGAACGCGACTGACCTGCTTAGTCTTGCACTTCCAGCCTCTCTTGCCATCATGCGGCCAGCGCCCACCGAAAGTCTCCTTCCTCGCGTTGATCATGCGGGCGCTGGAAGGGTCCTCCGACGCGAGGTCGCCCACGTTTGCCTCAATGCCGGCAACAATAGCCCACCCACAGTTGGGAGCGTGCTTAATGTGCTCCTCCAGGGCATTGTCGCCTTCTTCCCACCCATCGAGAGACTTATTGCACAAAAAGCACGCGACATTATCTGGGTTCTCGGGGAACGGACGCCACACAAAACCTGCTTTCGCGAGCTGGTCCAAGTTAGCGCGCGTGTTCCTTCTCGATATCTTCTCCTGAATTCAAACGTACGTCCTCGGGCAAAAGGTATTTCGCGTGCGGCCATGTCAGGTTCTTCGATGCGCCCTTTCCAGCGCCAGATGCGCGTCGTTTCGGTTGGGGGAAGGATTGTTTGAAGGAGGCAAGACGGCCTTCGAATGTGAAAAATTCGGCGGGGACCAAGCCTTCGAAAGACATGGCGGATGTGATTTGGTATGGTATGTCGGGTACGGGCTGAAGTTGGTGAAGGTATGAATGTCGCGATCAGGGACGCGAAGCGTTTGCGAAGGGGTGAAGGGGGGCGGCGCGTCGATCGCAGAAAGCAAATGTTAATCGCAGCAAAAATGCATTAGGGCCGTGTAGGTTCGAGTGTAAATCGCGTCGGCCGTGGAAGAGAATAGCAATGCTGGAGCTGCGAAGGTTAGTAGCGAGTTGTTGTTGAATTGGTGTGGGAAAGCTGAATGACGGCGTCGGCCGTGATAAAAGCGAGGGACGGGAGTGTGCCGGGCGTGGGCTGGATCGGCAGAGCCCCAATTGCATTGGCTACATCTGTCGCGTTTGTTTACATTCAGCTTCTGCTGTTCCCGTTGCTAGCGGCAGGAGTGTGGTGGGTCCGGCGGGGTGTGGCTGACGGATGCATGACATGAACCCTTGCGGGACATTCAAGTTGGAAGTGGCTGGAGCTCATGGCTATTGTGGCTCAACTATCGATAGTGTCCCATCACTTCCCGCAAGCAGCAGACTGAACTGCACGGACTTTTAACAGTGTTATTCGGGGCTGTTTCCCCGTCATCTTATGATGACCAATGCTAAAGATACAATTACGACACTGCTTGCTTCAACATGAATCAGCATTTACTGGGGAATGCCCAGCTCCTTGTAGAAGGCCTCAGTGCTAGGTTTGCGGCCAAGGAACTGCTCCAAGGTCAACATCTCCTCCTGACTACCGCCCTTCTCCAGAACGGTGTGCCTGTAACGACGGCCCTCCTTGCCGTTCATGGGGTCGGCCTTGAATACAGAGTAGAACATGTCGGTCGAGTACACCTCAGATGAGAGGTAGCCGTAGTAGCCGGCATCGTATCCTCCAATAAGATGACCGAAGCAGGCTTGTCCGTTGCCCCAGTTGCTGTGATGGTTAGCATCAAAACTCGTTGGGCCTGACATAAGGGGTACAACATACTTCTTCTCGCCCTGAGCTTCGGGGCCCTTGATTCCAGCAATCTGGCCGCGAAGCTCGTTGTAGACCTCCGACATTTCCATGTTCTTAATCTCCTCGTGGCTCTTGGGGGTGTGGACAGTCATGTCGAAGATGCCGAAGTGAAGCTGGCGCAGGTTGAAGAGCGCAGCGTTGACATGCTTAGTGGAGATCTGCTTCTCAATAAGATCGTCGGGGATCTTCTCGCCGGTCTGGTAGTGGTTGGAGAGAGACTTGATGACGCTAGGAGTCCAGCACCAGTTCTCCAACATCTGGGACGGCGCCTCGACGAAATCCCTCACAGTGCTTGTTCCGTGGAAACGGCTGTAAGTGCAGCGGCCAGCGAGGTCGTGAATGCCATGACCCAGCTCGTGGAAGAGCGTAACGACCTCGTCGTGCTTGAGCAGAGAAGGCTTCTTCGGGGTAGGCTTGCTGAAGTTGCAGACCAGAGCAGTTGCGGGGTACCTGCGAGAGCCGTTCGCTTGCAGGTAGCCAGGCTGCAGGTTGAAGTTGGCAGCGTGGCCATACTTGCCCTGACGCGGGTGGAGGTCAAGGTAGAGGTAGCCAACAAAGCCATCGCCCTCAGAAGCATCGTCCCAGACGCTGAAGATGATGACGTCCTCGTGCCAAGCAATATCATCGGCCTTGCCAGTAGGGCTCAATGTAGCACGATCCTCGGGCTTGAGCTCCACAAAGACGAAACCCAGAAGCTCCTCGAAGATCTTGAGCATACCAGCAATGGTAGAGGTAATGGGGAAGTACTCGGCAATCTTGTTCTCGTCGATACTATACTCCTTCTCGATCATCAATCGGTCGTAGAACTTGTGATCCCAGAGGTAGTAGTTGCCGTCGTTTGACACGCCACGAGCCTCGGTATCCGCCTTCTTGAGCTCGAGCAAGTGCTCAACCTCCTTGGCACCGCCAGCGGCGAGGCGAGAGCGGAGGTCACCCAGGAAATCTGTGACGGTCTTGGAGGTCTTGGCCATCTTGTCCTCAATACGGAGGGAGGCGTGGTCGGGGTAGCCGAGCATACGAGCAGCCTCGTCGCGAAGGACGATGGCCTCCTTGAACAGCGGAGCATTCTGGTTGCATTTGTTCTCGTTTTGAATAAAAACCTTGCGTCTCGTCTCGGGGTTCGTCGCGAACTTGAGGGTGGGGAAGAGGTCGGGGTACTTATAAGACAGCTTGAGCTTGCCCTCGTTGTCGCCGGTGCCCTTCTCAAGGCCTTCAATGACGTCCTCGGAAACTCCGTCGAGCTCTTCGGGGGTGAACCAGATGCCGCCGTTCTCCTCATTGAGGTTCTTCTGGAACTCGATCTGGATCTGACTAAGACGCTTCTTGATCTCCTTGAAGCGGTCTCGCTGAGGGCCAGCAGGCAGACCCAGTCCCATCTTGATGTAGTTCTTGTAGTCCTTCTCGAGCAAACGCAAGCTCTCGGGGTCAAGCCCCTCGGCGTCCTTGCGGTTGTGAATGGCCTCAATCAGCTTGAAGACATCCTCCCTCATGTTCACCTCGATGGAGAAGTCGTCCATGATCTTGTCGGCCTCGGTGGACGCCTCGCGCAGGGCAGCATCTCCAGAGACGTACTGGTAGAAGCCGAGTATTCTAGTCGACAAGCCACTCTCGTTCTCGTCCTTGGCGATGGGGCGCATGACATTGTCGAAGGTGGCCTTCTCGGCGGGGATCTCGGCGACGAGCTTGTCGAGGAGGGCTCGGGTCTGGTCGCAGATCTTCTTGGAATCGCCGACGATGGACTCCTTGGTGCCGGTGAAGACGGGTGGTGCCTGGGGCGGCGACTTGTACTTGTCGGGAACCGTCATGGCGGCGGTCACCAACGGGCGGTATGTGGAGGTGGGAGTGGCGACGAGGGGATTCGGTTTGAACCGCAACTGGGCGAAGAGAGAAGTGATTCTCGGAACTGCTCGCGGGGCCGCCAGGATGAGAGATGTTACGAGGAAGAAGAGGGAGAAGGAGAGTATGAGGAGGGGTAGGCGCTTGAAGTTGAAGAAAGCGAAGGACGCCACGGCGACTGGGCGAAACACGGTTCGATCAGTCGGTCTAGAGTCGGAGCGGGGGAGGGGAAGCAGGAGCACCAGGTGAGGCGGTGGTCACTGATACAGGGTCGGTTGGATGCGGTGGTTGCTAGCTGGCTGAGGCGGTTATGCTGGTGGTGGTCAGGTAAGGTACAGCAGGCGAAGTAGAGTTCGAGTAAGGCAGGCGCGGGTAGTTACGCAAAGCAGTGGACTGAGGTGGTGACTTGCAGGAGCTCAGGCGGGGACGATGTCTAAGTGGAAGGTGGCTAGTGGTTGATGGCGGGACGTCGTCTGCCAGCGACTGAGGTGCTGCGTCCAGTCCAAGCTCCCGGCGCTGCGACATCCGCCCCACGCTGAGGCAAGCGGGGTGTCAGTTGTCACCTTTGCTGTCCTGCCCGACTGTGTGCTGTCTTGTATGGAGACATGTTTGTTCTAGATGGTTTTTGATCATCCGCGCATTTGCAGAACACCCGCATCTCTTTCAATCACTTGGGCCATCGTTTCAATTTTGTTAACGAAGGTGTTGGGATGGTCAATGGACTAAGACTAAACAGTGGCACCCCAGTTGGACCTTTCTGCAGGTCCAGATGCCCAGACGCAGGCCACATCGCCTGACACTGAGAAAGATTATATAAGACAGCGGCATCGGATCGGCTAATGCGGGGTGCTGCGTTGCTGGGCAGACAGCCGGGGATGGTAGCAACAAACGGCTGATGACATCTCATCCGCATAGTCTGGCCAAAGCAGGGCAAGAGTGATGGTAATTAAGACGGCGCAGAGATCAAGCATGGAGACGGTTGTGGAAATGGATGAGATCAATTGATTGCCGTCAATGCCGCTGATCCGCAACCACATCTAACCCCTAAAACAAACAAGCATGACCCTCGATGCTGTCCCGCGCACACACACATCGCGCAACCTCCTGACGTCCGTACGTGAAAGTACACGCAAATAGGTATCAAAGTGTTTATTTCTTTGTGGTATCGGTTCTATCGAGAGCCGTACATGATGATCCAGAGCAAGCCTCTGACGAGCAAACTCCGGAAATACCCAAATTCCCTACAAGTAGCGAAACAATCGCCCAACGCAACGCAACGCAAAGCAAACGCCATCCCATCGTGCCAGCCATGCAAAATGTCTTCGTAAGCTGCCCTTCTTGATCTTTCTCTCCCATGTATGTCGTACAACTCGCTCGAATGCCTCCTCTCTGTCGCCATCTAGGCGGCGACCGCTTAGTTGGCAAGGATGGTGCGGACGAGCTCTGTGTATGTTGTCAGCATTCTGTCACGAATCGAAGATGGGCCTACGCGAAAGGCATCGGAAAACATACCGGTGTAGTTGACCTGGCCGGAGCTGGTGTCTACAGCCTTGAGCAGCTCGTCGACCTCCTCGTCCGTCATCTTCTCGCCGAGGTTGGTCAGGATGTACTTCAGCTGGCCGACGCCGATGAAGCCCGTCATGTCCTTGTCGAACACCTGGAAACCACGGCAGTACTCCTCGGGCTCGCCAGGGTCGCGGAAGCCGCCGGGGCGGTTGAGGATGCGCTGGAAGGTCTCGAAGTCGACTATGTGCAAAGTCAGTCGCCGGTCTTCTTTCCCTTCACGTCTCGTCCGAATCGCATCGCGTGTCGCGCCGCACGGAGTGTTCGGCGGCGACAGGTACGGGGGATGGGGTGGGAAACTCACAGTCGCCTCCGACGTTCTTCTCAAGGTCGCGGATCTCGGTGAGGGTAGGGTTCTGGCCGCAGGCGCGGAGCAGGTCGCCGAGGCTGTCGATGGCGACACGGCCGTTGCCGCGCTTGTCGAACAGGGAGAAAGCCTCCTTGTAGTTGGTCGAAGCCTGAGCGTCGTACTGGTTAGAAGCCATTTTGGAGATGAAGTTCTGGTTGCGTGTCTGCGCAAAGGGTCTCGATGTGTTCGCGGGGTTGTGGTTTGTGATGCGTCGCAGCGGATGCAGAAGAATGTAGAAGTAAAATGGCGCGCAGAGGTGTATGCAGTGGGAGAAAGGTTGGGTGGGAGGAAGGAACAGAAATGTCGTGATGCAGAGTCGGATGCTTCTAGCCTGGCGCGGAGTCCCAAAGTGTGCTGCTGCCCTGCTGTCGCCGCCAGTGGCTGGTTGGTGCCGCCGCTGATCGGAAAGTTCGCCCCGTGGCTGGCCGCTGTTGTTTGGGTTGGACGCTGGACCTGTTGGCGGGTGGATGGCGGGCTGCTCGTTCTTTCTCCCACTGCAATTTTCCCGCCCAAAGTGCTTCTACAAGGTTCGCCGCTGAACCAACCACACGCTAAGGCAGGTTTTTTCGACTCCTCCAGGCGAGTACCTCACCACTCACGTCGAAAAAAGGGGCTGCCGAATGGCTGACTGGCTCCTCCCTTCCCTTTGTTTACATTTTTCTGTGTGAGGGAGGGGTGGGGGTGGAAAACAAAACAAAAAAGCAATTGGGGGGGACTCCAAAACTCACCATTCTGGTCTGTGTAATGTGGTACGGTTGGTTCCTCTGTTCTGTTCTCTGGTAGGATGGGCGAAAGAAAGGCAGACTTTTGGTGTGTTGTTTTGATTGAGACGAAAAAACTACGAAGTAGAAGCAAAGCAGGACAATGATGTTTTCTGCAAGTTGAATGTTTGGCGGTCGAAACACTTTATGTTCTCAAACCCCCCTCCCCTCCCCTCTCCTTATCCTGCTGTTGGCCTGTCCTCTGCCATTTTTTATCCAATGTTCATTTTTATCCAAGCCGGCCCTGGGCCATGGGGATTCCCAGTCACCGTTATTCATGCGGTTTACAGACGGGCGGTGTGAGTCTGCCCGCTGCACCGCTGTGCGCACTATTGGGGGGACGGGAGGCACCCTGGGCGGGCGGCGAGCGGTAAGCAGCACCACTACCACTGCGCCAGGCAAGCAAGCAAACCACCGAAGGCAATCAAGGCGAATACAGTGTGCCACCGCCCGGTGCAGCGTTTGGGAGCATCTCAGTCGACACATCCGCCAAAACTCCTGAAACCTGACGGGGCAACGAGGGCCGGTGGGGTCGCAGTGGGAGCCGAGCGCCGCGGGACCCGCACAATCTCAGGCCCGTCGCCGAACGGCCAATGACGTGTCGCGAATGTCCCCTTCACCCATGGCCGCCAGCGACCCAATTCCCACCGCCAACTGGGCACCAGTCATCTTTCATGGGCCATGGCGTGCACTATCGACAATCACTTTCGCAGCATCGTCACTTCACGAGGTTATGCACCGCACTTTTATGTCATGACATGGCCGTCGTCTTGATAATGAACATCTCGTCGCTTCTCGCACGTTGTGATCGCCCTCGAGCGGTTCGTCCCGACACCTCAGACTCAGGCCCCGAGCCGGCGAGTCATTCCTCCACCCCTCGATGACAACCTTCACTTCCTCTTGGCCAGGATTATCGTCGTCCCCCAGACCGCCTCGACCTCCACCTCCCGCCACCTGTCGCCCTTCGCCTTCCACTCCGGCACCGCCTCCAGCAGCCGGTCGAACAGCGCGTCCGCAATGTCCCCCGTCCCGCCCTCCGCCCGGCTCTTGATCTCCGGGTGCGCGTCCCGCCACCCGCGGTACGAGCTGAACGTGCGCACGTAGCCCTCGAACTCGCCCAGCTTGAGCGTCTTGCGCTGCCACGCCGCCTCGGGGGCTACGTCCGCCCCGATCTGCGACGTGGTGCGGTCCGGGTCGTAAATGATCCGCTTGACCTTCTCCCACTCGGACGCGGGCGGGTCGACTACCGACAGGTTATCCCGGAGGATCTGGCGGCCCGGCTTCTCCCAGTACTCCCCCATCGTCTCCAGTGGGAATGCAGGTGAGGCCTGCCCCTCGCCGTAGCAGAAGTGATCAAAGATGGCGTTGGCCTCAGGGTACCCGATGAGAATGTTGTCCTTGTAGCCCCAGAATGCCAGCGTGCCGCCGCTCTTGACGACCCGGGCGAGTTGGGGCCAGACCTTGGAGTAGTTGAACCAATGCGCTGCTTGGCCCGCAACCACAAGGTCCACAGACTGGTCCTCCACGAAGGAGAGATCCTCAGAGCTGTCCTGGCGAAACGTGATCTTGGGGTCTGTCGTCGACTCTGATGCCTGCTTTACCATGTTGGCGCTCGGGTCGATGGCGATGACCTTGCTGAAATGCGGTGCCAGTTCCCGTGAGATGAGGCCGTGGCCACAGCCTAGGTCCAGTGCCGTCCCATTCGGTGATTTGGCATTGTGGTATCCCAGGATCGTCTTGTACAGCGATGCTGGGTATGACGGGCGGAAAGCCGCATATCCAGCGGCATTGAACGTGGAGCGTCTGGAGAGTGTCAGCTTATTCTCACTGATGTGGTTGCTTGAAAAGGAGGGCTTGCATACGCAAAGACAGACATCGCGAAATGCTTCTGTGTATCTGTAATTGGTGTGTTGCTATTGGTCGGCGCTTGTTGACGCCGAAGAGAAGGATATCGTTCAGTTTGGTGTTGATGTTTTGATGAAGTTCAAGTCTGGCCTCCCATCTGTAACAATCCCCAACAAAGAGGCACCCGCGTACCTCTTTATCCTCCTTATTCGGCTCTTTTGCAAAATCCCACGGCACCACACAGCCGAATGATGTTGCCACAGCCCAGTCACGAAAGCCTCAAAAACCGGCAGACTGACTAAGGTATCCGTCGACATCAAGCAACCCGCGGCTCAGCCCAGGCCTCATCGGCCGTGGTTCCCCAGTTTTCCGCCCCCCACGCGGGCGGTATCCGCCCGCGGCGCACTGAGATGTGGCCTCGGGCTCGGCCACAGCGTCTCCACCTGACGTGCTCGGAGCTCCTTATGGCATGGAGATTCGAAAACCGCCGAGCCGCCCTACCCCTCATCTCCGACCACCTCGCTCTTCCTCAACTCGAGCCCTCACCACTTGCGATTATTCATTTCGAAGTCAGAGATCACTGTATTGTTGCCCGACATGTCGACCGAAGCCACCGCCCGCGCCTTCTTCTCGTCAAAGTTCTTCGCCGTGGTGGGCGCCAGCTCGAACCCCGCCAAGTTCGGCCACAAGAGTGCGTTCCGGCTCCCCGAGTCATCCACCCCCGCGTTTCTTCAATCCTTCTCCCGCTCACTCATTGAGCTAATAAGAGGGAGCGCTGCCACTTCACTCAATCAACTCTCACACATCACTGGCTTGCTCTCATAAACACACCCAACCCCTCACAAGGCACCCAACAGCACCACTAACATATAACCTCCAGTCTTCGCCTGGTACCTCCACCACAACATCCCCGCGACGCCCATCAACCCGACCTCCAACACCGTCAACGCCGCCGGCAAGGACCACCCCGCGGTCCCCAACCTCGCCGCCCTGCCCAACCCCAAGGAGACCTCCGTCTCCATCATCACCCCGCCCGCCGCCACCCTCAAGGTCCTCCACGAGGCGAAGGAGCTCGGCATCCCGGCCGTCTGGCTGCAGCCGGGCACCTTTGACGACGCCGTGCTCGAGTACGCGCGCGGCGAGGGCGGCTTCGAGGCCGTCGTCGCGGGCTTCGGCGGCGGCACCGTTGGAGGCGAGGGCTGGTGCGTCCTCGTTGATGGGGAGCGGGCGATGAAGTCTGCGGGGAAGCTCTAAGCGTGGCGTAGCCCAGGCTAGGACACGATGGAGAAGCAGCAGCAGCGACAGTAACAGCGCTGTGCCAAGAACGACGGGACGGCCACGTTGACATGTTTGTTACGAAATGAATTACGAGAATTTACCCTTTAGTTTGGGAATGCGTGACCCCCTCCCCAGGCACCGGGCCTCCAAAACACACACGCCTGGATCATCCATCGTGAAGAAACGTCGCGTTGGCGAGGGCTCACCGAGATAGCTCCGTTCCATGGTGCCTTTAAAGTTGTGACGACGTTCAGGTCACACCACCACCACCCCTCCCTCCTCCTCTCCCCCTCTGTTGCATGCAGGATCACTCCAGCAGATCGAGGGTCTTGGGATCTTGTCATTGATTCCCCCGGTGTGATCGAGTCAAGTTGCCAAGTCTGGGGTAAGGAACCTAGCGCGTCGTCCGTCGGGTGCCGGACCGGATTTTGAGCCTCAAGTGATCCCATCACGAAATTCTTCTGGCGAGCAGAGAATCAGCCCCCATCCCATGAGTCTGGATTGTTGCTCGAATTCAATTCTTCAACTTTTCAGAGAAACTCGTCTCACCCCATCTCCCGACATCTCATCTCCAATCCCAACCCCTGTTCATCCTCAGTCCAACAACAAACGGCCGACGCACACGCCTCATCCGCTACCCCGACTTCTGCTCCCTTGATCCGTCCCAAGCTTTCCCCGCAATTTGCACATCCAGTCGCCGGGTCTCCACACAAGCTGAAGCTTCATCCCCAAACTCAAACCAACCCAACGCGTATTAGTCTAGCTCCCCCTCTCCAAGACCAGCGCACCTAACCTGCGTGTGCTGAGAACATGGAGCTAAGAGCCTTCTTATTACTGTAGTATGTCGAGGCGCTCACGGGTAACGATACTCGCGTGGGCTGCATGCGCTACTGCAAGCCCGGGCTCCGCGTCCCTCCCGTCCGCCGTGTTATTCCCTTCGCTTTGCCGTCGCAATCCGGCCGGCACAGACATCATTGGACCACTCTTCATGTTCTCTGTCAGTTCTCTGTCAGAAATTCCCGTTGGCCGCTGCCTCGTCACATCTGCGCCCTCCCTTGCCTCCACGCGAGATGAGCGAATCAGCCTCACCTGGAGCCCCAATCGACTCGTCACAACGGTCTTCTCTCCTCCCCTCGTAATCAGAACCGGCCGTACGGTGGACGGTTCCAACAGAGACGTTGACAGAAAACTTCCCCAGATTTGCACGTCTGCGCCCCTCACTGTCACATCCCAACCCCGTCTAGTTGGGGGACATGGGAAGGGAGACCCATAAACGTCCAGACCTCCTCGAACCCCAAACGTGACCTCCACACAAGAAACTTCCGCCTTGGGCGAATCATCCTCTGTAGATCCTGCATCATGCCACTCCCGGTCCGGCATCCGGGGGGTTTGCAGTCACCACCCATCATCCCTTGTGCCGAACCCTCCACGCTCTCTGCCGGTCGCCCTAGCGAAATGCCCTCCTCGTCCAATGCCTCTCCCGAATGATGGCAAGACAGGAACCCCGTCTCGTCCATGATGGAGGTCCTGCTGCCAACTCTCCGACTGGACCGGTCGTGCCAGCAGGTCCTTGCCAAGATGGCCGGTCGTCCTACCCATGTCGGGGGCTTTATGTCCTCCTCCTCTGGGTGTAAGGCAGCATGCAGAGGGGGGATATACTAGACTCATTGTGGTGTCCTGGGGAGCCTTCATAATGGAGGGCTCTGGCAGGTTCACCTCATCTTGCTCTTGCGTCCCTGACATCTCTTGTTGTTTGTTCCTCATTGTTCATCCAACTCTTTTCCTGTATCATTAGCTACTCCTTCATCAACATCATTGTACCAAAAGACATACATCTTTATTTAATATGGCAACCATGGACCACAAAGAGTTCCAAGAAGTCCGCTCACATTCGCACCACAACGGCCACCACCGGCCGCCCCGTGGCCCGCCGACGCCGCATGCCAATGGCTACGAGTACGCCGACGAGTACATCCACCCCGAGATGAGCCGCGACGACGCCTTGAAGAGAATGAAGACGGCCGGGTCCATCTCCATCTCTCCAGAGCTGTTTGAGAAGCTGTACCTGTCGCCACAGAACCAAGTCAAGGGCGAGTTACGCAAGACGTTTGGTAACCCGACGCCAATGTCAGTATGCCAGACGACGTATAAACCTTGGGATGTGTTCACTAACATGATGCAGTGCCATCGTGGGCTTTCTCATCTCCCTGACTCCCCTCTGCTGTGATTTGATGGGATGGCGTGGTGCTGGTGGCAGTGGTGCTGCAGGCATGTAAGTCAGACCGTTTCTTCGTCCTCCCCTTGACTCTCGACTGATATTCCATCATACATACAGTCCCACATACTTCTTCTTCGGCGGTCTTCTCATGTTTGTCGGCGGCCTGCTTGAATGGGTCCTCGGCAACACCTTCCCCGCGACGGTGTTCACCACATTCGGAGCCTTCTGGGCCTCCTTCGGCGGAACTCTCAACCCTTCCTTCGCGGCCTTCTCGTCGTATGCCCCGGCGGGCGAAGCTGGGGCCGCAGGACTGGCGACCAAAGGCTTCAATGCTAGCTTCGGTAAGTTAATTGATGTCTCGATAGCAGGTATCCCATTGGTGCTGATTGGTTTGCCAGGTTTCATTACCCTCGCCATGGGTATGATCTGCCTCGTCTTCCTCGTTTGCTCCCTCCGAACCAACATCGTCTTCTTTGTTATCTTCCTGACGCTCGTCCCTGTCTTCGGCCTCATCACTGCCGCTTATTGGTTTCTGGCCATGGACTTCACTGGCAACTCAGCGTTTGCTGCCAAGCTTCTGGAGGTGAGTCGTTGACTTTCTGCAATCCACAATAAACAAATACAAAAGCTGATACACGATGCCTTTCAGGCCGCTGGGGCGTGTGCGTTCGTGACATGTATGGCCGGCTGGTGGCTCATCTTTGCCATTTTGCTGCCGTCGGTCGATTTCCCCTTGGAAATTCCTGTCGGTGACTTGAGTCGGATCATTCGAGGAAAGAGCGAGAGAAGTCAAGTCTGAGACATATTGAAAGGAAGGACTCTGCGTCAGGGAGGAGTATCCCGTCAGAAAACAACGGCTTGCTCCTGCTAGATGACGCACGCATGCAGAAGAACGGACTTGTCCAAATTGATAGAAAATCGTTTCTTCGTTTTTCGGTTGGGAACCTCTGTGACTTGCTAATCCTGCTGCAATGCACAGCCTTAAGAAATGGAAGGAGAGTATGCCTTGGCCTCAACGCTGCCTCATATGTCAAGTGGAAGAAGAGGGTAGGGGCTGCCCATTTACGAAGAGACACTGGACGCGACAATAAGCCTCCAACAAGTAACAACAAAGACGACTCTTTCGCTGAGATTCTTTCTATTTTTCTTGCTTTGGGGCCTTTTCACCCTCGCTTACTGGCAGACCTGAAGAGGAAAGATCTATCCAGCTGCCAGGCTCCTTCTTTCAAGAGAGCGGCGCGGTTTCTTCACTTTCCGTCTTCTTGCTTGGTTCTTCAACCGAGCTCGAGAATTCTTTTTTTTTTTTTGGCTCTAATTTTCCACTATCCCGCTTCCCATTCAAGCCCAATGTTGCTGTGATTATCGTTGATTAGTTCCTTCTCTTCTCTCTTCACCAAAGCCTGCAACCCCTTACTTCCCACCGTCACCTCCCCAACCACGTCGGTTGGCTTTCTCGCAAGCATGTCTCTCAACCGCAAACGAATCATGGAAAAGTAGGCGCTCAAATTCTTTTCTGCTCCTCTGCTTTGCTAACGCGCTCAATAATAGTATCTTCCAATCCAAACAGATCACTTTCGTCATTGGCGAGGAGCAGAAGAAGTATTACGTTCACGAGTCGTCCTTTAGCCGCCTGTCCCGACCTCTCAAAGCGCTACTTACAGGAGGCATGAAAGAGTCTCAGAATGCCAAGGTCGTCTGGGCAGAGGTTGATGATGATGTTTTCCTCGCCCTCGTTGACTTTGCCTACCACGACTCGTACACCATCCCATCGCTTCGCAAAGTCAAAGAAGGGAAGCATTTCCCAGTCAGCAACACATGGGAGGGTTTCGGCAGCGACAACTCACAGGACGACGCAAAGAACGAACCCAGGAAGCGGACATTTCCATCAATCATCTCGTGGATGTTGGAGACCGGTACCGAGTGTACTCCGAAGTACGATTTATGCAAAGACAAATTCAATGGAGGCCAGGGAGTATACCGAAATCCAGCTTCGACCTTAATATGGGCAACGGAGATGAGAATGACCGATCGCACTGGCTACACCGACGTCTTCATGCTGCATGCACGACTCTATGTCCTCGCCGATACCTACGCGATTGAGCAACTCCGCAAGCTTTGCCTCCAGAGGATCCGTATCAGCTTTCTCAACGTCACCCCAAACGCAGAGCTGCTCGAAACCTTGCATGACTTGATCATCTACGCTTTCGAAAACACCAAGGCGTCAGATGAACTCCGCACGCCATTGCTTCATTTCTGTATCGCTCAGATGGAATGGATCAGGAGTAGTGGCTTTTTAGAGCGGATGAGAGAGGAGCTTCCCGAATTTCTGGCCGACTTGGCTCTTGAAATTCCGTTCGAATTCTGGAGTAGCATCGGTGGATCATGACAAAGAGCTCGGCATCATAGATGTCGAGGTGGTACGGTGCTTCAATTCAGCAATCCTGGCCTAGGACCGTGGGATTGGCTGGAACGGGGGTTGTACACAGGGCCGCGGAAAATGGAGAAGAGCTACTTAGTGTCATAAGAAGAAATCAACACCGTCAAGTACCAGTGATTTCCCGCATCGCAATATGTCTATGACTCCTGTGCTGCTCAAGCCTTCGTCACTATGGCCTTGGCTTAAGAATACCCTACCCAGAATCTTACCATGTGGCCCAGTCATGCGGCCTGGATATTCAGCTCAGTTTATGACCAGATGAATGGAGGAGGACCAGGTGAATAACTATGCAGTGTATAATGTTCTTCAGTTGTATGTAGTTAGTGCCATTGTCACTTCGATGGTGCTAGCCCTCTTTTTACAGATTGTTTAATTTCATTGTCCTTAATTTGGGCCGCCTTACTCAGCGGCCGCGCCTGGACAGTGAGATGTTGCGAACTTCTTCTGCCCATGATGTGCCGCAGGTGCCGTTCTGGAGCCCCACACTTCTTCACTGCAAGTCATTGACGTGCGTACTCAAATTGCACACTACCGACTTTATCAACAAGATCCCTCGTCCAGCAAGGGGACCCCCGACCTTCATTGCCATTTACAGCTGTGGCTAGGTCCTTCATGGGATCCGTTCCAGCCGCTGTCAATGGAAAAAACCACATCGAGGCGGGCGCGAATTGCTCGCACTCATCTTACCGTCCTATGGGCCAATTTTAGTTCAAACTCTAAATACATAGGATATTCGGGAGCTGTATCCGTACTCTAACAGGTCGATCATCACGCTTGGATAGATATAAATGAATCAATGTCCCGCAGGCCACAACGATGCAGGAACTACACTACCATCATTATTTGTCGAAAAAGAAAAATGAAGTTGCTTACTCTTTTCTCCTGTGTCGCCGCCGCGACGGCGGCCGTTGCACCCCGCCATGACGCCGAACCAGCTGAGAGCAACCTCCAGAGCAGGGGAGCGTCCTGCAATGTTTGCGTGTAAGTCTAACCAGACTTTCTTACAGAGAAACCGAGGCCTCAGCTTAACACTTTCGATAGAACCACTGTCAAGGGCTCATCTACGACAATCTGGGGTCCTTTCCCTTTCCCATACGACCACGGAGGCCAGACGTCGCGAGGGATTTACGTCGGCTGCGACGTCCATATCGATCGCAAGCGCACGACGGATTGCAGTCAGTGGAGTGTGTGGACGAAGGGTACCTGTGGACAGGTAACCAAGCAGCAGACGTGTTGATAAGAACTTTGACATCCGCTGAGGCTGCGTGGGCCGAGACATGGGATTGATCAAGAAGGCGCGATTTTGCTGAATGTTAATAAGAGAATGTCACTGGAATAAATGATATTGCCATGGGACAACAAATACTTTGAGTTTACCAGTATTTCTTTATGCATTATACAACCAAGACAATAACGCAAACCGTTAAACAACCAAAATCAAGGTTGCAGAAGGGGCACAGAGCTAGACAATATCATAGGCCATCTCCAACCTGAGTTTGAAGTAGCTGGGGCAACACCGTCAATGTCATGGCTCGAGTGCTATATCGTGATCCTTAATACTAGATCCCGCCATTTCTAGTATAGAAGCATGCCGAGTAGGCAGTACAATGCTATGCGAAGAGAAGCCGTTGCAACTATAGGTTTTTATGCCGTATCTAAGAAATCTTAGGTTTCAAAGAATGATGGTTCTCTCTGATTTGTGAAGTCATATGAGAGGAAACGGACTTGTTACCATTGCGACCTCTTGCTTGCCTTGATTGCTCCTTCCTTGATCGCTCCTTCCTTGATCGCTCCTGCCTTGGCCGTTCCTGTCTTGATTTCCAAACACTTCACCCTAGGACCCACCCAAATATTCGGACGGCCTTTCAGTGCAATCGAGTATTTAATGCTCATTCTATCGCTTGCCAGCCGCATCTGCGTTCTTCCTTACTTCCACCACTGCAAGGCTCGCGCCAGGGCGAGAGTAATTCATCCTCGGTCTTGACGTGGCTCGTCGTCGCTTTCAACTTCGCCACTGATATTCCCGCCTGCCATTTTCGATATCGCTGCCCGCGCCAGTACACGGTCGCGCGCCTCCGTCGTCCTCTGAAACCATGTCTCCCAAGCGCAAGGAACCCATGGATGAGTAGTTCTCACTGTCAGAACTTCCTATCTTCGCCCTCCACTAATAGTGTGCAGGGCTGCAAGTCCAACCAACGCGCCTTCCAAACGCCAGAGAGATATGAAAGAGTATTTTCCCAAGCTCCTACATCAGTAACTACTGCTAATCATGGTATATAGAATCTTCAAGTCTCGCAACATCACATTCGTCATTGGCCCTGAAAAGGAGCAGTTCACCGCTCACGAGTCTTCCATCGCCGGTCTTTCCGAGCCGCTCCGTGTCCTATTCACTGGAAACATGAAAGAAGCCATCGAGGCTAAGGTCATCTGGGAAGACGTTGATCCGGCTGTGTTTGTCAGTTTGCTGGAGTTTGCATACACTGGCAGCCTTTCTACTTCAAATTCCAAACAGCAAGGAAACCGCGACGGGCTGAAATCTCCTGGCTTGAATAAAGAGTCATGTGCCGATAAGAGAGATGACAAGAGAGAGGACAAGGGAGATGACGAGAGCGACGACGACCAGAGAGACAACGACGAGAGAGACGACTACGAGAGTGACGACGAGAGTGAGGACGAAATTAACGACGAGAGTGACGACAAGAGTGACAATGAGAGTGGCGACGAGAGTGGCGACGTGAGTGACGACGATGAACAACACAGTCAGAACGGAGATCCGGGCAATCTCGGAACCGACCAGTCCGATGCTGAGAACGTAACCCTAATGAGCGAGATGAATGAATACTCTGCGAGGGGAAAGTTCTCGCAGAAGCACTTTCGGCTCAAGCAATTCCACCAGTTGAAAGATGACCCGTCAAGCTTGAATGATGACATCATTCCGTACAATGCCGAGGCCTATATAATGACCGCAAAGCTTTACATTCTGGCTGACAAGTACGACATTGCGGCACTCAGAGGCCTCTGTCTTTGCAGATTCACTTGCAGCTTGGCTCATATTGGCGGCCGGGAGATGACCATGGATATCCTGGCTGCTACTATTCGATACGTCTACGAACACACCATAAAGAAAGATCAGCTTCGAAAGTTGCTGTTGCGATTCCTGATCACGGATTTGCAGTGGGCACTTGGATGCAACGGGATAAGGAAGATGCTTGGCGATATTCCCGAGCTTGCTTCTCAGCTGGTACTCCTGGTGCCTTCCTACTACTGGGAGGAGCTCCAATAGGGAAGGTAGGAAGGCCACCTACTACCAGCACGCAAGCGAACATGACCTCCTAGACAGACAATACAGACCATGAAAAAGCAGATAATCATTGTGTCAGCCCCTAGTTTTGAGAAGAAGAATGAGACTATCCTAGGAATCAGAGTAATTTCCTTGATGCTCACCTCTACTCGGTGTGGTTGTTGGCCTGAGATGGTTCAGGTGATCATATCGTCGTCTTCCTCATTCGGCTTTCTCATCCGCCGTCGTCACCCGTCGTCATCATTTGTCTTCGTATTTGTCGCTGCTATCGCTAATTTCCTGCGTCACTATACACCTGTGACCTGAATGGCAAACCCTTTCCCAGCAGTCAGACAAAGTTCTTCTGAACTTCTTTGGGTTCCACGCAAAGAAAGATTATTGTAATCTGCTTCTTAATTACTCTCGTGCTTAAAAAGTGGCAGTCCTTGGAGGTGAAGAATTGCCAATCATCATTGTCAATGTTTTCGTGAGAATTGCCAACCATCGCAACCTAGGTTATCCGGACACGGAGCGGACGTAAAGCAGACGTGGTCATCAAATGCCACATATTTAGGAGGTTTAAAAAGCGATCTGTCAGGTTTAGATGGGGATGCAACGTGGGATTGCAGTCTTTTTGTGTTAGAAGGATGTTAAAAGAGATTCTAGAGCTTGCTTCCCGATCATGAAAGACACCGTGGAATGTGAGACTGAAGGGAATAGTTAACGGTAATTAATGGTCAGAAGGTATTGGAAAGTAACAATCTTGGATGTTGAATCGGAAGTTGAACGCAAAGCAATACCAAGCCTCGACTGGATGACCATCGAGCCAGAGCTTCGGGACAGCCCTGTGCCCGAAACTCCGTAAACGACCGTTAAGTTGACCGGCAAAATGTATTCTCCACCTTCGGAGAACGACAAAAGAGGCAGTATCTTCATTCCAGATGCAGTCTTCTTCATGCAGTTGCGGGGTCGAAATGCTTGTGCTCGGTGAATTCAGAAAGTGTTGCGAGCACTTTGTGTGGAATGGCGCGACTGCAATGATGTAGTTGGCTGAGCCGCAGCTGACAGTGCAAACATGCATGCCAATGTAACATGAGATCTCGAAGATGATAGGGCGATAAGACGGAGATGTGGACGTTTAGGATTTGGATCCCAGCAGCGTTTCCACCCGCGGATATTTTGCCAACTCCAGGTGGAGTGAATGAGTGCGAACGCTAGTGTTGGTTCGCAGCGTTCCTCGTTCTGTCTTGTTTCCCCTCACGCTTTCACATCTTCTCCCAGTACCCATCAACATCTCGCCACGCTTTCTTCCTCTGGACTTCATGTGCTCATAGCAGCTCTCAACTACCAGCTCCCCTCAATCAAACATGGCAGAGCAGCGCGCTGCCACGAAGTCTCCCGTGGGATCACCTCCCAAGTCACCTGAGGCTGCGACGCCGGGTGCCGCATCACCCGGTCCCGATCAAGCCCCCGATCAAGCTCCCGAGGCGACGATTGAGGCAAACGATGCGCCGGCTGATGAGGGAGATGGATATTCCACAGCTTCTGACACCAGCTCTAATGCCACGGCTTCGTTATCGTCTTCTGTTCGGGACTTCAATTTTGAGAACAAGCGACGCTACCACAAATACAAGGAAGGGCGATATGCCTTTCCTAACGATGACGCGGAACAAGAGCGAGAAGATATGAAGCACAGCATGGTAGTAACACTATGCGGGGGAGCATTGCATAGCGCACCCCTCCAGAACCCGCAGAAGATCCTGGATATCGGTACCGGAACTGGGATCTGGGCTATTGACAGTGCGTTGTTCACATTGATGCTTGCCTCACCGTCGAACATCCAGAACTAATCTCTCTTGCTTTAGTGGGTGATGAATACCCTGAAGCTCAAGTCACGGGTATTGATTTGAGCCCAATCCAACCTGCATACGTACCGCCGAACGTTGCATTTATCGTAGACGATGCCGAGTCGGAATGGCTCTACGCAGATGACTCAATTGATTACATTCATGTTCGAAACATGGGCGCGGCGATCAAAAATTGGGAAAAGCTGTTGGCGCAGGCGTATAGGTACTTGTCTTTTTGTTATGTGTCGTGTGCCGTCTGTCCTCGGTGCTAACTACAATAGGGTGCTTAAACCGGGTGGGTGGATCGAACTGCAAGAGATGAAGTGGAACTTCAACTGCGACGATGGCACGATGGGACCCGATTACGCACTCACTAAGATGATGAAGTTGGTCTGGGAAGGCCTCGGAAAGTTTGGAATCGAGGCTGATGTAGCTGATACTAATCCTCAGCGCTTGAAGGATGCTGGATTCGTTCATCAAGTCCACGATGCCGTGAAAGTGCCAGTGGGAGAGTGGCCCAAGAGAAAGGATCTGAGCAAGATTGGAGCCTACTGCAAAGCTGTTCTCTATGATGGCATCCATGCAGTCACGATCGGTCCCTTGACTAGAGGTCTGGGGTGGACTTCTGATGAAGTTGAGGTGTTCTTGGTTGACGTGCGCAAGGACTTGCTGAACAACTCGATTCACTCTTACGTGTACTATCATTCGCTTGCGGGCCAAAAGCCAAAAGAGGAGAAAGCATGAGACAGAAAGTCCGCGAAGCTTATGGAAACACTCGGTCGCTAGCGATGCTGAATAGTCTCAAGGGCTTTTAACATCTAAAGATAATTCTATTAGCTCCGCAATGTCGGCACTCAATGTAGCATTCTGAAGCCACAGCTCATCAGATTTACTGTTATTGGTAGTCTAGACACGGCCAAGCTCACTGTTCATGCTGCCTGACTCAACAAAACTTCGGGCATTTGCAAGGATGTCTTTGACAAGATTCCTGAAAATGTGGCTCAAAATGGGATCACGACGCAAGGTGACATGTTCGTCCGAGTGGTCGAAATCGGTTACAATGGCGATAACTCGATTTCAGACTGGCAAGGCCCGAAGGATGACGGGGCTTTTAACCCACCTGCTTCTTTGATGAAATTGGTCAAATACAACCACGGATAAAAGGGCCCCTAGGACAGAACGCATTTTGCACATTGACGCCCGGATAGAACCCAGAAGCTTCGCAAGTTACGCGTTGAAAATGAGGGTATAAGATCTTGACCTAATTACCACTTGGGCTATGTACTCGATGAATGAAAAGAAAACTGCCTTAACGTTTCTTTTCCGCAGGGTCTGACTCGGTCGGATCTGTCGCTTTAGGATCTGTTGGTGTCGTATCGTCCGGGTCCTGTGTCGTCGGTGTCGGCGATCCCCCACGACCAGCGTCACAGCCTTGCTGGTCCTTCAGAGCGCCATAGAAGCTCTCCCTATACGCTGCGTCCATCTGCGCCTGAAAGTTGGCGTCGGTGAAGGGAACCTGCGTCTTCTCGTACTTGACATCCTGCAGTGCCTTTGCCGCCGCGTCCGGGAGCGAGTCCCACCCGACGAGCGTACGCTCGAAGACCTTGTCGCCGTCGGCGCCTGTAAAAGGCGCTATCGCGGTGTCGTGGATCTGAATTTTAGGGTGTGTCGGCATGTCTACGCCTACAGTCGTCGACTTGAAGGAGAAGTCGCCCGCATTCGCCGTGCCCCAGGTGAGATGGTCGGTCGTGAAGGAAATACCCACAGGCCAGACGGCGGTGACATCGTCGTCGACGCAGCCCCAGCGGTTAATCCAGACGACAGCGCTAGCCCAGTAGTGCCGGTGGCCGTTATCATTACCCTTGGCCCAGCGGACTTTAGGCATGTAGTAGCTGTACATAATACCAGTGCGACCTTGGCTCGAGCCGCGGCGGGCGTAAACTTGAGCATTTCCCCCTTTATCACAGCCACTTCGGCCGCCATTCGTGGGTTTCAAACCGCCTCTAGAGTGATGATGTGAGCATATTTGGGGTATATAATGGGTAGGGAAGGGTATCATTGCTTACCCGAGGTTTCCGCTGGCATCTGTGGCCGGGTATGGATCGCAACCTCCCGCCACGTACAGGAAGGGGCTAAACCGGAGTTCAAGCTGACCATCTACACCTGGCGAAGCATTCTGGGTAAGCGCAACAACTTTGTCATGGTCGATCCAATTGTGTCCACCCGAGTCGTCTTGGCCGCGTGGGAGTACCGATGACGCTACGGTGTTGAAGAGAAGACAGCCCAGTAAGGGCCAAACGGCGACAACTACCATCTTGCCTTCTGAGTGAGTGTATGTAACGAGTGTAAATGAGTGGCTAGGCTGTTGCGCAAATGCAAACAAACCCCAGGAAAACGAATGTTAAAGGTGACCATCACGATGTATGTGGCATGAGCAGACCTTCACTCCGGCATACTTATGTTCCTCGTCCCGGGAAGATTCTCAGTAGTGGTTTAAAGCGACTGGAAGTATGCTGACTATTGCACACAGTCTCTTTGCTCACTGCATACGTTACATTAAAGAGAGTTTTCCCCCGTGGCTTCATTTAGCATCCCCCTTCATTACCTCAGGCCAAATGGGCGTTGAGTATACGAACGGTATGGCCGGACACAGAGTTATTTCCACACCTCGCTCCTTGTTATTTTCTTTGTGGTCTTAATGATATTGATCTGACTTGCCGGTAAGGCTGGCCTCTACGCTTCGTGTAAACTTTTACCTTCATATTACTGTGGGTAATAACACGGAACCCAGTGCCGAACTCTACCTTATGTAGCCGACGGGATGTCATACCGACGCATTAGCGTTTGCCTTCCCGCAACCCCTTATTGCTACGCCAGTCTACGCCCCTTAAACCAACTGCGTGTTCTCACAATTACGTTAGCGTAACTACCGTAGTTGTTGAGCGAGTTGAAGAAAAGCCGAGTTAACGCAATTAACGGCGGCAGCTCCCCTACCAGTCTGTACATATGTATTCGACCAGTCATAACTTCAGACGGACCTTGGGCGGTCCAATCAAGAATTTGCAGGCTAGATGATGTTCGCCCCGAGCTTACGGCTTAGTAAAGAGCATTCGAATATGAGTCAAAAGTCACTGTATTCGTCGTGTCCATCCCATTCGACCCGAACGCTTCGCACAAATTCAAGTTGGAGCGACTCACCAAATGAATGGTGGTCCATTAGCAAAGAGTTCCAGTAGAGTTTGCGGCCCGAAATAGCAACTCTCGCCGAGCCCCAGAGAACGACGCACAGCCCAGCTACCAATGGAGTTGCCGAAAGCTTATTAGTCAGGGGTCTTCCGCATCTAAATCAACAATGAGCAAATTACACTCATGCTCTTTATTGTCCTCGTACGGACGGACACTTTTGCAAGATCCGGTAGGGCTCTCATTACCGGTCAACATGTGCACTAGATTCCGATCGAAAATTTAAGTTGGATCGCAAGATGCCGAACACATGGCTTCACAGTCGGCGTCACCGTTTTGACCTCCTGAACTCGGCCTCAATTGAAATTACAATATGGAAAGATGCACGTCGCTTAATCACTTTGAAGAAAAGCTTTCTCACTGCGTTATATAGATGGGTAGATATTTCCTTGGTTCCCGCCTACTAGTTGCGCTAGGTGCTACGTCCTCTGCCACAAATGCAATACTCTGCGAGAACTTTGTGCAAAATAGCCCTTTGGGGCGCCTTCAGTCTCATCGCCGTCAAAGCACAAGGGACAAACGGACTTCTCGCCGGCGATGAGAACGACTGGTTGGCATTAAACAACGTCGACCCTTGGTATCTGCCCCCGGATATAGTCGACGGCGGTGACAAAGATGGCTCTGGTGCGCTCCCAACACCTGCGTAGATCCTCTTCAAAGTTACAAGCTGACCATGAAAATCTGCAGTTTTAATAATGAACGGCCGAGTGCGCTGCGGCGTCGTCCCTCTCGACAAGAGCGGCAACGTGTGGACGATCCCCGCCAACGGCGATTTCGACGCTGTCGGTTACATCCTGCCCCGAGGCGGCTACGACTCACGATCCGACAAGAGCCTAGCAGACTGCGTGCTTCGCGAGTCCAAGGAAGAGGGCGGCTTCATCATCGACGTCAACTCGCTTGTTCCCCTCGGGCTGAGCAAGGGGGAGACAGTGTACTGGTACAAAGGCACCGTCACCGAGAACGTCGACCCGACCGAACCGCGCGACCGCCCGCCAAAGTCCTTCGCTGCCGCGGAAGCGCGAACAGAACTGCAGAAGCCGGCCAAGAAGCCAACGAAGAAGTCGGACATGCGAATGGCGTTCAATAAGGCGGAGTCAGCATCCGAGTCTAACAGTTACCGTTCAACGTTCAAGGCGGGTGGCGGTGCCTCGGCCTACTCATTCAAAGAGGCCGGGGCGGCTATGGAGGTGTACAGCACAGAGTTCCAGAGTGGCAGCGCGCCGATTATTAAAGTGGAGGTTGACTCGTTCTTGAACAAACTTGTGGCAGAGAAGGCGGGCAATAGTCAGGACCAGACCAAAAACCGGCTGAGTCTCGCGCGTATGATGGGCTCGGTGTGGCTCAGGAAGGGCCTCGCGATCAAGCAGCTCAGTGCGGTAGAATTCATTGACGTAGTCGATGATCAAACCAAGGCTGCAATCACGGCAGTCCAAGGTGAACTGGAAGCCGTAGCCGAAGATTTCGAGGTTCAGTCGACGGATTCGGTGCACTGGGGACGTCTGGTGAGCACACCTCTTGGCGAAGCTGCGCAGAGCTTGGCTGCCGCGGCAGAAAAGTCCGTGTCGAAGATTTCTGTTACTAGTAGTCCCATTGGTATCGTCTTCGACTTAGTTTGAGTGGTTGTAGAGTAGTAAAAGGCTACATGGTTGGCGGGTTAGAAGGAAACAAATAAAGATGCCCCATTTCTCCGATTTTCTGCACCGTTCGTTTTGAAATGTCATGGATCGTCATATCAGGGGTTCATGGTACCAATATCGTAGATTCTCAGTAATGACAAATTGGTCGCGTTGAATAGACGAGATTTTTTGACAGGAACTGCAGGTATGAGTTTAGATAATATCTGTTCGCGGAGCCCGTTAGTTCAAATTTTACGTATGCTTCCAGGCCTCATATGCTACTTTTCAGCGTTTATTATCAAGGGACAAGGACGCAGAAATTAAGGACATTGTGATGCCCACTTTGTCTTCGGGCAACAGGCAGCCTGTACTCATTATGAGTGGTTCGGAAGTATTGAAAGGCGGATACATTTCATTTCTTCCCTCGAAGCTCAATCTAAAGCCAGCCACCAAGTTGATCAACACTTTCGTCGTATGTCTCAACGACGGTCAAAGCGTGATATCTTCTTGAGTCAGCTGATTTCTGTCAGTTTAACAGACTGTCACAGAGGCATTGTTGATTTGACTCAGGGTTATGGGTCGTCTATGAAAACACGCTGGATGTGCATAGTTACGTTGTCGCCACAGACGCTTTTGGAGGTGGCTACGTCATCCCAATGATTGATGCATTTGGGGACATGAAAAGAACGTATGGCTTTCGCTCTGTCGAAGTAGCCAGTGTAACGGACGTCTTTCTCGCTTCGTCGGGCATCAGAGGTGTGCAGCTGAAACCTACAGCAGCGAGAAAAAGCACAAGTCACTAAATTGCTTCCTCGAATACAGTTGCATCGGAGAATATCTCAAAGTTGATGCACACAAAAGGTTGGGCTTGACGGTCTATCTCATAGAATCCACTTGACCCTTCGGAGAGTAGCACAGGTGCTAACACATTCACCACAGGCTTCACAAAATACTTGAAGACCCCCATTAGCGGTCTATATGAGGGCAGGACTGCCATTTATAAGCAAAGGCACGAAATGTCTGAATATTTCAGTGGTGATGAAGGCTGTTCGTGGGTGAACTCTTTTTCTGAAATGAACTGAAAACGCCACAACAGCGGTAACTAATACAAGATTGAAGCAAGAATATGTCTCGAAACGGGGGCAAATAACGGCTAGAAAAAGTCTTAATTAGAGTGGAAGAGTGGGATAATCGCAAGCGTAGACATCAGAAACCAAAAGTACATTATGTTGCATTCAATCTTTAATTTACTTCTCGTCAGAAAGACCCGACTATGGTGGCAAGTCTACGGTACTTCTATTTGTACTTCGTGTTGATTCTCGGATCTGAAGGTAGGTGAGCTTTCTACGTAGACTAAGGTACGACCTGAGTGGGTGCTATAAGAAGGTACAATGGGTGGGCTCCTTGCGTGAAGGTGTGATATTTCATCATGACCCCGATCCGATGTAGCAGCGAATCTCACTCCTGCCTTGAGTGAAATTGTCAGCACTTCATTTAAATATCACATATTGGTCGTAGGCAGGTGGGCTTTCCTAAGAAGACTAAGGCCACACGCTTACACTTTCGAAGTTCATCTTGCATGGGAAGCACGACTCGGCTGATCCTCCTCCCTCTTCAACCATCAAGATCAGACTTGAGTCCCCTCACTCTTTCTTCATACCTTGCCGGATTTCTGACAAGGACTTTCAAGTTAATTGTTCTCCGACGTTAATTCGCTTGGAGAATCAGGGAGGTGCGACTCTCTCCCTCACATCCGACCCCACTTTATGGCGTCCGAGTGTCTCGGCCCGCTAAAGTCAATCCCAGCAACTGCCTACCTACCTTGATAATCTCACCTTCCACAACCTCCAACTGCTACGTCTGATCATCGCATCATCGGACGCGAACTTCTGAATCCATTTCTGAAAGAAGACGAGCACAAATTCAGACTGTGAAGCTGTGTTCATTCGTACTCTTCCGCCACCCAAAACGATGGCTGGCAGAACCATCGTCGACACAGAGACGTACGTCCCCCTCCCCCTTTCCGGACGGGCTTACCTTGTTGAGTCGAGTGCATGGATGCCAACTAACAACTGCCAGCATCTACACATCGCGGGTCTTCAATTTCATCGTGGGGCCAGAGAACACGACATTCCATGTCCATGAGAAGCTCTTTGCCCCTCACTCCAAGGGGCTGACGCGCATGCTCAACAGCGGCATGCGCGAATCGCAAGAGGGCGTCGTCATTCTGGACGATGTCGACAAGACCACTTTCACCAGCTTCCTGGACTACGCCACATACGGCAACTACATGTTTCAGAGGACGATCCCTTCGAAGAACACCCAGTCGACGTTGAGTGACGCTGATGTCACGCCAGAGAAACGGTGTGACTCTCTACGTGACCATCTCATTCATTACGATCATCGACGGGACATCATCGAGAGGAAGCCGTACTTGAAGTACATGGAGCTCTTTGTGAAGAGCGGGGACCAGCACGGGCTTTACGCCCCTCCTACGTACCTGTCTGAACCTGACGAGCTTGGTTTTGACGTCGATCTGGACTTGAAACTCTCCAACAAGGAATTTGGCGAAGTCTGTCAACACCATGTCAAGCTCTACGCCTTCGCCGATAAGTGGGATATCTCTGAACTCAGGCAGCTGTGTCTTCACAAGATTCACAACTGCCTAACCCGCGTCAAACTATGCGATAGCGGATACCACTTGCTTTTCGCCCTGATTGACGATGCTTACAAGAGCACCATGCCTGGAGATTTGCTCCGCAAGCTATTCACGCAGATGTGCGTCGCCGACATCAGCCTCATTCGAGGTATGTCTGGATTTCCTTGCCTGGTGTGCCGCCTTCCGGAAATAGGCCTAGACATGATTTTGGAGGAGCCCAAGTACTGGGAGGACAAGCCGAAGGCCTTAGCCGACGTCAACAGCAAATTTCCACCGCGACCATTAATTGGCGACCATGATCAGAAGGGAAGGTAGACATCTTGAAAGCAGGATCGTCACAAAAGCAAAACATACTTTCGGGCTTTCTTGCGGGCACTTAGACTTTGAATTAATTGGCAATTTTTATCATTTCGGGCGGGGCGGAGCAGGACTATTTCAGGAAACGGCGTTGGGGGAACTTTGCACATTACGCATGCGAATTATTTGATCTGCCGTCTACGGTAGCCAATTTGAGTGCGTACTGGAATCCTCTGGATCATCATATATCTCTCCCTATATGAAAGCTTTGGTATGCGATGTTCAATGACGAGATCACAGTGCGTCGTAGTCCCTTCGAGAGACGGTGACATTGGAGCACGTTGTACCTCCTCTTGTAGTGCTAGGCACCCGGAAGCACTCGTTCGGGCAGGGTGCGCTGGCATTGTATTGCCATGAAAAGAGAGGATCCGTCTCATTAGTAAGGATCTGCCCGATCATTGATGTTTGATATCCAGGGAGTTGCCGAGACTGCTGGAACACATCGTACTTCAAAAGCTGTTAGCAAACGTTGATGAAAGGAAGTCCTGATCCACCTACGCTACTCAAGGTCATTACACCCCAGCCAACGTTGTAGTTATGCTGGATAGTAGTGCCGTAAACGTACTCTGTGAGTATCTCATCAGCTTTCGACTTCACCAGAATAATGTCGTGCGTCCTAGCTGACCTTTGAATCCTGCCCAACGAATGGCACTTGCGCACTGATTCCAATGAGTCAATGCTACTTCCCGAGGCTTTCAAATACGTACCATAGGACACGATTCGGCGTTGGTGTAGATGGAGAGGTCTCCCCATGCGGCGTAGATCTCACTGAGAAGCAGTCAGCAGTCAAGTTTGGCAAAGCCTTGTAGTAGGACTGGAGCTAACGTTGGCGTCATCCCCTGCTCTGTGAACTTGGCCGTGCAAGCATTGATCGCTGAAATTTCTCCATGAACTGAATTCAAGTTAGATTGGAGACACGTCCGTTGATCAATACAACGTACTGGTTGGATCTCCCGTGCGGAAGTTCGCGCCCTCGCAGACAACTTCATCACTGGTGTGATTGACAATGATCGAGCCAAAGGCGGCGAAGGGGCAACTAGACACCCTCGGTCAATCGCAATCCATAAGATAGTCATGTACTTCGGGAGGCGCTTACGGTCCACTTTGGCGGTAGAGAGCTTCATTCGTCTGGTGGTAATGTTAGAACGTCGCAATCGAAACCTCAAGATTCATCGTTTAATTACCTTTCTCATGTACTCAACTCGCTTCGCGGCTGGAACAGAGTTGACGGTCAAACCCGACATGTCCTGATCATCGTTTGGAATCACAAAGTGCGCCGAGCAAACGCTCAGCGCTCCCAGAGTGGCCAACACGATTGATTTCAACATGGTAATTGCGCAAAGATCAGAGGAGTCAAATCACATTTCGAAGACTCGCTTAACACAGGACAGTTGCCGATATTTATGTACTGCGATGCAGCTCAAGATGCGGCTTTGCCAAATCCTCCAAGAGATAAGAACGTCTGGGATGATGGCTGGGGCCCACGTGCCGAACCCAACCACCCGGAACTCATGGTACCACCATGCTTGTCAAATGAAGCTATCACCATGCACGACCCCGCAAAGACCCGCACATGCGAGGGGGTATGTCGTTAGCGCAGCTTCTCTTATCATTTCCCACGTTGCGGTGACAGCTTGGCCGCGGATGATTGCTACAGTACTGCGGGGGAATTCCCGAGAGCGGAGGATGGCCGCGCGATAAGATAACGGCGCACTTCACCGTTGTCGGTTAAGCTGGAGGTGGTGATGACATCTATGATTATCACAAGCTCAATAGAACCTAAGCTCAAGCGTCATGTCTGTCAACATCTGCGAGCTTTGCTTCTAAATCGTCCAAGCCCAACTCAAATAGCCACCGCATACGATCCACGGCGGGCTTTTCCACATCCACCGCGTTCGTCGACTTCTGCCTCTCGGCTTCGGGAGATCTCTTCAAATTTGTTGCTCGCGTCATTTGGAGCACCTTGTCAATCTTGGCCTGCCGCCAGGATTGCCAAGCACCAAGCGCGAGAGGCCGTTCTTCCACGGTCCAGCTTCTAGACAAGACCTTTGCCAGGGAGTAGACGTCTTCCAAAGCCTGGTTCACACCTTGTCCCGACGATGCCGGCATCGCATGAGCAGCGTCCCCGACGATGATGACATTTCCCGACGGTGAAGCCCAACTAGGCAGCCTGGGCATCGTGTAGAATGGCCAGCTCAACAAGCCTTCTGGACATTTGCACAGCTGATCAATGATTCGTCTTGCCGTGTCATGCCACTGATCATAGTCCTTTCGCATCAAGGAAGCCAAGGAATCAGGGCTGGCGGCCAGATCTTGCCAACCCTCACGGCCTTGTTCGGGATGCGGGAATTGCGTTCCTACCATGAGCGTTCTGCCGTCCGATTCTTCAGGAACCATGAAAAGACCGCCCGGCTTGCCTTGAATTGTGCAGCTAGAAGCGAAAAACTCCTTGTCGGGCCATTTAACAGAGTTGGTAGGGATGTGCCCGTACACACAAAAGACACCCGTGTAAACAGGAACGAGGTCCGTTAGATAGCGCCTCAGCGTGGAGTGAATACCATCCGATCCGACAACAACAGCAGCTTTCTCCGCCTTGCCGCCAGCCAGAAACGTGACGCCTTCCGGGGAATCGCTAATGATCTTCTCGAACTTGGCATCAAAGTAGATCGGGACTCCACGCTCGGCCAGCATTTGCTTCATCTCTTGCAGAAGGGCGAGACGGTACAGACGATAGGCAGGATATCCGTACACTTCCTTGGAGGCTAGCTTCATCGTATCCACAGTCTTATCTTCGCTGTTTTTGGTGATGCTGTCTTCGAAAAGGAAGCTTTTCGGCTTGATTCGGCTCAAGACGCCGAGGTCGTCGAGGATGCGGCATCCGTTGGGTGTCAAAACCACACCGCTGGTGAGGATATCCGCATCTGCGCTTCTTCCTTCGTAGATCCGGCACGGAATCGACTTTTGGTGGAGGGCCAAGGCAAGAGCAGTACCCTGAGATACCTGTTAGCTCACTTACAGTAGCACACTCGATAGTGCCATGTGAGAGGGGACCCACGCCAAGGCCTGCGCCAATGATGGCTACGCCGTCCTTCTTGATGGTGTCCATTGATGATGAGACTGAGCTGTTTGTCTGTGATGAGTTGGAAGGTTTGGTGACGGGATTCCCCGCGAATGATCCGTACTTATATCAAGTTACCACTGCCTATCAGACGGCGATTGATGAGATGAAACCGCCGCGTCCGAAAAGCATGGCCTTGACGGGAATTCGGGCGATGGAACTTACCGTCTGACCATTGAATTTGAAGGAATCCGGAATGCCGTACATCGTAAATGAGGGCCTGCGTAGACAAGCAGTTGAACTGCACGAATGACGAAACATTGGCGTACTTTTCCACGAATGAGACAGCCATACTTCCATGTCATTGAACACCGTGTCCGTGCTCAGAAGAAGGTTAAACCAGACGGCTCTTCGCGCTTTGTGATATTCACCATGTTCTTCGACTTCGTCCGATGTACAGTGTCGAGAATGACCACATCTTGTAATTTGACGGCCATCATTCAGTAGCCGACCGGACTAAATCGTTGCCAAGGCCTCGAGGAACATTTAAACAAAGCTGGACTATCAGCCTTAGGCTATATGGTCGGAGTGTATGCCCAACTCCGACGGCTGCGGAGTTTACGTAGATATCCGAACGATGAGAACGACTGCACGGCATACACAACTGCTCTCTGTGTGGCGCATTTATACCGACAGGAGATTTTGGGATGCTAAAGCCTAAGCAGTCCGGTTTGAGTCAGAATTAGACATATAAGTGCATTCAACAGCAATAAATGCCAGAGTCACCCCTACAGTCTTTGCTTTATCCCCGGGTGTTCAATAATCAGCGACAGGACAGAAATCGTCAAGAGAAGCTATCTCCTTTCTTCATGACTAGCCATTGCATACTGCGTGCGAGCCGCGGGATGAGGCTTTCATTGAAGTCTATAGCAAGTTGTGCACGAAATACCTTTGCATTCCAGAAGTCACGTTCAGTCGCCATTCCCAGGTTTCCATGATCACGGTTTGTACACCCAGCCGTCACCACACTAACGCAAGCTTCTTCATTTGCCGGTATGGTCATTTTCAATCAAACTATGATCATTCCCTCTGTCCTGTGAAGCAAGAAATCCGGCAGATGGGTACCGTAATGTGGGTTACAAGACTTGAGGGTAGAAGTAGGCTAAGGTACACTGTTGTGGAAACAAAGTCTTAGTATTGCCTAACATTGGACAACTTGTAACAAGACTGTTGTTATGATCTCGGATTAAAGTCATTAGCATCTTTTTCATATTACTGCTGTGTTTGAATTAACTTGTGTCATCTCATCGCAGATTCCATTGATAGAACGATGGCTTTTCACAAGCCTCTGCTCGTCCATGCTTGTCAAGGTTCATCTAAACTAGTGCAACGTCATCTCACTAAATGTAAGTATGAGCAATAATACTCCAGCTTCCAGTTATGCGAGAACCAAGCCTCGACCGAAGTTATGCTCATGTCTTTTTTTGAGCCGCAAGTCGCCACAAATCGTCACCTAGAGCTGAGCAACTTGCGTCAGCTCTTCAACACGGTGCGTCTATGGGCTTTTGCTAAGTCGTTTAGGGTTTACGTATTCGCAAAACTGAAGCTGTGACTAGTTCGCCTCATTCTCAGGTCGACACCTGATTTGTCGAATATCGTTGGAGTTTCTCGTTGAGTCATTTGTGAGAGAGTACAGGACGTGCGTTCAGGCGATAACTAGGCTGCGTAGCTGTGCTCGTGAGGATTTCCCCAATGCTGGAGTTTTAGTGGAGTAACCCAAATAGTGGGTAAGGGTTCCAGTTCTGCAGGGTCTCGACTGCGCGATCATAGCGACCCTCTACTACCCTCTCTTTTCTCCAGTGGTTCGGCCGAATTGATGAAGAACGCCATCGTACGGAAGGCGAATCGTTGCGGGGGGTAACTAATCTTATAAACCCCGCCAGATTTCTTTTGTGTATCATGACGTCGGCCTCGCAATTCAAGAAAGTCCGTTTCGTATTTGTTTCGTACTCGGCATGGATCTCGTGATGGCCCCGGATGCTTCCAGGATGCGAGACCGAGGTGCATATGAAGATACAACTACCGGGCCAAGTCCCGCCATTCACCTTTATCATCCCAACCCCGCCCGCGTCGTGCCCTCCGCCTGCAAACACACAAGCATCTGCGTAACCGAACCCAAAGTCGCAACGCGCGCGAGCCCTTCACGATGGCCGAAGTTCAGAATAATCCCGCAACGACCACCGAGACGACGGCGACGACCACGGGCGCGCCCGCGGACGAGTCGCAGATCATTCAAGAGGCGCCTCTGTTGTCCAAGGTCAGGTATGGCGCGACGGCTTTCGCGATCCAGAACTTCGTGGTCAAGCCTGCGCTGTTCCTCCGCGACGTCAAAGCACGCATCATCCCGTCTGAGCATCGCCCCGACTTCGTGAAGACGTACGAGTGCCGACCGTATCTTCCTGTCAGGTATGCATGCAGCCAGCAGCTAAAACAAATCCTTTCGTCTGTAAGAGACCTGCAGCTGACAGATGTTCCAGAATGTTCTTCCCCAAGTGCTTTGACAAGACCTCCAAGGATAAGCTGCCTGTTCTCTTCACTATTCACGGAGGTGGTTTCGTGCTCGGAACTCCCGACGACAACGATGACTGGAACGCGGCGTACGCTACTCAGCATCACTCCATGGTGATCGGACTCAACTATGCCAAGGCCCCTGGCAACCCGTTCCCAGGTCCGATTCATGACTGCGAAGAGCTCTTCCTCGCCTCTTTGAACGATGAGTCCCTGCCCATAGATAAGACCAGAGTCGCTCTGGCGGGTTGGTCTGCAGGTGGAAATCTCTGTCTTGCGGTCTCGCAGCTGGCTTCCGTGAAGAAGCACTTGTCCGCTATTGTTCCACTGTATCCCTGCACGGATCTCTCCCTCGAGGCGGAAGAGAAGGCCAAGTCGCGACGATACAAGCCTGATCTGGGCGGTTTCCGCGCCAAGGAGAAGGACTTCCTACTTAGCATCGCCCCTGTGTTCGACTGGTCTTACAAGGTCCCGGGCGAAAGCGCTCGCAACCCGCTTTTGAGCCCTGCATATGCGCCAAAGGATGCTTTCCCAAAGCAAGTCTTCATGATCGGCTGCGAACTCGATCTGCTTGCCCACGAAGGTCAGCGACTCATTCACAGCCTGGCTGGGCGCCCGGCCCCTCCCGCTGTTGTGGGCAAGGAAGAGACCGTGGAGAAGGGCGAGCTCATCCTAGACGACGAGAGGTTCCACTTTGAGGTTTCGAACCCGGATGGAAGTCGATACAGGTGGTTGCTCGTGCCCGACACCGTTCACGGATTTGACCAGCATCTGGATGGCATCGTCCGTGACCCCGTTTTGCTTGAAGACGCCGAGATCAAGACGCAAAAGACAATCAAGATGATTGGAGAGTGGGTCCTCAAGGCACCTGCAACGACGGCCTCGTCTTGAGACCACTTACCCATGAAGCCAAGAATCTGCCCGAGCAACTGCGCGACCCCACCGCACACGTAATAAGGGACTGCTTTCCAAGTATACCAAGAAAATATCCAGCAGTGGACGACGTTTTTATAGTATACCATTTTTTTCCTGTTTCTTCCAGATTCTTGTATTCAGTTTTCGTGGCTCTCTGCTCAAACGGAAGTCATCATGTACGTACGTAGCTCATTGTTTATATGACATCACTCAGGCGCATACTTTTGATCTTCGGTCGATGTCGTTAGGGCTTTGGGAATCGATCTAGTAAATCTTTCCAGTGCAACGAGGCTGTTACCTTACAACGCCCCCGCCCTGGGTTCGAGGAACCAGTCACACGGGAGTATCGAAGAAAAGCCGTCAGAAACATGTCTAATTCTATTCCATCTACAAACTAATTTGGAAGTACCGTCCCGGCTGGCGGGATGTTCAGGTTGATCAGGTAGTCGTCAACCGCTCTAGATGCATCGCCCTTGTTGAGGTAGCTAGTATGCCCGGACCCCTCCCTCAATATCAAGGTCGCATTCTGGAACTCCTCCGTCATTCCCACGGCATACACCAGACTTGTGGCGGGGTCGAAGCGAGAGTGTACGAGAAGAATAGGGTTCTGTGTCGCCTTGACACTCAAAGCCGTTCGAGGGTTGGTGATCTTCACAGGATACCCAGTGCAATCAATGACTCGATGCCAGAATTCACCCATACCAGGCGTAACGGTGAAGGCCCTCGTCATATCAGCAACTCGTTGCACTTCGATATGACTCTCAGCTGCGAAGAAGTGACCATCCTGGCATTGAACATTAGTAATGGACAACGAGCGGCTGTCTGTAAAAATGTCTCCTGACAAGAGCCCCGGGCTGAAGAAAGAGCCATTTCCAGTGGCTCCGAGTTTGAGCTGTTCCGCAAAGGTTTTGCGCTCTGAGGGGAATTCTAGGGTAGATCGAGCGGCGCCTATCACGTTGTTGGCCGTAGCGAGGGGAAGACACCTGGTCTTGGCTGTCCCGTCGCACTCTGCGGCCTTTAGGTTTCCAGCGTTGGCGACTTCAAGGATCTTATTCCAAGTCTGTCTGATATCTTGGCCCCCCTCCCCACAGTTAGTGGCGTTGGCTTCACAGAACCTGAAGAAGTCCTGGATTGTCGCATCCAAGGAGGTTGCCTGCGTCATGATGTTGGACGCAAAGGCACCAGTGTGCTGAAGCATGCCGTCGAGAGCCATGGCTCTAATAGTGTCGGGGAATAGAGCGGCATATTGCGCCCCTAGCTGGGTTCCATATGATACGCCGAAGTAGTTCATTGGCTCGCCGCCAGCAGCTAAGTCCAGTCAGCATATCCTGTAAATGCAGCCGTTACACGACACGACTGACCAACTCTGACGGCTTCCATATCCTTCGCCACGAATATTGTGTCCATGTGATCGAACAGTGGCCCAGTCATAGCCCGGCATGATTCTCCGAGAGCCTTGTTGTAATCGAACAATTTCTGAAATCCTTCCGGCGTTGTCGCATCGAACTCGCTTGGCTGATTGGCCAGGTTTGTGTCGCATTTCTGCGGTGTACTTAAGCCAACACCTCGAGGATCCATTCCGATGATATCAAAGGACTCCCGCACTGCGTCGCTGATGTAAATCCTTTTTGTTGCCATTCCAAGAACCATGCTCGATGCGGCGCCACCCGGCCCTCCTGGATTCACGAAGAGATTGCCAACACGCTTCCCAGTGGCAGGTAATTTGACGATGCCCAACTGAACCTTGGGACTATCGGGCTGCACATTGTTGTGATCGAGTGGTACTGAAAAGTTGGTGCATTGAAGCTGCGATGTGGCATTGACTCCGCGGAACGGCCGTATATCAGTTGGGCAAGCGCTCCATGTAATCTGGGCTGGTATATCCTGTTGCACGGGACCAACTGGCTGCGGAATCATAGCCGCGATTCCAGCCGATACGCATGGGAGGAGACCCAGCAGTAGGCTGAGGATCAACAGGTAGTCCATCTTGACGGAAGACTGCCTCTGGAATGTCCGTGTTGTGACAGGAGTTCGTCCATGGGCTGCACAACATATCTGAATGGAACTGCTGCCATCAGCATACTTTTAAACGTCGAACCGCTGATCTGACCCATCGAATACCGTTTGTCAGGGGCATCTGCCACGCATCACGACACGGCGGCAACCCTGAGTCAAGGAAGCTTTTGAACTTTGATCAGGGCGACAAGCCACCAAATTCGCGTTTCCGCCCGGCAAAAATGTCTCGCGGACGTATCAGTCTTGGCCCTGAACAGGAACAGCTTTGGTGGGTGAGACGAAACGGCAAGGAGGGAAGGGGAATTAGAGTTTTTAAGCTTGGATTTTGGCATGATCCCACCAATCATCCCGCCGGTTGTGTGAGAAAGTGTAAGAAGCTAGCGGCAATTCAGGAACGGCGTTTCCAGGAGCCAACCTAGATGCCGCCGCGGTAACTCCCGTAGACTTGTCCGAAATTCCGATAGACGCGGGAGAGTCATCGTGTAATCGCGTTCACGAATGGGGCGGAACGCTCGCCTATGCGAATTAAGGTTTGCTACTGTATGATCGCTTACCTCCGAGCGATGAACTGTTGAACGGGAAATTTGAATAGTGGCTTCGGTATTAAGGCCCATCGCCGAGGAAAAGCATGATGCGATACACTACTGGCTAAGATCTAGCAGTCGCCGTATTCATATGTGATCCTAGCTCTGTGACTATCCTTGCCGTACCTGCAGGTAGTCCGACCTTGTGTCTCCTTGCTTCTCATTCTACAATGATTGAATCATTCCAACCAGTGGTGATACCCAGAAATGCAATGTCACAATCTGGTCGGGGCCCGAAAGACCTTCCGGCTCTACCAATGACATTCATGAGGCCGATTGCCCTAGCCATGCGATAACTATAGTCAAGTACTAGACCGAATACAGCGGTCACAAATAGCAACGTGGAGAAAGCCAACTCAGCCTGAGGATGCTACTGATTTGATTGTGGGCGCCCGCGAATGTCACGCATTGGAAATCAACGTAGCAATGCGGCGGCGACAGCTGCTCAGCAAATCTTCTCCTTTCATGAGAGGATAGGGGGGATGGAACAGCAGATCACCCGCATCGACAAGAAAAGTCCATCCTTTCAACCACTGAGCCCTTGCGATCTTGACAGGCCTATTTCTGCGATTACGGTCGGGGTGTTTTCCAAGACGCGGATGTACATCAACTGTCGAGCCTTGAAGTCTATTTTCTGTAGTGCTTCTCGTTGGCACGTTGTGTTGTGCGAGCCATTTCCTCCCTTCGATATCAATCTATAAATTGCTCTCCAAATCCATCAGTTACAAGAACTCAGCTAGAGCTGCCTACACATGTATGGAGAGGCACCTTCTCAGCTCAGATGGCAATGTCACTTTGAGCTTAACAATTGGAGGATCACCTGCTCCCTCAAAGCTTCTGTTGACCTGCCATGTCTCCGGAGGGACTGTCAGCCCCTGAGCGGTGCCATTCCTGATCATGGTACGAGGCAAGGAATCTGTCTCGCACACTTCAAGATACCTTCCATGACAATGTGGCATTTGGAAGGGGACGAGTTTAGCTTCGTGCGTGACTCAAAAGGGTGCAACCTCGACATCTCAACCCGAATAAATGCGTAACCTTCAAGGCACCCAAGGATTGAATGCCAAACCCAAGTCTTTCCGATTTTGACTGACATCCCTTGGCCTAAACTGCTTCCAGAAGGGACATTGCGAGGGAGGGAGGCAGGTCTACGAGAGGAAGGAAGGCAATCGGGACGCCGTGCCTCCCACTCCTAATTCTTCTGCCACCGTGTGAGGCTTCGTGGTCTGGTTGGTTTGGCCGGATAAATGGTCAAATTCTCGTGATCTTGGTTCGATTCTCCTATGATGTCGAGACTTTCGGGCCTTTTGTTCCACGCACCGCAAGGGTGCATCTCCGAGCCACACATGGCAAAAGAAGGCCACGATTGAGGTTTTCATGTGGTACCGCTTTGAGCACCCCCAAGAAGAATATAGAAAAGAAACCTCCGCCAACTTTTGTTGAGTCAAATTGTCCCTCAGACTATTATCCAACGTTCCTAGCATTGAGCAGCCGTGAGGCTGAACCCGCTAAGATCAAACTAAGCGTCATCACTGGAACGACTCTGTACTGCGTTGACGATTGTGCCAATATTTTCATATTCATATCCATCTCAATCTGCCAGGGAGGAAGGGGACTGCTTGGTAAGTGGGCGGCAGGGCATCCTTCTCCTTAAATCATGTCCTGATGGCGCCTCCCTGGTTTGGGTGGTACCTCCTGGGGAAGGCGACATGCGTGATGGCAGGAACGCTCCAGCTTCCCGGGGGCGTGTCGAAGATCTGCGGGTTCAGAGAAAACAGTGATAACAGCCCACAGTCAGCTCTCCGAAGCAAGTTGGAGGCTGCATAGATGGCACATATTCTGAGTTTTCTAAAGCAAAATGGGAGGAGCCAAAAGAGAACATTCGCTGAGTTTTGGCTTTTGGCTATGATTCCCGTCCGCAAGCGCGAGACTCTTTACATGCTAGGTTGTTACTTTGGTGAGTTTTTGCTGGAGTCGTTGATGACGAGGGTTGATGCTGAAATCTCAGGGGTTCCGCCGTGAATGCCGCAAGTTGATAGTTTCTCAATCATGGTCGCTTAGAATCAATCCATGCCCGAATCACTGAATTCGGAGAACACCAGAAACGTTGCGATAGAAAAAGGCACTTTAGCGAATAACCAACATGACAGACTCGTAATTTCCGCAGCCTCCGTATTTTCTTACCTTCGTTATGTTGGCCGAGGCGGCCAGTGTCATATGACTTATGGAAACCTCTCTTTTGAAATTGTCTCAAATCCCCATAATTCCCCATCTCTCGCCGTCATCCACTTACAGGCGGAGATGCATCACTCGGGAGTGGGAAATCAGACCCCACCCCCATCTTCTGTGTTCGTCTCCCACTTACGGCCATGATAAGCCACCCCACCTACGGTACATTGAGATGTATAAGTAATGTTATAGTCTCATCGCGTCTAAAATGAATTAATCATTGTACCGAAGCCAGTAAAGTCCGCTCTTGATTGTCTGTGAATTGAGAGGTTATCTTCACCAGTATGTTGTTCCCTCGCCATGCACCACCAGCTGCTCACATATACAAGTGTCTTCGTCTGAAACAGAAAGCATCACGGCCGTTCTTCACGCTTACGGCGCGGCCCTCAAGAGTCGTAACGTGGAAGAGGCTGTCGCTCTATACACCTCCGATGGCGTGATCATGCCGCCTCATTTCACAGCCGCTGCAGGCACTCCAGCTCTTCGCGAGTCCTACACACGCATATTCTCTAGCATCCAACTGGTCATCAAGTTTTCTATTGATGAGATTGTTGTCATGTCCCCAGATTGGGCATTTGCAAGGACTACAGCTGAGGGAACCAAGACGATGCTGGCGACACAGGAGTCGGAGGAGCATGCCAATCAGGAGCTCTTTATCATGAAGAAGGAGGGCGGGAGCTGGAAGATTGCGAGATATGCGTTTTCAACGATGAAGCCTTTGGTTCAGAATGGTGTAAGAAGAAGCTAAACATGTAGTCAGCCAACGAATGCTAGAAACATGAGCAAAAGAACACTTAGAGCGCTGATCTTCAAACTTTGATCCAGGCCATCTTCATATGGCTTCGGTATTTATCTCAATAACAGAAAATTATTTGATTTGATTCAAAATCCTTCTGCATAATACGGAGTCCTGTGCTCGACCTTCCATCCAATCATACTGTTTGGCAATCATTTTCCGCCGATGCCGAATCGTCATCGACGGAATGATTCCGAGTAAGACTTCCACGACCCGGGCAGAAGTTCAGATGAACACCGTTTACCTCGAGGTTTATCGTCGTGTCTGTTTCGTTTCCTGGCGTCCCTCTCCCGTAGATACCCATACGCCAAGGAATGAACAATATCGCTGGGCCGAAGAAAAAACATGGCAACAACTGCCAGCGGCTTGCGAGCTGCAAAAGTCCCAGTTCGGTAAGAGGGCGCTTTTTATCTAGTGGTCTGGCGTTTACCCCGTCGGAAAAGCCAACCTGCGGTTTGTCCCTGAGCGAGAATGTCCGAACAAATGACTCATCCTCATCCCCAGATGCTGCTTCGATTGTTTTCTCTTGAAGCAAAAGAAGCGTGCTAGCTGACTCCGTAGCATTTGTCAACTGGCTATGTATACTTATTAAGGCAATAAGCCCACTGCTAATAGATAAAAGCAGGGCGTACGACCCGAGCTGTGCTGTTGTAGAGTCGTTCTTTACAGACGAAGTCCATGGTGCTAAGCCGGTCACGAGACAGATGCCCAACATGACCGCAATGTTGGCAAGCATCTTTTCGAGTGCAGATTCTAGACTCTTCTCATAGTCCTTGACTTTTGCATCGCGAAGTGTGTTGATGAACGCGAACAACTCTTTTTCTGGTCCTGGTGAAACCTCACATATAAGACATGCCCACGTCCGCTTGTCAAGCCTGTGTCTGAACCGCTCCCATGACAGTTTGCTTGCACCTGGCATTGCTTGGCCTTCGGGGAACTTCGAGGCCGACTGATATGTAGTCGACTGTTCTGTCTTGCCAAAGAGTTCGAGGCTGAGAGGATTCCATTTGGCCTCGTCGGCGACGATCTGGTGTCGGCGTTTAAGATGTCGGTACACGTTGCTTGACGCAAACACAAATGTACCGCAGATAGTTTTCCAGCAAGCCTGATATATAACAAATGTGAAGTTGCGGTAAAGTAAAGTGGAAGTGCGGCGGTGAAACAAAATGTTGGCCAGCCCGTATACCAAGACCAAGAACAATCGGGTTACACTGTCGGCGGTCGTTCTTTTGTTCAAAAAGCCGTTATAGACAAGCGTATTGAAAGTCATGGCGACGACAAGCCAGCCACTGACATAATTCCATATCGATATCTGGACCATAATCTTCATCACCGATGAGGAAGTTCTAACCCTTACTGGTATTTGTTTGGGCTCTGGACTTTCGGTTCTTGAGTCATCGGGCTGCACATCGTTGATTCGACGACCAGATGAATACGGAGAGTCCGTGAAATCGCTATGCCCACCAATGCAGTAGATTTTTAGTTTCTTTGAAATTTTATATCTGACGTTGATGCCAATCTCTTGGGGGAAACAAAGTATCCAAGGCAAGGCTTCGTTTTGGTCTTGAGTTTGAGTTTGAGTTTTGCTTTCATCTCTGGGGTGGCTTTCTTCATGAGTTTTAGGTTCAACTTGGGATCCGCTTTCAACTTGGAGTTTTCTGTCATTCGGGAATTTCCATCGCAATCTCTCTGGCCAGGTCATTGAAAGAATGGCGGAAATGTTTGGCTCCAGGTACGTTGAGGGTAACCATATATCGTTCGACAGCTTGGGCGTGTATGTCGTCAAGATCCAGTACGTAATCATCATGAATGATAGTGTGACAAGGGCGATTGTGGTGTTAACCTTCTTGCTAAGTTCCATGGTCTCAGACACGGGCCCGCTGGCATTGCTCGAATTATCGGAAGCTGTTGCAGCCATCTGTGCGTCGATAAAGAATTTAGTACCGTCGCCCATAGTAGCTGGTCGACAGATAATTGAAGTGACTAGGCCGAGTAAAAGAATGAGGCGGCGGCAGTGGATGAGATCCATTTTCATTTCATTGTCCCATATACGGGACGGTGACGGCGTTTTAATGAAGAGCCTGTTGAGAATAGGGAACCCCGAACATTCACTGTCGCCGAGATCCGACGAGTCGTCCGATACCGAATGCTGTGGGAACCAGGAGCAGATTTGAGTCGCAGAGCTTGAGATACCTGTTGCTGTCGTAGCAGACAAGAAAGCGGCCTCTTGCCGCAAGGTCGATAATGAGGAGTTAACTCCGCAGATACCGGACGCAATGAATTAAGAGAGAAATAATTTCGGCATCAGCATTATGCTAGGTGGGCAGCCTTTGGGATAAGTAGTAAAGGAGGGGGAAGGCACATACTTGGGCCTTAATGGTCCCTTAGAGAGGTGCGGCTGTGTAGTTGATCCCGCAATCGGTCTCTCTCCCTTTTCAACGCCGCTACAGGGGAGTTTGTCCAGCTGAAGCTGAGCAGCTTTTGTCGACTGCTTGCTATATGTCTCGACTCGAGACCTTGAGCTCTATAAGAATGAGAATTCCTGTTAGGAAGATTTCGTTTGAAAAGAAACAGCTGGTGGGAAGAATGCCGATGGTTGGGTGATCAGGCTGGACCCGCCAAGAGCAAGCAGGCTGAGCATCGGGACACTTGGGGGCAGGGAAGCAGCCAACCCTTGTTGCATATGCATCTTCAGATGTGGGACACCCATTAAAATCAGGCTGGCTCTGGGTACCCAACTGACGTGGCATCTCGGTCTGCCCAGTACACAGCCTGAGGCGATGCATCTTGCATGCAGAGGTGGAATATCCGGAGAAAAAGACTGCAGGGTTGAACAAGAGAAGCGACATGTTTCGAATGATTCGGCATGCCTTCACAACATCATTGATGTTGACTTATGTCAGCAATGAGCAAGTATTTAGGTACAATGACGGCTATCTAGCCAAGTACTCTCTTCTTAATACTACAACTTATGCCCACAGTCAGAGGTACTGCTACAAGTGAATCCAACAATTGATGGTTTAGTTGGTAGCAGAAGAAGATCGTTCGTCATAGTTGGAAAGCAGGTTCATATACGTTCGGGTCTCTTGTGAGTCCTTGGACCTGTGCTCATTATAGAAGGAATTGATGGTGAAAATAATAATACAAATTGAAAGTCTACAACCACAATGCTCCTTCATTATCGTGGTATTATCCCAAAACATGCACCCATCTCTCATCTACTTCTTGATCTCGGTGCTCCCAGCAGCAGTTGTCCCGCTCGCTGTATCAGGAGAATCCAACAACTCTGGGCCCGGCTCAACCTTCTTGTTAACGCTCTCAGTCGCCACCTCCTTCTCAACCTTCTTAACATCAACATCATCCGCCTCAATCTCTTCTCCGTACGGCCCGCTGGTCTTCACGCCCTCCATAGAATCAGTCTCATCTCCATCCTTCACGACGCCGTCCTTGACACTGCTCGCCCGGCTCACGTCCGCGCTCTCGGGACTCTCCGTCCTCAGGCCGAGGTGCTTCTCGGCTGTGGGATCCTCCTTGTTGCCGCCCTTCCAGTCAGCGGCCTTCATCTGCGGAACCGGCGACCCCTCTGAAGGCTGCTGCACGACATCGCCCTCCGCAGGACCGACTTCGTCACCACCATCCTTGGCGCGGTGGGAGTCCGCAACTCGCCAAACGACGGCAATCTTGTCGAACCCGCGGGACCCCTTCCTACTGGACCCCTTGATACCGTCCATCGCGTCCCATTCGATCTCGAACACGCCGCTGGCATCGGGCTTGCCATCTTGCTCAGGACCGTTGCCCTCAAAGAAGACGTTGAACCAGACGTGAGCCACCGCCGTGACCATGGTCAAGCCCATACTAGCGGACGTCCTGTTTCTTCTCTCGACAGAGATGTTGACATCACTGTTCGGGATATGGATGGCCTCCTTCGGCTTGAGGATAACGGCCATGCCACCAGGCTCTCCTTCCTCAGCATCTTCCTTGCCATTCGCTTCCGTCTCGCTCCTCTTCTGCTGTCCAGGCGCCGCCGGGTCCCTGATAAGTGACGTCGTCTTGGCGTTCCTCAACTTCTTGCTCTTACTCCTCGACACCCCGTCTTCCTTTGTCTCCTCCTTCTTTCCACCATCCTTTGCATGATTTGTGTTGGCATGCTCCGCCAAAGGTGCTTCCGCAGGGGCCTTCTCCGTAGGCTTGACTCCCACGCTGGCCAAATCGGTCATCATACGCCCGATACCCCCTCCACTAGGTGCATCTCCCTCGATAACCACCCTCTCACTCTTCTTGAACGTGTGAAACACCTTGATCTTCTTGCCCTCATCCTCGAAGCCTTCAACATCAAACTTGACGCCGCTACGCAGGCCCCAGACATGAATCTCCATAATCTCAACTGCGCGATCCACATACTTTTTGCCTCCCCTAGTCCAGCGGTCCACGTAGGTGATCGTCCGCAGCTGACTTGGGATAGACACACCAGCGCCGAACTTAGGCCTCATCCTCCGCTCGGTAAACCTCGTCAGCGCCTCCTCAGGCTTCCAGCCGCACTCCGAGATCAGGTAGCTGCAAGAAACAGTCCCGCTGCGGCCCTTGCCAGCCTTGCAGTGCACAACGACGACTCTCTGATTATCGCCTCCCTCGACCTTCTTGCCGTCAGACTTGCTGACAGCCACGTCGCCCTGCTGGAGGTCGCCGCCATTGAGCCAGTTGCGCATGCTCGCCATGATCATGGGAATCAGGCGGAACGGCGGCGGGTGGTGGTCAGGCCAGGGGTAATGCCTCACACGCCCGTAGACCTCCTCGTCGGGGTACCCCGTGCCCTCGGCGCGGAACTCCCATATCGCCCAGTTGTCCTTGTGTTTCTCGTCGAGGAAGGTGACGAGGCGGTCGAGCGGGTTTCGGTAGGCTCTTTGGGGATACGTCCCTGATGGACCGGAGCTGATTCGCACATCATCGTCAGCTTCATGTGTCCTGCAAACATTGTGAAGAAGAGAACGACTTACGTGGCAATAATGTTGGAAGTGACATAGCACAAGTCCAAGTCGGACTCGGCGTGCCTTGCGCGAGGCCCCGCGACGATTTGTCGCAATAGAGAAGCCATTTCTCGAAAAGAAAAAAAGAACCCGAAACCTTGAATGCGACGTGGAACTTGGATTGGAAAGCGGAGCAAGGTTTAGAACGGGGTCGCGCGCCAAGAATAAAAAGGTTGTTGCAGTGCAGCTGTATTAAATGAAGGGCCTAGGGAGGTGCAATCCAAGTCGAAAGGCCTCCTGACGTTTTGCGGGCGGTTCCTTAGCTGCGCCTGCGCCTTGGTCGCGTGCAGCTTGTCGAGGCTTGACGTCGGTGTGCGCGACGGCTGCGCGACGTCATTGATAGTGGGGTGAACCAGGGGAGGAAAAGGCCGAGCTACGCCACTTTGGGTGTGGCTAGGTGTCTAGAGCGTTCGTTCCCCGGGTGCTTGGCGACATGTGCTTAGCCCTTGTATCAGTGTTACATTATCAACGCCCACACCCATCGCAGCGCGAAGCAAACGGTGTAATGAATACTTTAATCATGCGGGTTTTGATGTATTGCGCAAACAAACTAGTAGACAATGGCCAGAGCCAGAGAGCGAAACGGGAACCTGAAATCATAGTGTAATGCAGAGCGCAACCCGGGGTTCGTCCAGGTCCTAAACTCGCCGACACTCCAAAAGCCAGAATGAGTCGCGGAAAAGCCGTTTGAACAATGGTCGGCCGTAAAACATCTCCTCTTCTTTCCTTTCCGTTGCTACCTTGTATCCTTGCCCCTGAACCGTTTCTTACATACTCCCCTGGAAGGAAACATTCTTATCATGGCTGGAGTTGCAGCCTGGCCCATCACATCGGCCGAGCCGGTACTGATGCGATATCGTATAATTAAGATGTGTGGGCATCATGCACCAGTCGTAGGGACTGGTGTGCATTCTGCCTGCCAATTTGAGCTCTTAGGAGGTCTTCTTGGGGACGGCGGTACCGCTGAGGTAGCGGTTAGGGTCGGTGTAGGCGTAGAACTGGCGGGCGCCTCCCTTGACAGTGTCCCAGGCCTGGCGAGCGGCAGGGGGAGTACCCTGGTTGCCGACGGCGGAGTCAACGCGGGACTCGAACATGGCGAACGAGTTCTGGACGTGAGAGCTCTGGGTGAAGCGGGCACGCAGGAAGGCAGTGTAGATGGCAATCAGAATCCAGGAGCGGCGCTGGAAGGTGATGGCGGAGAGCAGAAGGCGAACCCAGAGGAGGATCTCAAGGGAGGAAACCACGGACATGGACGCGTCGTAGTACTCCTTGACGAAAGCGCCAATCTTGTCGGCAATGGGGTTGTGCGCGTACTGGGGCTTTCCGCCGGGAGAAGCGCCAGCAGCCGGGGCGATGGGCTTGGGGGGAGTGATGGTGGGAATCACGTTGGCGCGCGTGTAGGTGGCGACGTGGAAGACGGAGTAGATGGCGTAGGGAAGCATAGCCAGGGGGTACTGGGGAGAGAAGAGCCAGACCAGGGACATGACTGCAGATTCCAGTTAGCCGCAGCGACAAGACGGAGAGAACGAACGAAGAAACTCACCAAGGTACTGGACATTCTCGTCGGCGATGAGAGCCAAGGGGCTCTGGGGCGCCTTAGCTCCGGCCTTGCTGCGAGCTCTCAGGGTCTTGTAGACGACAATACCGTAGGTAAGGCAGGCCGAGAGGAAGGCCAATCGGTAACTCCAGCGGGCGACTCTGCTGTAGTAGTTGAAGGTAACGTAGGAGAAGGAATAGCGAATAACGGACAGGATCAGAGTCAGGTGTCTGGCGAACGCGTTGTTAGCAAATGCTGAGCCCTGGAAGAAGTTCTCATCGCTAAAGATGCAGCCCCGGTCCCCCGGCCTTCTCCGCAGGCGCGACTAGCATGTTCTTCGGGTCGCAGGGATACGGATGAAGCTCGAAGGTCAAACGGAATTGTCTGTACGTACCCGGCAAACCAAGCGACTGTTTGAAGATAGACGGTTAGCATATGCCGCACTCAGACATGCAGACGGGAGTTTGAAATCGACATACATTGCAGGGTCTGGGCGAGAAGCAGAAGCCTCTGGGTGAGAGGGACGCTGGCGGGCGGAGGGGGTGCCATCGTGCAATATTCTTCTGGCGGCAGGCGCGATAGGCTTGAAATGTGGTATACAGCTGTTGGTGCTGATAATCAGCAGGTTCGCAAAGGATGATGGGATTTGCGACGCAGTGCAAAGCTCTGTGTCGTGTGTCTTTTTTCTGGTGGTGTTGGAGTTGACTTTGGAAAGCTGGCCAGAATGCGCAAGAAGTTGAGGTGATGGCGGGCGGTGGAGTGGCTGGTTAAGGTGGAGGTGGAGGAAAATGGAGCCTGGACTCAGGCAAGCGGTGGTCGGTGCGTCAGTGCGTCACTGCTTCCTTCTCTGTGCTTCCCTTTGGTCGGGCCAGCTGCTGCCCTTTTTTTCGCTGGACTCTGGAGTGGCCGGGAGCGCGCAGAATGGACACGGAATTGAGAGGGAGGGGTCAATGGCGGCGGGAGGGAGGAAAGGTTACAGTGACCCCGGCAAAGCAAGACAGCGGTACGACGACCAACCCAGCTGAACTCCAGTCCAGGGTCCCGGGCACTTCAGCGGCAGATCTGCGGACTGTTCCCTCGCTGAGAAGTGAAGGGCTCCAAATTTTATGACGGCCTTGGACAGGGCTCTTTGCTGCGAGAAGTGTCACCTGCGAATCATCAATGCGACAGCTCTCACATGTCATTTTTTGCGCATGGAAAGATGAGCCCTCTGGTCCTTTTATTTTTGTTTACTTTCCATCATTTCTGCTCACCTTGACACCGACGAGGCGGAAACATCTGAGCCCAGCACCTCCAGGTAAAGGGAGACATGAGACGACGGAATAGAATCCGTGCTCTCTGGCTGCAGCCCAGTATCAGCAAAACACCAGCCGCTAACCAGTCCGGATGGCCTGATGCGCTGATGCAGCAACTAGGTAATCGTCCACGGTGCTAGGTGCTAAATGCTAAGTAGCCCAGGCAAATGGTGCCTCTGCCCTGCTCTGGACTCATTGGGCGCGCATCTGCGAGACGCTCTTTCATCACCACCTGACGCTAAATCCGGACTTCCCTGTTGGTGTCAAGCCTCAATCTTCGGCTTGTTTCCTTTCGTCATCATCACACCCTTGGTCTGTGCGCCAGCTGCAGCTCCGATCCACCAGCTTTGGCCAATCCAAATTCTCCGCCGTCAGCTTGCTGTCAACACTGTACGTCTCAGCCTAAATTTGCATCTCAATACAGTGTGGACCAACACACCAGAACTGTCCGTCTAGACCCCTGTCAATTGAGAAGCTGTGGCGTCACAGCTCCCCGAAATCTGAATTGTTGAGATTTGGAGCTCCGTGGCATCACCACAACTGATTGTCTCGACGGCCCGTGTTGTTTCGCCCACTCCGACCGTGACAACCCGCCACGATGCCGCCAAAAGCTGCTCCTCCGCAGAGGGAGTTCGTCCACCCCGAGGCCGGCCATGCCAGAAAGAAGTAAGCCGTCCAATTCAATTCCTGGCTGCTGCGCAGCCACTCCTGCGACGTCCACTAACAGGACCCTCGCGATAGGCCGCCCAGCCCTTTCGCCATCGAGCCCATCTCAGCCTTTTATTGCTTCCTGGCTGCAAACATAATCTCCGCCCTCTTCGCCCCGATCCAAGACTGCGACGAGACATTCAACTACTACGAGCCTACCCACTACCTCTCCCACGGCTACGGCCTCCAGACATGGGAGTATTCTCCCACATATGCCATTCGCAGCTGGCTCTACGTTAGTCTGCATGCCATTGTCGGCAACATCCGCCGTCTGCTGCCCCAGTCTACCAAGGCAAGTCCAATGCGTCGTCCACGATATTCGGCCTATTGGTCTCGTACTGACTGACCTAGGTTGGCGAGTTTTACTTCATTCGATATGCTCTGGCCTTCGGCTGCGCCTTATGCCAGACCCTGCTGTTCCGTGTCATCAGCCTCACCCTCAATGCGCGCATTGGTCTCTTCTTCATCCTGGCCACGGTCTTCAGCGCAGGCAACTTCCATGCGAGCACCGCCTATCTACCCTCCAGCTTTGCCATGTACATGGCCATGCTGGGCGCTTCGTCCTTCATGAACTGGCGTGGTGGACTGAAGACTGCTCAAGGAATTTTCTGGTTTGCTGTTGGAGCTGTCGTAGGATGGCCTTTTGCTGCCGCCCTTTCCTTTCCCTTCCTCATTGAGGAGGCTATCTTCGCTGCGCTGAGTGACAAGGATCGCTTCATTGAGGCTATCATCCGCGTCGTCAGGGGTGTGATTGCTGGCTTGATCGTTATGGTAAGTCTCTTGTTGATATCTGTGGTGTAAACCGCATCTCACACATCTAGTTCTTTGATGGATGCATCAACACTTTCTTCTACAAGAAGGTCGAGGTCGCATCTTGGAACATTGTCAAGTACAACATCTTCTCGGAGACCGGTGGCCCGGAGTTGTACGGTACTGAGCCTTGGGACTTTTACTTCCGCAACCTCGCCCTGAACTTCAACATTTGGTTCATCTTGGCCCTTGTCTGCCTCCCCCTTTTCGTCCTGCAGAAGCTGGTTTCACCTTCAGGACAAGGCTTTCAGACAGGCTTGCGCGCGCTGGTTTTCATCTCGCCTTTCTACCTCTGGCTTGGCATCTTCACCCTTCAGCCTCACAAGGAAGAGCGTTTCATGTACCCCGCGTACCCTTTCCTTGCTCTCAATGCTGCCATGTCCCTGCACATCATTCTGGCGGCTCTTGGCAACTCGGATCCCAAGACTCTCGTTGGCAAGATTCCTGCCAAGCTCAAACTCTTCACCGTCAGTCTGGTGCTCCTGCTTTCCTTCGACATCGGACTCTCGCGCGTTTACGGGATCTGGTCCGCCTACTCTGCCCCGATGAGGCTCTACTCGCCACTTGGAGCGGGTGTCAGCGGTCAACAGGGGCTCGGCCTCCGTGGCGATAACGTGTGCTTCGGCAAGGAGTGGTACCGCTTCCCGTCATCCTACTTCCTGCCTCGCGACATGCACGCCAAGTTCGTTCGCTCCGACTTCCGAGGACTGCTTCCTGGAGAGTTTGCTGAAGCTCGGACTGGCTTCGGTTTCTGGAGCGGTACGTGGATGCCCACGAAGGGCATGAACGACAGGAACGAGGAAGACATGGGCAAGTACGTTGATCAGAGGACTTGTGGATTCCTGGTCGACACTCAGTACCCCGAGCGAAACGACCCCTTGCCGCCGAACGAGCCTGACTATATCGCCGATGAAGAGCACTGGGAGGTTGTGAAATGCGTTCCGTTCCTGGATGCGGCCAACACACACTTCCTCGCCAGAGCACTCTGGGTTCCAGACCTGCCCTTCATTCCCGAAAAGTTTCAACGCAAGTGGGGCCGCCATTGCCTTCTCAAGCACAAGAAATGATGGATCCCAAGAGCTCAAGCAAGGTCATCTACGTACCCAAAGTCGGCCTGATACCCACCATTCCAAGGCGCTCCTTGCCCCGTTGGACAGCTTCTAACGGGCGATTAGACGAGGGCGTCAACTTAACAAGTGAATACTGGCCAGGCTGCTCAGGCATTTTGGCATGCTCGCACTGGGGTATCAAGTTCACCTGAAGAAAGGTGGCAGGGCAACCAGCTATCAGACCGTGAAGATTGGAAAGGGAGCATTTATGCACGCCTGCAAAGGTTACGCGCCTGAACAGCGAAATATGCCTGGTTACAGCCGTTTGATACCACACAATGAAAGCATTCAACACACTCAGTCTACCTCCTACATGTGATGCTAAACTTCCACACTAGGGTTTACAGCAACAGTGACCACTTTACATGACCTCCTCAGAAGAAGAAACCCAGAATTCGCTTCCACATCGGAGTCTTCTTCTCAACCTCGTCAACTTCATAAACCTCCAGCTCCTCCTCCCGCCGCCTGCCCTTGTCCAGGTCAATACTCCGCAGATCAACTCCAAAGCCCCAATCTCTCGTGTACACCTTCCAGAAGAGAAATAGCGCAAGAGTAATCGGCGCCGCCATATAACTCTGGAAGAACGACTCGGCATTCGGGCTTCCGCCAACCGGCTAATCCCCATGTCAGCAACACAACTCTCCAAACATCTCACAAGATCACAAACAACTTACGTATAAAGCCGAGTAAAACGTCGCGCTCAGCGAACACACCACCAGGAACACGCCCACATAGCTTCCAGCCACGCCCAGGGCAGAGCGCCAGGGGATCTCATCCAGACTGCGGCCCTGCAGCCGCCACGCCTTGCGGAAGCGGATGTGCGCCAACATGATGCTCGCGTACGCGAACTGGCCCGAGAGGCCCGTGACGGCGAGCAGCCAGCTGAAGACGGTCTTGCCGTCGGCGGCGATGGTGATGAAGGAGATGAAGCCGAAGGCGACCTGCAGCGCGACGCAGTAGATGGGGCGGCCGTCCTTGTCGACGCGCGCGAAGATGGCGGGCGCGCGGCCTGATTGCGCGAGGGCTTGGAGGACGCGCGTGGAGCCGTAGGTGCAGGAGTTTGCGACGGAGATGACGGCGAGGGTGATGACTGTTGTTCTGGTGTTAGCTTGTTGTTGATGGGAGAAAGGGTGGTAAGAAGGACGCACCGCCGTTGATGATGTGAGGGAGGACCTCGATCCTAGCTAGCTGGACCGCGAGCACGAACGGGGAGGCTTTGGTGTTGGCTCCACTTGCGCCGAGGAGGACGTCGCTGTCTGACGGGACGATGAGGCCCATGATGAAGATGTTGAGGATGTAGAAGAGCGTGATGCGCCAGAAGACCTGCCGGGAAGCCTTGGGGAGAGTCTTGCGGGGGTTGGCTGCCTCAGCGGCAGCGAGGCCTACCATCTCTGTGCCACCAAAGGAGAATGCTATCGACTATTAGGTTTCGATGATACAGAAGCATGAAGGGTATGGATGTACCGGCAGTCACGAAGACGGAGCAGAAGCCCTGAAATCCGTTGCGGAAGGCGCCTGGGTCGTGCCAGTATTGGGCCCCGATATAGCCACGGGGATCGGTCGGGACGCCGCCTGTGTTGATGATGATGCCGAGAATGATGAAGCCGATGCAGGCTATTATCTTGACGATGGCGAGGATGAATTCAACTTTGAGTGGGCGTTAGCGTAGGCTGCTGGGCCGTAGAGAGTGTCAAAGGCATACCTTCTCCATATCCTCGAACACCAAAGACTTGAATCACAATCAGGAGGGTCATGAAGACGGCGCACCAGACTCCCGGGTTAACCTCCTCTCTGCTTTTCCAAAACTCGATGGTTATTCCAGCAGCGGTGATCTCAAAAGGGAGGGTTACCATCCAACCGATGGAGTATTCCCAGCCCATTGCAAAGCCCCTTATTACCAGTTAGCTGTATCGAGACTCCAAGCCATCCCCCGAGGACGAGCTTACCAGGCCGGATCGATGAATCGCACGGCATACTCGTAGAAGGCTCCGTTGACCGGGTAGATGATGGCTAGTTCTCCGAGGGCTTGGACGGTGCACATCATCATGCACCCGATGATGATGAAGCCAATGAGCTGATCAAAGATGTCAGTTCGTCACCCATAAGAATTGAGTTGGGATCACCCTACCAGAGCTGCCGGACCACCGGTCCTCAAGGCTCCTCCAGTTCCGACGAAGAGGCCAGCACCAATGGAGCCTCCTGGAGTTCATGAAATGCTATATTGAGCTTCATCCATGACAACAATTTTTAGAGTCCACTAACCGATGGCAATCATCTGCATATGCCGCCCCTTCAACGCCCGCGATAGGGGACGATGCTGCGATAAGGAGCTCTGCTTCCCCTCGCCATTACTGGAGGTCGGCTGAACAGCCTCGTCGGCAACGTCCAGCTTCTTCTCGTCAACTGCCATGTTGATATGACGCAAATTTCACCAAAAGTCAAGTCAGAAACAAAAGTCTGCTAAGAAACAACAAGCCTCGCCCAGAACTTGGCGGCTCGGCTTCAGTTTTATTCAAGTCTATCAGCTATCGTACTCCGTCGTACGGCTATTGCCCGTCGCACAACTGCCAATGCGACTTTATCTTTCATCCCAGCATTCGCGCCCCTGAAATGCATGTTGGACGTATGCTCGTCTGATAGAAATTCGGTCGATCTCTTATCACAAGAGGCGATGTCGCGTCTGTTGGTTCGGTGGCCGGGGGTCTGGTTGCCGTCTTTCCCCCGGTGATAGCGCGCGGCCGGCTAGAGATCGACTTTCATGGTCGGCAAAAGGCATGGGCGAGACGTCACTTGTCTTCATGCAGGTTGAAGTGCAGTATCTGGGAGCTTCTTATCAATGGCACAATCGATGAGATGGGAAGGAAACATTTTGCCAAGGAACGTGCCGTCAGGAGGGTGGTAGGACTGTGTGTCTACAGGACTGATAGCGTGTTGCAAGTACACCACGTCCATCACCCATCTGATTGAGCAAGACATTACAAGTCTTGACACCAAAGGAAGCTGCTCGGGAATTGCATCATTTATTGACAGATTTAAACCAGTTCATGAGTCAATCCATCAAGTTCATGTCCCGCATCAATCCTCCGTCACCGGGAATACGCGGTCACGTTCTCACGGTCCGATACTCGACCGGGGCTCAGATAAGACACCCCCCGGCCACCGATCGTCATCGCGACATGCTCCCAGATAACAATGGCAGACGACGTCCATCCGATAAGAGACCTCCAAGCTCGGACTGATGTTGAGTGACGGTGGGGTCGCATCGGAGGGGTGTCCGGTAAGTGGATCCCCTCCCGGAGCCCTCTCCGGTACCCTCGTCGAACCACTTTCCTCTCTCGGTAATCGCCCAGATCCTCCGCGATGCCAGCTATCTTATCTGCACGTGTGCATAGCATCAAGTGACATGTTATCGGAGCTGCCAGCCATTCACTCACGTAGACATCCCCCAAGAATACAGCTGCTACACACGTCCCCTTCCAAGCTTACTCCCTGTTCGGCTAGCATCGCGATGCGTGCGGGGGAGAGAGGAGCGATAGCCGGCTCCAGCCATCAAAACAGCGTACCTGTACTCTGTAGACGCAGACGCCAACTCATATCTCCAAGACGGAAGCAATTCCAAACAATCCCGATTGGCATGCCCATCTAAACCACAGCATGTGACCTGTTAGCCACCAGGATGGCCATGCCCGCCACGTCCGTACATCGGACCGGAACGAAGCGTTGGAGAAGGAGGCGTTGGAGAAACCACCGGATCCGATCACGACCAGAGGCGGGGAAACCGAATAAGCATTTAGAAGCCGTCCCCCTTTCAACCGCTCAAATCACGGGCTCATCTCATACTCGGAAGCATCCGAATACTCTCTTGAAGTTGCGACGTACACGAATTCTGTCACATTTGCATCCAGATATATCATGAAGGTGTCGCTGGGGCTGGCATCTGCCAAGACGCCCTGGGCGAACCCCGCGTTTATCGTATCTGGCAGACGAGGCTACGGGAAGCCAACACAACCGCGACAAGCAGTCGGAGCAGGCTCGCCACATGCTGCTATTCCAGAGACAAGCAGCATTGAGCTCAAGAGCCCTCCAGCACGGAAATCCGTCCCCGGCGCGCCTTTATCCATCTTATCTACGGGAACCCTTCTAAGATCGTTACTCATCACCACCGTCTCGTCAAACCGCTTCCTTCTCATCCCCTCACTCTACGCACTATCCTTCCTCTCCAAGTCGAGCGGAAGCTTCCTTCTAGACGTTGATCGCAACCCAGTACTACACGCCATCCTCAAGAAGACATTCTACGACCAGTTCTGCGCCGGAGAGACCCCTGAACAGACGAAAGCATGTGTTGACCGGCTCAAGGCCTTGGGCTTTAAGGGCGTCATCCTTACCTACGCCAAGGAGACTGTATTCGACCACTTGACTCAGTCTGCTCACGAGACTGGAAAGACTGCTGCTGCATCGGGTATTGCTGGCGTCGATTCTGAGATCGAGTCCTGGAGATGCGGCACCTTGGAGACTGCTGCCCAGGTTGGCGAGGGTGACATCCTCGCCATCAAGTTGACCGGAGCTGGCCGCGAAGTCACAAAAGCCTTTGCCGAAGACAAGTTCCCCCCGAAACAGATGCTCGACGCCCTCGATGAGATCGCCACAACATGCAAACAGCGCGGAATTAGAATCATCGTCGACGCAGAGTCCACGCACTTCCAGAAGGCCATCGACCGCGTCACCCTCGAGCTCATGCGCAAGTTCAACGGAGACGGATATGCTGCCATCTACAATACGTACCAGGCATATCTCAAGAGCACCACGGACAACGTTATCAACCACCTCTCGGAAGCCAGCAAGGACGGGTTCACCCTGGGCCTCAAGGTCGTCAGGGGCGCGTACATCCTCTCCGACAACCGCTCGCGCATCCATGACACGAAGCAGGACACGGATAATGCGTACAACTACATCTCCCAGGGTGCCGTCAAGAGACACATTGGAGACTTTGGCGGATCCAAGCCATTCCCCTCTGTGGACTTGTTGTTGGCTAGTCACAACAGGGAGAGTGTCTTTGCTGCGCTGAAGTTGCACCAGCAGCGCGTCAAGGAGGGCAAGCCGACTGTGCCCATTGCGTTTGGACAGCTGCATGGCATGTCTGACGAGGTCAGCTTCTCGCTTCTGCAGGAGAAGAACGAGGGTTTCGGGGGGCCGGACGTGTTCAAGTGTTCTACGTGGGGCAGCATGGGCGAGTGTTTGGCGTATTTGCTCCGCCGGGCAGTGGAGAACAGGGACGCGGTGTTGAGGACGACGGATGAGCATACTGCTGTGAAGAACGAGTGTTGGAGGAGGCTGAAGTCGGCCTTCGCGGTTGCGAACTGATCTAGCATAAGAAGTTCAAGGCATGAGTTTTGGGAAGCGATAGCCTGCAGCCGTCATAATCTTACGTCTTATTTATTCACTTTGTGATTGGATCGCCGCGAATAGCATGTGCTGCTTCATTTCCAAGGAGAATACGGAGGCAATCATCACAATGCCTAATCAGCCGACTCGGCGTAAGACGACCCAGCTACACCGCAGACACCAGTTTGTAGATATTCTTGCGCATCATCCACATCCCCAAGACTGTCATTGAAATAAAACGACTGGATGGCGATGACTAAAAAGTCTTCTGCGTCGATGTACAATCGGAATCTGTCTGACGTTGGAAAGTTCGGTTTATACCTGGCCAAACCCTTGCCAACTATCCAATATCGTTGTCCGTCAACTTCCTCTCTGACTACAAGAAGGATCTGTCTGTATCCCTCATGCCCCTGAAACAGACACCAGTCGCCAACTGCAGCAGTTCGTGGGAGAAGGATATTCCTGACGACACGATACACTGTTTTCTGGCCTTCTACAATCGGAAAGACCCATTCACCAGTTTCGTTGCATGTAAGACGAATCCCACTCCATAGGAATCCCTCACAAAAGAAGGATCTCGTGCCGGCATTATGAGATAATGATGCCTTTGTGCCGGATGCGGAACTCATCAGTCCCTTTGCCGTGTTCTTATGATTTCGTATCTGTATCGCATGCTCAAGCCTGGTCGACAGCTCGTCGTGAAGTTTCAGGATCTTAACCACCAGCTCAGCATATTCGAGAAGGAAGTCGACAGAGTGTATGGGGCTCTCTTTAGCTCTTGAAAGCAACTCAAGTCCCAGCTGGAATACATCCATGGTGTAATCTGGCGAGATTGGCTCTTCGCCACTCCAATGTACCAGAGAAAGAACTCCATACACTTTATCTAAGAGATCGTGGCAATCCAACTCACAATCATGCACATGCTCAATAAGCATTGCCAGGGGCAGCGGCTGTTGTTGGAAAGAACCAGCCACTAGCATCTCAAGCTTTGGGATATCTGTTCGCAAAAACGGGTCATCGGAAAGACTTAACCGCTCAAACGCTTCCCGGGCTTTCATCAATCCCCAGATATGGTTTGCTGCTGCAAATCCATGAAACATGCGTATATGCAAAAGCGACTCCCCACATTGTACATAAACTTGCTTGCCCAGAAAGAGCTCTTGATAGACCCAGACTCTCTGAAAATACTCCCTTCTCAAAAACGACTTGAATGAGATGAGCATCCGCGGAAGGGTCTTGTATCTGATTAGGAAGAACCACAGTCTTGACAAAGCTCTGTCGCTAGGGCCGAGCCAATGCCGGTTTCTGCCTACCCATCTGAAGAAGTAGGCATGGTTTTGGAGCTTCTTGCAGAGGAACCGGCTATCATCTGCATGTTCGCCAACATATGCAATCACCAGATGAGAGGCTCCGAAGACTTTGCCCATGATGGCAACTTGGTGGCCTTTTTCTTCCAGATTTTCTTGGTCGATACAAATAGCATCGATCCAATAAAGAGCTGTAGTATCATGTTGTCGGGCCCGCCGCAGAACAAGTTCGCAATTTAGCCGAACACTTTTGAGTTGGCCATTAACCTCAATCAGAGTTGTTGGCGCTTCTGGGCCCCAAGTGTAGGAGATGGCATTGTATTGAGGTATTTGTGCCAGCCGAAAGGTGTGGAGGACGCAGCGTATGTCGACGGTGCCAGAAGAAGCCGCCGGCGGCGTTTGGAAACTGAGGAGACGGATGTATGTGCCAGCATTTGGCAAACTAGTGTACTTTGGGCTTGCTGTCGATTGATTGACGTTGTACCGGGCTGACAAGTCAGGACTTTGACGAAATGAAGAACTCGAGGAGCCTTCTATTTCGAGTGAACGACAGCAGATCGCTTTTGCAACATCTGTATCTGACGAAGCTTGGCGCAGTCTTTCTGCTGGCTTAAGGTTACCCTCCGGACTTGCCGAAGGTAGCGAGCGCGACCGAAGCATCGCCATGGCAATGGAAAGTCGGTATTTTGCAACTGAGGAGAATAAGAGGCAGGTCCCCCACTAAGCAGATTATAAAGTCCGAGAGTGAGACTGCGACTGGTCTGACGCCAAGAACTCGGTGGCTATGCATGGCTGCCTGGTTATCTCGGTCGGCGCATTCTCCAACTAGACCCCAAGAAGTTCAATCAGAACTCATAGCCCTAAACAAACTTTAGAGCATCTTCCGTCATCAATAGTAGGGACAACACTCGCTCATTCAGCAGCATGTTTGGAATGGCTGATCCAGTTGAAAGGTACTAAAGCAGTGTGAGAGTTGGCTCATGCTTGAGGTCTCACCTTCCAAGCCCGGAGAAGTCAGCTTAATTCGCAATGTACAAGGGAAGTACCTTGTCGGCGTTAACACGTGGTTTCGTGCTGCCGGTTGTCCCTGGTGCTAACTTGAATGAAAGCTCAACTTCGGCACGGATATGTAGCAAGCACTAGGCACAAAGCTCTCCGTGGCGCTTATCGGCTCACAACATACCTCCCGGCCTCCGCGGCACTGCGGGGTGTCGTCCCAGCGGTCCGGAGTGGCGCCCCGTAGCGTCGGGCACGATCCCGATCTTGCATCCGGCCAGCCGGTCCCAATTACCCCACAAGCACCAAGTGGGCTGAATGCCGATCGTCTCCATTGAATTCTCCGGGAAGTCGAAGGAGTTTGTCCAACGAGGAACAACCTTTTGTACACAGTGACATATCATTCCTCAGTTCCACATTTGACCGCATATCTTTCAAGACACTCTGGTGAACGTTGATGACTTCGGCCGGCCTAGTTCCATCTATTTCGAGGTCGCAGCAACAAGCCGAATGAACCCGTCGTTATCCTGCGCTCAGTTACCCATCACATCATTATCTCCAAGCCTCCAGTCATGGCATCTGCTGAGCATTTCAACAAAGCTCTCGCTCCCTTCAAGTACGAACTTTATCCCTTGGGTACAATCAAACCCAATGGGTGGTTTCGCGACCAGCTTCGACTGAGTGCCAAAGGTCTCGGAGGGAACTTAATCCACTTTTATCGATTCGTCAAAGAGAGCACTTGGCTTGGAGGAACATGGGAGTACACCCCCCTAAACGAAGCTGCACCATACTGGTACAACTACATCGTTCCGCTTGCGTATAGTTTGGATCGAGATTCTGACCCGCAGCTGTTCTTGGACTTGAAGAAGCAAGCGGACTACTTCTTGAACTACACGCTTGAACATCAAGCCGAAGATGGCTGGCTGGGTCCGGAAACTACATCACATACCCGGGGAATATGGGCGCGCTGTTTGCTGCTTCAGGGGCTCATGAATCATGCTATCGCGGATTCCTCCAGACGTGCAACGATCCTAGAAGCCGTTTTGCGTTTTGTGAGGCTGGTTCGCAAAATGCTCAAGAATAACTACCAGGGTTACATTCCACAGAAGGATGATGTCTTCGACTTGCAACTTTTTGGGGTCGCTAGAGCTCATGAACTAGCTCTTACACTTCAGTGGCTCTACGATCAGCCCGAAAGCTCCAGTGATCGTCACGGCATTTGGGAAGTTATGGACATGATGTGGCAAGGCTCTCGTATTATGGAGAGAGACTGGACGAAATTCTTTGGGGAAGACTTTCCCAAGACTCCTTCAGTCCGCTACAAGTCTCTGAACTTCAAGCACGGAGTCAACGTTGCACAAGGTAAGACACTATAACTGAATGAGATCCATCTGATATTGATCCAAGTCGCAGGCCTTCGATATCCGGCTCATTTGTACCGGATGGAACCGTCTGACGATCTCGCATCTCTTTGTAGAGATGCTGTTAAGAAGACCTTCGATTACCACGGCACAGCTGCAGGATCCATTAGCAGCGATGAGTACATCGGTGGGCTTTCGCCGCAGCGGGGCTCCGAGCTGTGTTGCTCTGTGGAACTATCGTTTTCGATCTCCTACCTTTACCAGCTTTTCGGAGACAGCCACTTCGCCGATATGGTAGAGTCAGCAGCCTTCAATGCCGTACCTGCTGGTATCAGTGCAGACTGGTGGAGTCATCAGTACATCACGCAGGTCAACCAGCCCTGGGCCAAAGAGCTGGAGCTTCCAGAGGGCGAGAAAACGCCATTCTATGATGTTTGCCGGTACGCAAATGTCTTCGGGCTAGAACCTGAGTTTGTAAGTGGCCAGAAAGTCCATACAGAGAGGTATGCTGATTAACTCCCGAGTAGCCCTGCTGCACAGTCAACCACCCCACTGCTTACTCTAAGCTCTTGATGAATGCCTTCCTCTGGAAACAAACCCCGAAAGGGATGACATCCATCATTCATGCCTATCTTATACCATCCAGGCTGGAAACTGAGGATATCACGATCAACTGCGACTCGAACTACCCATTTGCCCCGTGTGCGCTTCGCTATAGCATCTCCACCAGCAAGCCATTTGAATTGTTAATCAGAGTTCCAGACTGGGCCTCTCCATATTCTACGATCGAGTTCAAGGGCTCAGGCTCGCTTGCTTCAGCAAAGCCGCAGCCATTCATACAAAACACGGAGGACAGCAGCGGCCATGTTCACAAGATTGACATACCCGCGGCCGGCGACTTTGATGTGTTCGTCACAATCCATGCGGAGGTCCGTGTTCAGAAGCATGAGAACGGCTCAGTCAGTATTCACTACGGACCTCTGCTTTACGCGTACGAGATCGACTTCAAAACCGAGACCAGGCTGCCACGCAATTACAAGGACCAAGCTTCAGAGTGTACCGAAATTTCTTCCGTGGCTAACCAAGACGAGGAGCCATGGATGACACATACCCGTGACCACGACTACTTGCCAACTGCCGACTGGAACATCGCCATCGATCCAACACAGGGTTTAGAGGTCGTAGTACACAAGGGCCCATGGGAGCAAGAAGGCGACAGGAAAGTTTCAGAACTTCCTAATCCTGTATGGAATTCGGGAGCCTCTCCTGTGCACCTTGAGGTCTCTGCTGCTTGGGTCAGCTGGCCAACTCGGAACGGAACTGCAGCAGACCCTCTCGATGTAGAGAAGAAGATTCAAAGCCAGCCTTTCAGAGCGAAGTTAGTGCCATACGCAACTGCGAAGCTTCACATAGCACAGTTCCCTGTCGTAGACACTACATCATGAACAAATTGTCTCTTGTATCAACGGGACAAAGTACAGTCGTGGATGGCGTCGCATTTCTGGATTTATAGACGAACTTGTTTTGTGATTTGAACCAATATAATCCAATTTTCCTGTTTCTGGCCAGTATATTTCTTATGTACTATTCAGCCAGGGCTTGCATTTCGAAAGTGGACGATGGTAGCAGCGACTATTCCAATGAGAGCGACTATGGCAAGGTATCTTATGTAGGGGCACACAGGAAAAGTAGGGGGTGTCTCTTAACGAAAACATCACACGCGCAGATATCAGCAAAGATGCATGTTATCTGGATAGTTTTCTGTGTACGGTGGCACAAACAGCAGCAATTGAAGACAATCACCAAGTGTCAATTCCTTTTCCAGTCAGAACTACGATTGCTCTGTTCCATTCAAGTTTACCCTTAAACTTAAACATACTGAGGCATGCACACATTTGGCTCTCCATAAAGCATGCAAGAACATATAATACTTAACCAATATAGTTTGCTACCCATCTTTTGAAACGTCGTTTGCTTGCACTGCCTGTCGGGTGTCGTACTTATCCTTTAAGCTTGCGTCTGAGCTGGCAAAGGTGGTAGAGTGGTTGTCTTCGTTGTTTTTGCTGTTCCGTTCGTCTTGTAGGTGCTATCAGGAGTAATCACAACTTCACCCGTCGCAATATCAAACCGGTTGGTAGTTCGGTTGAAAATCTGGAATGAAGCCTTTGGCTGGAAATCTGGTGATTGTCAGCTTTGTGCGGTACATCACCGGGGTTCGCAGCGGCTTACATGGGATCTCATGGCCTGCGTTCCAGACTCGAGTGAAGCTCAGCTTTCCGTATTGCCGCGTTTCTCCATAGGCAACCCCATCGACCGTAAGCTCCGTGTACCCAGCGTCACGGAAGTTCTCGGCACCAGACCACTCAGCCGCAACGGAGAGCGCTTCTCCGCCGAGCCAGTTACAGATGTAGTCTGCATCTCCAAAGACCAGGGAAACTTGTACGTCTAGCTCAAGAAGCTTTTCGATGTCTGGGAGGTAGCCGACGGCGAAGTCTCCAGAGAGGGTGTAAGCTGTGTAGAGCAGATTGTTTGACGTATAGTTTAGGTCCACGCCAAGAGCGTTTTGGACTGGTCGGGTGTTCAAGTAGGGCTGTTGCATGGTTAGCAATTGCTCTGGTGCCAGGCTTCGTCTACTTACCCTCCAGTAGTTGGGCGGAACGTCTTCTCCTGAACGGAAGCGCTGTGTCTGATTAGTCCAGCACAACTCATCAGTGGTGGGGGGCTCACAATATCATAAGTTCCACGGCCTTCGAGATTGAATGTGTAAAACATCCCCTCAACGTCGGATTGGCAGATAAACTGGGCGGCTGAGCATGCTGAACGGCGAACGATAGAGTCCCTCTCAAGCCAGTCGCAATAGTCAAGCTTCTCTTGACATCCACCAGGGCGATCACGGTTCCACTTCCCGTAATCGTAGATGGTGTCGTTGATCAGATCAACTCCGTATCCATTGTTCTCTCCTCTGGTGAAGTCAAGCAGGTATCGCGTCTGGGTGTGCTCGTCAACAATGCCATTCACGATGCCGAGGCTCTTCAAGTTTAGCTTGCGGCCAGTTGCGGTGTTTTCATCGAGCTCGGAGTTCTTCTCATTGAAGAGAGTGTAGAACGCGGGGCCCCAGTGGCCACCAAATGACTCTGGAATTCCATTAGTGACTCGATGACTGTCGGATTTGATCAGCCTACTCACCAGCCCACAGATGAAAGTCAATAGATGAGATGTTTGACGTGCTCATTTGCGGCAAAGCGTCATAAAATCCTTGCAGAACCTCCCAGCAGGTTATGGCAGCTAGACGACTTGTATCTTCCTTTGTTGGGTCGATAACTGCCCAGCGACCCTCTCGCTCATCTGAACTCTCGGGCTCCTTGTCCACCAGGAGGTAGGTTGGGTCAAGGAAACCCACCTCTTTCTCGCTGTAGGAGAAGCCTTTTCAGGTCAGTCTTTGAGATACGTAATTGGTAAGACCTTGAAGAAAGTACCTGTTCCGACTGGCTGAGAGAGGAAGAGAACGTTGGAAATATCAGTCCAGGAGTAGTCTCTCAGGACTGTCGTCATATTCTCGACAACCTCGCAAGGTCCGATCTCCTCGAACAGTCCAATGAGAGAGTCGGATCCAGGACCACCGTTGAGCCAGAGTGTTACCTGTTACGTTAGCTCGGGGGCCCTCAAGTCTGACAGGTCGAACGTTGGAAGCTCACAGGGTCGTTTGCAGGGTCTCTCCGCGACTCAAAGAACCAGAAGAACACATGAACATCAGGGGCGATATCGATGTATCCGCTGTAGGAGTTGACCCCCGGCGTGGTCTCGCAAATTCCCTCTTTTCCAGGCTCCTTGAAACGGATTTGAGAACCTCCAGGGCTGGTGATCGTCGTCACACCCTCAGCAGCACCCGGCGCCTGTCTTGGTCGCAAGACGGCAGTGAGTGTTGGTGTCACGCATGATGCGAGGAGAGCGGCGATGAGATTCTGGAGTCTCATACTGACTGTGACTTTCAGAGTGAAGAAGTTTCAGGCTGGCAGCTTCACATTACTGATGGGATTGTTTTCCATGCCGGCGATACCATTTATTATAAGCGCATCAGTACATATCACTGGCTCATGGTCGATAAATTAGGAAGCTCATCGATGCTTTTAGGCATGTATAACAGTACGTTTCATTCATCAACCAAATGGGAAGCCCGTTGTTGGACAATTTCCCCCATCAGTCGGGCGCGCTGCGACCGGCTCAGGTCTGCATTCTCGGCATGTGCAGTATTGAGACTCTTCGCTTCATGCTCAATACGAGCATTGAGTGTGTAATCACGTCACACTGGGTAATTTCTCATCGCTTCCGGGGGTTGGCCAGCAGGAATCCGGAGCGGGGAGAGCTTACCTCGACTTCCATGGGACGTGATCAACTACCCGCTCCAATCAGGGACATTCGCCAAAGCAAGTATGAAAAACCGCCCGATTTTAGGAACTGGATGTTGGCTGCCGAAGTATCGATGTTGCTGATCGTTTGCCGTATCATACGTTACTTCGGAGTCCTTCCCGATCTCCGAGATTGGGCAATCGGGCCACCCGTTCTTGCATCACCCCTTGTCCTGATGATATCCCCTGTCTTTCTATCACAGCTCAATCCATACAGTCACGATGCGAGAACATAGGCACTAGCTGGGTGGGTATGCTTGATTGTCTAGGTACGGTCGAGGTTCAGTGTCCATGTACATCCATCCTCAATCGTGAGACTAGGCAATCCCAAAAAATGATTCTACCACCCTGATCAATGGCCTTATGGCTTCCAAAAAACGAAAGTCCCCAATGTGCTTTAGAACTTTCGCTACTCTCATGGGCGGATAATGCGAGCAAATTGAAAGCCAAGTGACTTTCCCATCCTGGTTCTCTGATAGACACCCGTGACACTCACTTTCCACCGTGTGTGAAATACACACTATCTGGATCTCTTGTTCGTTGCCGGGTATGCCTCCTTCATAGCAGCGTGAATGGCACGCTGCTCCTTGGTGGGAGTCTTGCAGAGTTCCTCGAGGTCGGTCTGGTTATCGCGACGCTGGAGCTCGAACTTCCAGTAGGCGCCGCCATTGTCGTTGAAGGCCTTGGTGCGACGAACCACATCGTACAGGCCATCATACCGAATGCCAACGCTGGGGCTGTAAAGACCGTTGTTGCCCTTCTTGGCAGCTGCACGGAGCAGGCGGACAGGCCGGTTGCTCTTGAGTGACTTGTACAGCATCTCAGTGCCGTCAGAGTTCTTCGGTTTGTTGTCTGTACACTTGTGGGCGCCTGATCCAGAGTAATAGATGGTATTGCCCTGGTCCTCATTGAGACTGTCATAAGTCCCACCGGATTTGACGATTGAATGAGCACCCTGGTCCTTGTCTCCAGTAATTCCGCCGAACCAGTTACCATGGGCGCCGTTGACGCAGGCGACCATCTGAGCCGGCCACCATTTGCCGACGGGGATGTGATTGTCCCCGAAGACTCTCGACTTAACTGACGCATAATCGGGATGGGCCACCCAGCTTCTCTTGCCAGCTTTCAGAACGTAAGCGATGCCTCGAAAAGGACCGTTCTCGCCGAACATTTCATGATGTTTGTCGGGAACGTAGAGGCCGTCGGGAGCGTTGTCGTTTGAGTCACTCTTGACAGCAGCGGCCTTGGCTGTCTTCCGACGGGGCTTGCCAGCTCCCTTTTTGTTCGGCTGAGCTTGCATAGCAACTGGAGCGATTGGGTCGATTGCTGTTTGCATGTTGGTGTGATCCTCCATGTGATCCTCCGTGTTGAGGGGGCCATGAACACAGGTGGGAACCTTCGGGTAAGCGTGGAGCGACATGTGGTAGAAATTTTGGCCGTCCATCAAGCCCTGTGAGTGGTGCGAGTGATATACACTATCTTCGGCTTGACCAAGATACTGCGAAGTATCCTCAGAGACCACGATATCATGGTTAGCCATGGAATCATAATCTCCCATGGTCATGTCAGCATCTGGGGCCTTGTAGCAAGCTTGAGGGTGGAAGATTGGCATTGAGCCAGGCATAGTGATGGACTCCTTGTTGAAAACCATGCAATACTTTCGATCGCTGTCGTCCATAGCAGCGAAAGTGGTTTCATCCACCTGGCTCAAGTTGCTGAAGGCCCAAAATTGCCACAACTTAAACGCCCGCTCCCGACTCTTGGTATCAATGTACTGCTGAGATTCAAGGGAATCCGGGTCAAACATGACGAGCACAGTGTCCATCAGACGGCGACGAACATCTCCGACAATGTATTCGGCCTGCCACTCAATGTAGTCGAAGTGCTGCTGGAGGCTGTCGTAGATGTCCTGGACAGGCGGACCCTTATTCTCCTTTGAAGCAACGAGAATCTCCGCTGCGAGGCGATGGAAGTCATCGATAATCTTTGCCTCCACGGCGGGGTCCACGCTTTTGTTCGAGTGGTCGGCAAGATGAGTCTGCTCATCGTTGCTTGATGTACCCTCGATCATGCGATCGTCCTGGGGGGCGGTGTCATCACTGTGGTAGGCTTGCTGGTCCTCCTGTTTGACGAATACGTTTTGGGCATCAGCGACCTCGGTGTGGTCGGCCATGTGGAAGTCCATGCTCATGCCAACTTCGTCTCCATCATGAGAAGCATAGCCATGGTGACCCTGCTCACACAGGGAGTTCTGGTCCTCGTAGGGAACGTCGTAGCTCATGTTGGCGTCCATGGATGATGAGCAAGACGTCTTCGCGGATCTGGCTACTCTAGGAATGTCAGCTTGGTTTTCAAACAGGTCGGCTTTTCCCCGAAGCGTTCAAAGACTTACTCAAAACAAACTATGGAGTCCAGCTGCGCAAAATGCCAGGTGTGTTTGTTGCTCGCCCGTTGATGTTGAGCAAGATGTCTTTGCGGATCTGCCTTTTCCAGGAATGTCAGCTTGATATTCAAAAAGGTCGATTTTTCCCCCTGAAGCGTACGAAGACTTACTCAAAGCAAACTGTCGAGTCCAGCTGCGCGAAAAGCAAGTTGTGTTTGTCGCTCGTCCTCGAGACGATGGGTTTGGTGGAAAGCAAAACAGCAAAATCGAAGGATGTGGGAGGGAGAAGAATTTTCAAAATTCTTGTGGGTGCAAGAAGAAAACCCTTTCAGCGGCCACTCCTTCCTCAAACAAAAGACAACAAAAGGCTAGCCTAAAAATGATGTTGTCGTGGGCATCGCTTAGTCGTGCAGACAGGTGAGCCAGGAGTTGAGGTCTGTTGTTGTCGAGAGATGTCTTCCGCGGTGATTGGCTCATCAACTCACCAAAGGCCCCGCCCTTCCAAACAGCCCAAATCTCTGGAGTGACAATTCCCCGAGCAGGGCGCCTCATTATTAAGCTTCCCATTGTCTTTGTGGCATGTGTTGGAAGGAACACAAGTCTGGCTTCAGAAGAAACATTCCATGGAATCTCTTGGAACAATCCATCAGAGATTCAAACATCGACTGGGCAAAGGATTTATACTGGAAGGGAAGATTGTAGCACATGGGAGCCATACCATGTAGTACAATTTGCTTGCCTTCCTCATCTCAGATGCGTAGGTAGCTTCGACTATCAACCTGGGGAGGACGTCTTGTCCCTAGAATTTAGCCAGCTATGAAGCGAAATCACAAGCTCTGGCTACGGCCCGAGTTGATGCTGCTACATAAAGGCTTCCAATTTGTTTGAATTCATCGGCTCTCTCACCACACCTTGCTTTGCCTCAGATGTTAACTGACATTCGAACGCATACGAAGCCGGAATCGCAACATATTATCCTGCCTATGCTTCAATTCTAGAACGGTTTTCAAGCATGCCGGTGATACGAGCTTTTCTGAACGGCAGTGCTTCTTTGGTAAGCACGACTCGATACTTCCAGATACTTGATCCAAAAAGACTTCCATATGTTCCAGAAGGAGGTCTGGAGAGTCTCCTCAGTCACGGCCCCTGTCATCCAATCGGCACTAATCCAGGACCTCCCTGTTCCCGTTCTATGCCCCATTGGTCCCCGATAATAGCCAACACCAACCGCTGAAATCGTCGCCGGCCCGGTGCTTCGACGCGTGTTCTGCACGCCCTGCGTCAAGTCCCCTACTCACAAGGGGCGGCCGGCCAGCAACGCACCAATGGCCAAGACCACCACCCGTCAACGGCACGGACTGATATGCACCCCGCATCCCACCAACCACCCGACGTGCTAATGACATTACAAAATGCTCGAAACGGCATCTGGAGATAGCGAGCCTCTGGGATCTCCCTAGATAAGCGCTCCTATCAGTGGGTCCTCGTTATCTGCAGCTGGCTCGAGGGAGGGCGTACGGCCCGGCCGATGAGGAGGCACCTCCGACCCCGCACCACCTCCAAACGACGGATATCTGGGGGACTGGGCAGTCTGCCTTCCCAGATACCCACCTACGATGGCGATACCAAGACGATTGATGCTCATGGAAGCAGAATAATTCCAGATGGAGTCGTCTAATACACAGAGAAGAATCACGAAGCGGTCGTCATACGCGTGAGTCGCGACATGATGTGGTCTGACCAACGGGAGATAGCTACTAACGACTGACACTCCAGCTGTTCACGATGTCGGAGGCAGAAGATCAAATGCTCGGGATTGCATCCGTGCAATAACTGTACTCAGCGGCGGCTGACTTGCATATTCGATGAGCGCGATAACAAGGTTATGGTGACGCAAGGGTCGGTTCCCAACCTTACAGCTCTGACGACAAAAGTACTGACTGCCATTGGCTTAGATACCTATCTGAACTACAACAGAAGATCGCACGCCTAGAGCGCCTTCAAGCAAGGGCGCTGGCTGAGCAGAGCATCAGACGAGGCGAGGATGTCGACAATCCTGAGGGTATGTCCGGTTGGCTTCTTAGAAGTGGGCGACTGCTGACTTCGAGAAGATGGCTTTGGAGACCCATCGCGATATGATGAGCATCGCGCTAGCTATCACAGCCCGGAGGCAGCGCGAAGGGACTCGCCGCCCCGGAATCCCGATGGCGACGGTCCAGATCTGACGAACCCTCTCACTGCGACGCCGTCCCGGTACTGTCTTTCAGCATCCAATGGAATGGCTTGTAAGTGCCTCTCACTCTCATCATACTCTGCCTGTCATTTCGAAGCTGACCGACGCAGACTTTCTCGCCCCAGGGTCCAACTGGTCATTCTCGCGGCATGTTCTCAGTGTTACACACGACCATGTCTGTCAGTCTCCTCTTCCTACCAATAGTCTCTTGTTCGACGGCTGCGCCTATGACCTCGGATGGGACGGCTCTCGAAGCACGCAGGCCCTCGACAGCCGCTTCATTCCGAGCATTGACTATGCCATCTTTCTGATCAACGCCGTCAAATTTCACTGCGGCCAAATGTTTCATCTCTTCGAGGTGGACGAGTTCATGGTCAACATGCAGAACTTTTACGCCAAGTCATCTGCTGATCGAGCAGAGGACACCAGCCTCTGGTACATACACTTCCTGGTCATCCTCGCTTTCGGCAAAAGCTTGATTCAGAGAAAGAGTGAAGGCAAAAGACCGTCAGGGGCGGACTTCTTTGTTAGGGCTCTCCAGCTCTTGCCAGATGTTACGGCACTGTGCAAAGAACCGATTCTGTCTTCGGAGATCCTGTGCTCGATTGCGTGGTACTACCAAGCGTTGGACTTTCGACATGCTGCTCACAACTTTGTAAGTGCCCTAATACCTTGGGGTTGTTCGAGAAGAACTCTGCTGACTGGATGATAGATCGCACAAGCGAAGAGCATGGCGATGAATCATGGTATGCATACCGACATGCCAATCATGGAGCTTGGCCCGGAACTGGTGCAAAGATGTCGCAAGATCTGGTGGACAGTGTACGTGTTGGACCGTCAGATGAGCTCGTTGATGGGGTTGCCCCAGTCAACTCTAGATGAAGGTGTCTACTGCCAACTGCCATCCTACTCGGGATCAGTACAACGCACGACGGCATTGAGCATGCAGATAAAGTTCGCGCGCATCATTGCTGAGATCAGCAGCAGTGAGTCTGACGTCTCTGCGAAACCGAACTCTGCTAATCATCCTCATCCATCTCACAGCTGTTTACGGCACGACAGGTCGCTTGAATAAGAGATTCGTACTCGGCACCAAAGCTGTGCTCCAGAGCATTGTGTCAGTCGCCGACGAGCTTCGTACCTCATTTCCACTGCATGCAGATGAGCGATTCGATGGGATCTCGAGGCTCTCTGCGCACCTGCATCTGTCTTATTACCAAGTGAGTAAACACATGGTTTTCCCCCGGTGGTCTAACGGACTAACGTCTCTTCTTAGTGTATCGTCCTCGCGACAAGACCCTTGCTTTTATGCTGCCTGATCAAGAGATTCGAGTCACCGCTGGAGGCGGACTCTCTCATAGCATCACCGAAAGTTCGAAACCCCGTTCAAATGTGCGCCGAATCCTCTATTCAAATTCTCAACATCCTCGACAGGCTACGAGCTCAGGGATTACTAGGTAGGATACCGTCTGGCATCAAGTCATTTCGAAACCCCAAAGGACTAACTCAGAGGATAGAAACCTTCCTTCCCCTCGACCTCGACTCCCTATTCGTATCCACCGTCGCTCTCCTCGTCGCCCGAGCGGTCGATTCCCGTCTGATTGAAAGTCAGTCTCCGTGGCTAGAAAAGTCGCACGCCATAATCGAAGAAATGGTTGCCAGCGGCAACCTGATTGCGGGATTTCGCAGGAACGAGATGCAAAAACTGGAGGAGATACTCAGCAACTTCACCACAACGCAGCCTCGCGTTGCGGGCATCCCTGAGGATACTCAAGGAGCCGAATGGAAGCAACAGCAGCTAACGGACGCCCCGGCCACTATTCAGGAGCCTGTGCCGCCTCCGCCGTTTCCCGAGTTTACCAAAGACAGCAGCAGCCAGGCGGAGGATCTGACGGCCCAGCAGATTATTGATGTGGTTAATTCTATGGAATGGGAGGATAATGAGTGGATGTCATTTACGGTCATGGATGATCAGGCATGAGATGGACAAAGGTTCGGGGAAGCTTAACGTGTCGGGGTTGCGGTTTATATTGGATCGAGGACCTTTTGGTAATTGAAGCTGAATCAGATTTATGAATCATATCAAGCAACGATGTTCGTCGGGGATTCTCCAACTGCCAGGCCAATGGGAAGCTTGAACCGAAACCGACGTGTTCGTCTGGTCTTTTAACTTTGAGATGAAGTCTAAACGGACAGTTCCGTCGGCGTAGGCGATCATCCCGCCGGGCCAAAATATCTCCAGACTTTGGAGGTGGAGTTTCCATGATTCGGTCTTAATCTAAAGTCGATTAAGACGAGGCAGAATCCGGGGTTTAGCTTGCAATGAATCACCACACAGTTGCCCGAATCCAAACACAAAAGCAAAAGGCTTATTCGTATAATTACGAGCTCCGCCCGGTCGCATTCAGGTACCTTACATGAGGTCTGCCGAGGCGAGCCCCCAATCATAAACAAGGATGGGCGCATGCCGATCATTTGCTAATAGCCGAAGCAATCGGGCCATTCCCCGATTCCCGTTATATTTTTCCTTCGTATGAATGCCACCCGAGCTTCTAGATTGAGTCGCCGGGCCCCTCCACAACGGATGGAACGATTGCTTTCCATCACAATGTCACCAAACGGCATTTCTTGGCGGGCGAATGGGGGAGTAGCGCATATCGACAAGGGGGCCGGAGGCTGCATGTTGCAACCTCCAATGAAAACAAGAAAGACTTAAAAGCAAGGTACTGCCGTCCGATGATGTACGACATGCATGCAAGGTACGGCTCGTTGCGCGAACAAGGGCTTGACTCTCCTCGTCTTTCACCATGTCTCGGTTCTCAGGCTTGGGCCCGGCTCTGACGCTGGCTCTTGCAGCACTTGTCAACGGCCAAGACAACCTCGGTATCGCGAATGGCTTCATTGATTACAAGACGGGCCAGGTCAGCGGCCAGTTCGTTCGCGACTCCCAGACTCTCGCTTCGCTCAAGGTCGCTTCCGGCCACGACTTTCTTCCCTCGGATTTCCTCTCCAACCTTACGCACACCGAAGGCGCCCACTACCTCGGAGACGTCACCTTTCGCTACAAGGTCGCCGGCGCCGGTAACTGGACCAGCGTCGACTCTGCCCAGGCCAGAAAACCTGTGAAGGCTCTGGAAGGCCTCGCATCCGGTGTCCTTGCCGGCGCGGACTTGGGACCTACACTGCCCAGCGGCATTCCTCTCGCCATCACGAGAGAGTGGCTGACCGAAAGCGACAGCCTGGCTCTGCGCATCAACCTGACCAACACGGGCAACGGCACCGTCGAGCTCGGATCCCTTGGCCTTCCCGTCTCCATCAACAATGTCTTCAGCACGCGCGAGGCGGAGAACCTCCAGGACAAGTGCTCGCTCGCGGATCCGTACATTGGCCTTGACGCCGGCTACGTTCGTGTGTCTCCCGTCAAGGGAACCGGCAACGCGCTCGTCGTCGCGCCTCTCGGCTCGAGCCCTTTCGAAGCATGGAGACTTCTCAGCGAGCCGCAGGGTGACTACTACTACCAGAGCCAGACGTACGAGGGCAACTATGAGTGGATGATTCACTCCAAGGCCTGGGCGGAGACGGAGTGGAAGGGTGGTGCCCCGTGGAACACCCCCACGTCCAAGACTTTGGAGGCTGGCGAGACCTATTCCGTCGGTCTCAAGTTCTCCGCCGCCGAGAGCATCCAGACCATCGAAGATGCCGTCGAGAAGTCGGGCATCCCTCTTGCCGTGGGCATCCCGGGATACGTCATGCCCGCAGACCTCACTGCTCGCCTGTACCTCACACACTCCTCCCCCGTCAAGTCCATCGACGACTCTGGCGTGTTCACTGTGAAGCAGGACACGGCCGCCAAGGGCTCGCCCTACCTCATCACCCCTGTTGAAGGCAAATGGGGAAGAAGCAAGATCACCATCACCTACGAAGACGGCAAGACCCAAGTCGTCCACTATTTTATCACCAAGGCCGCCACGCAGACGGTCTCCGACCTGGGCCACTTCCTCACCACTTCCGCCCACTTCAACGACACCTCCGACCCCTTCGGCCGCGCGCCGTCCATCATGGGCTACGACCGCGAGGTCAACGCCATCGTCGAGCAGGACTACCGCGTCTGGATTGCGGGACTGAGCGACGAGGGCGGCACGGGTGCGTACGTCGCCGCGGCCACGAAGCTGTTCGTGCAGCCCGTGGCCAGCGAGGTCGAGGTCCTCGACGAGTTCATCCACGAGACCGTTCTCGGCACGATCCAGCCTCCCGACTCGTTTGCCGTGAGGGCGAGCACCTTCTTCTACCAACCTGACGCAGTCAACTACACGTACAACGCAGACCTCGACTGGACCACCTGGGCCGCGTGGAACAAGGAGAGGTCGTACACCACCGTCCGCGCTTACAACTACGTCCACCCCGTCATCGCCTACTGGTCCATGTACCGTGTGGCCAGAGACTACCCCGAGATCAAGACCCGGGAGGAGTGGAGCTGGTACATCAACCAAGCGTTCAACACCGTGCAGTACTGCCTCAAGGACGGCGCCAAGGACTGCGACTACGGTCTGACTGGATTGATGGGCGAGACGGTCTTTGCCGAGCTTCTCGAGGATCTGAAGCGCGAGAACATGACGCAGGAGGCGTCCACACTCGAGGCCTCGATGAAGTACCGCGCCGATTTCTGGGAGACCCTTGCCGTGCCGTTCGGAAGCGAGATGGCCTGGGACAGTACCGGGCAAGAGGGCGTCTACTACTGGACCAAGTAAGTCATGAAATCTCCAGCCATGAACCGGTGAACCTTGCTAACTTGCGAAAGCTACTTCGGCCTGAACACCACCGCGACCAAGGCCATCAACAGCATCACGGCGTACATGCCCACCGTCGCCCACTGGGGCTGGAACGGCAACGCCCGCCGGTACTGGGACTTCAACTACGGCGCCAAGCACGCCGGCACGGAGCGCCAGCTCCACCACTACGGCTCCGGCCTCAACTCTCTGCCCATGCTGCACTACTACGAGCGCAACCCGTCCGACTTCAACGCCATCCGCGTCGCGTTCGCAGGCAACACCGCGCCCCTGAGCAACATCGACGAGGAGGGCTGCCCGTCCGCTGCGTTCCACTCGTTCCCCGAGCACCTTGAGTGGGACCCCTACACCGGCGACTACGGTCTCGGGTTCCTTGGCCTCGGCCTCGGCCAGACGCTGTACATTGTCAATACCGAGAAGTATGGCGAGGTCGTGTTTGGAGGCAATGTGGTAGAGTCAACCGCCACTTCTGTCGTCGCCGAGCCGAGGGATGCGGTTCGCCGGCGGGTATTTGTTGCGGATCTGGGATTGAAGATCTCGTTGAGCGCTGGAGCTATTGGCACCGTCACGTATGATCGAGAGGGCCAGACCGTCAAGCTAAGCGTCAGCCAGGCTGCGTCTGATACGGCTCTCAAGGCCTCTTCGGCCATCGTGTGGCTTTCTCAGACCACCGGAGGAGCGGCATTTGCGGTGACAGGGGCTACCCAGGCGAGAGGTGGATATAAGGTTGACTTGTCGAGCGGAAAGGCCGAAGTCACGATTGCGAAGGCGTAGACAAAGTCGAATGGTTTCAGTGTACAAATTTTGGGTGAAAGAATAGAAGCTTCTTACAACAAGCGCCATGATTCCCACCCAAGCTGTGATGACAGACGTCCAATTTGTCTAACATCTCCGTTCAGCGCAACGAATACAGCAAGCCCAGGAGCAATGTTTCACCCCAGAACTAACACGAAATGATCAGACGAACGCCAAGTGTCCCACCTTCTCCAAACCCCGCATCCCCGGCCTTCTCCCCCGCGAAAAGATCCAGCCACCATCTTATTACCCCGCACGATTCTCCCCGCTTCTCATTTCTCTTCGAATCTGCCGATATCCCGACATGAGGAAGTGCCCCTTCGGCCCAGGGCTCCCCCCTGCCATTGGCTTCGAAACTGTGTGTTTAGGCCGCTTGGATTGGGTCAGAAGTGCCTGGCTCCTCTCAGGAACCGCGACTCGTGGAAACGGTATAGCTCCATCATTGGCCACCTCCCCAGACGAATCACTGAGCTGATGAGCTGGTGAAAGCTTCTCACGTAACTTTGTCCCGAATTGACCGAGAGGGGCCCATATCTACCGGCAAATATCACCTCACCTCGTGTCTTTAGTACCACCATGGCCACCCCAGGTTAGAGAGAGCCGTCTCGCGGGGACCGAACTAGGATTGCTCTCCAGGCTAAATGCCCAGGTCGCGTCTCTCGAATCCCAGCTCCCTGGATGCGGTGACATCGTTCGGCATAATACCTCGCGATGCTTCGTTCATAAACTCACTCCCGTCCGGATGGGCTCGCCTACTCAAGCTGTCTCCTCTCACCTGGGTTAGACCTCAAGCCCGCCATGGTCTCGTCCAAGAGCTTCTTCCTAGGCGCGAGCCTCGTCGCCAGCACCCTGGCATCTTCCTGCTGGCGCAACGCAACATGCACTCATCCAACCGAGGCGTCCTTCCCGGGCCCCTGGGACGCCAACATCTACGCTCCCGACTCCCGCACTGCCCGCCCGAAGTCCGTCCTCTCCCTCGCGACAGGTGATGCCATCGGCTCGTTCCCGTGCGCCCAGCCGCTCAAGGGCAACGGCTCGGCGCTGGTGTTTGACTTTGGCGTGCTCGTGGGCGGCATCACGACGGTCAACTACACCTACACGGGCGACGGCCCCGCGACACTCGGCCTCGCCTGGACGGAAGCGAAGAACTGGATCGGCGAGTACTCCGACAACTCCAACGGCAACTACCGCGGCCCGAACGCCACCCTCATCAGCGTCGACGGCGCCCTCTTCCACAACATCACCGCCGCGGGCGAGGGCTCCTACACCGTCCCCTTCGCCCAGCTCCGCGGCGGCTTCCGCTACCTCACCCTCTACCTCATGACCAACTCCTCCTCCTCTTCAACCTCCAACACCAGCGCTCCAACCCTCGCCATCGACGATGTCTCCCTCGAGATCGTCTTTCAGCCGACCTGGTCCAACCTCCGCGCCTACCAGGGCTACTTCCACTCCTCCTCCGACCTCCTCAACAAGATCTGGTACGCCGGCGCCTACACCCTCCAGACCAACGCCGCGCCCCCGGAGACCGGCCGCGTCCTCACCGAGGCCGTCTGGAACGGCTCCTGGTTCAACGACGCCTACCTCGGCGTCGGCTCCTCCCTCCTCCTCGACGGCGCCAAGCGCGACCGCTGGATCTGGCCCGGCGACATGGGCGTCGCCGTCCCCTCCGCCTTCGTCAGCACCGGCGACCTCGAGAGCGCCCGCAACGCCCTCCAGACTATGTTCGACTACCAGCAGCCCTCCGGCATCTTCCCCCGCGCCGGCCCGCCCTACCTCGACGCGACCAGCGACACCTACCACATGTGGACCATGATCGGCGCCTACAACTACGTCCTCTTCTCCGGCGACCTCCCCTGGCTCGCCTCCAACTGGGCCGCCTACCTCCGCGCCATGGACTACATCTGCGCCAAGATCATCCCCGACACGGGCATCCTCAACGCCACCGCGACCGGTGACTGGGCGCGCTACATCTACTCCACGAACGGCAGCGCGCCCAACATGCTGCTCTTCCGCACCCTCACCACCGGCGCTTTCCTCGCCGACCTCGCGCCGTCCAACTCCTCCTCCTCCCCCTCCGCAAACCTCACCTCGACATGGCTCGCCCGCTCCGAGACCCTCAAAACCGCAATCAAAACCCACCTCTGGGACCCCGCCAAGGGCGCCTTCTTTGACGGCTACAAGAACCGCACCCTCTACCCGCAAGACGCCAACGCCTACGCCCTCGCCTTCGGCCTCCTCGCCCCATCCTCCCCGGAAGCCGCCTCCGTCTCCGCCGCCCTCACCGACAACTGGACCCCCATCGGCCCCGCCTCTCCCGAGCTGCCCGGCAACGTCTCGCCCTTCATCACCTCCATCGAGCTCGAGGCGCACTTCGCCGCCGGCCGGCCCGACCGCGCGCTCCGCCTCATCCGCGACAGCTGGGGCTGGTACCTCACCCACCCGAACGGCACACAGTCGACCGTGATCGAGGGCTATCTCACGGATGGCAGCTTCGGATATCGCAAGACGCGCGGGTACACGGACGACCCGAGCTACGTCTCGCACGCGCACGGCTGGAGCTCGGGCCCGACGAGCACGCTGACGGAGTACCTCGTCGGGCTGCGCGTGACGGCGCCCGCGGGGCGGGAGTGGCGGCTGAAGCCCGTGTTCGGGGAGGTGGAGGCCGCGCAGGCGGGGTTCACGACGGCGCTGGGAAGGTTCAGCGCGCGGTGGGAGGTGAGGAACGGGAGTGTCGCGAGCGTGGAGTGGGATGTGCCGACGGGGACGAGGGGATGGGTCGAGTTTGGGGGTGGTGGGAGGTGGGTTGAGGGGGGGACGGGGAGGGAGGTTGTTAACGTGATAGTGTCAAAGAGAGAGGCGTGAAAGCTTGTATGCATGTAATAATGAGAGTCGATACGTTACCGTATTTCTGATTTCGGACTGAGATGTGACTGCGTAGAGACGTTGGAGTGGTTGATCAGTTCCGGATCCCCAAAGCTCATCCCATCGGACTCCGTCTCAATACATCCGCTGAATAACGTCCGAGTAGCTTTTGACAGCCCATCGCACGCCCCGGTCACGTCTGTGTGGTTTTCAATAACCTACCGCATCAGTAAGCGTACGGCCTGGGCAACGTCCAAGCGGACGACACTAGATGGAATCCATCCCATAGATACATGATGTATTGGCCCGGTCAAAGTCTGACGAAGTTGAGGGCTCCCATACCCAAACGATCACATCAACAAGAAGAGAAAGCTCCAGCCACAGCAGAAGGGCGGCTTTCTTCTCCCACGAACCACTACACGCCCATTCCCTGCACGAAACAACCAAAAAGGACAAGACGAGAACCATACAAGATCGCCTCAAACCTTGCCCACGCACTAGAAGCAAGAAACGCAGAGGCCGCAGCCTGCCCAGCGTTTCAAACTCATCCGAGCTTTTTCGCGAGGCGCGGCTGCAAGATCCCAACTCTCAACGTCCAGAGTCAGAACTCTCCGTACGGGACAAACCCTTTCTCTGTCATCTCAAACAACGGGGTTTGCCCGAGAAATCGGACGGTCAGAGAAGATGGGACGGCGGAAGTATCTGCAGTCAATTTCGTAAGTTCAGCTTTGCTTGTTCAACAGTTCTGATGAATGAGAATGTTGTGGTATTTTCCCCGGGTATCAGTCCCAGTGTGTATGTATGCAAATGTAGGCGCAGCAGCTGCAGAGGCCATATGCAAGTCCTCACGCGTTTCCGGGTCAAGGAAACACGCCTTTCGCAAGGCTCTTTTCGCCGATCCAGTGACCATATCCAAACATGACTTTTTCTCCTTCAAAAACAGCTCCTTCGGGGGCCTAGACCAGCACTTGCTCAGGGCCACAGCAACCAATGCACCAAAATCAGGATCCCTCTCCAACTCCAAAAACACCAGCACAAAACCCAATACGTTAAGAAACGATCCTTTCATCCCAAAGGCATCATCAGCTTGTCGTCGTAGTCGTCGTCGTAGCCGGCTGTGGCACAACCTGCGCAACTTCCGGATCGCTCTGCCGCTCCCTCTCCCTCAGCAACGCCCTCTGCCGCCGCCTCTCCTGCCGCCTGCGCTGCTGCTGCGGGCTGCCCTCCTTGCAGGCATCGACGCAGTGCATGACCATGTAGAGGAAATGCAGGATGGCGGCGATGAGCTGCAGCCACATGTACCAGGGGGCCCAGGTGGCCTTCTCGACGCGCAGGGGGTCGTCGCGCCAGGCCTTGTACTCGCGGTGGGGGCTGCCGGTGCGCCAGCCGTTGAGGATGATGAAGTAGAAGAAGGCGACGAGGCCGAGGACGAAGAGGATGAAGTCGCCGACGACGAGGGCGCCGGTGCGCAGGCGCGGGATCTGGCCGGTGGAGTTGGCGAGGGTGACCATCTCGGCCATGGAGTAGACGATGCCTGAGACGGACTGTTGGAGAGGTCTGTGTTAGCAATTGGTTCGCTTTGTGAGAATTTCCCTGTTATGGAACACGATCAGGGAGGAGGCGGAGGTTAAAGCATACCGCGACATATCCTATGGGAAAGTCAAACCCGTAGCGCGAGAGCATGATGAGCGCTGCGAGGGCGCATACTTCGAACACGACGAGGGTCAGGCGTAGGCAGAACTGGAGGATGCCATAGAGATGAGGGATGCGCGGGCGCGCCATGGCTGGCCACGACAGACGAGGACTCGGCCGCCTCCAAGTCGTCGAAGCAAGAAGAAAAAAAGGACCTCGAGGGTTCTCTATCGTGGAATCATTCGCTTGCGGGGTCGTGTCGGTGAGGACGGTCGGTCGGGTCGGTCGGGGTGCTGGGCGGACTGTAACGTCGGGGTCGGTCGCCGGCGCGGGCGGAGCGGCTTCAGGTACGAGAAGGGACGAGAGAAAATAAAAGCTAATAACGACAAGGGCCGGCCGTTTCGTTTCTCTGGGAGGCGCCTTTGTTTCGGTGGCGTCGCTTTTTCTTCTTTGTGGTGGCCCGTTGAGTGCGTGCGTGTGTTACATTCGGCAACGGTCAGTCAAGACGGCCGGTGTGGTGAGTGAAGTGGATGAGTGTGAGATGGAGAAGGTGAGGGTCGCCAAAAAGTCGAGGTGTGGTGCAGGTCGTTGTTTGAAGGTCGGGTTCTGCCTCGCCCAACCGCCGACGTCCAGCGGGGAAAACGAATGGCTGCGTAAGGTACGTGGAGCGGATATCAAGATGGACGGCGACTGGCTGCGGCTCGAGAGGAGCGGTGGTGGTGGTGGTGGTGGTTGGCAGGTTAAGAAAACAAGCAGGTGGTTGAATGTGACCTGCCCTGGGTGGTGAATGAATGAATGGTTGCTGGTGGCACAGGAGCGACCTGCAGGAGAATGGAGGTTCCCGACCCAATTGCAAGTGGAAGATGCCCAATTCCGAACGATCTCGTCACCCCCAAAGTGATGGATTTTTGCACATGGACAGAAGAAGCAAAAAAGAAGAAAAAAAGGGCCAACACGAAGCGAGCACAGCAGCGCAGTGGGCAAGCGAATGCACTTAATCAGTCCAAGGAGGGAGTTTGGGCGTCCTGCGCAAAAGGCCGCCTCAGCTCTTCTCTCTAGCCATAGGATTGGGGGGAAGGGGACAAGCGAGAAGTCCGGGTTTGCCAAGCATTTCTGGACAAGGATGCGCCCCGAGGGAATGGAGGATGGGAGGAGATGGCCATGTCTGCGTCGCTCATCTTTGGGCACGGGAGGGAGGGAAGGAGACTTTTGCAAGTGGTTGTAGCTGAAAATGCGAGGCGGGAATAGAATCTGTAGACTAATGGGCCGAAAATGTCTAGATCAACAGACCGTCCTAGGACCCTTGGATTCTTGGAATGCTCTCCCTCGGATGGCGGGAACTTGATCGTCTTCTCTCCCACGAGTCCGACGCCGCCGCCGCCGCCGCACTACGACTGCATCTCTCGGGGCGCAAACCAGCACAATGGCCGTCCCGCTCCCATTCAGGTGGCTGTGCGTCCTAACGGCTGCATAAGCCTTCCTTGGAGAACAAGAGAGAGTGGGAAATGGGAGATAATCTGGATGCGACAGGTCATCAGCAAAGTGGCCCGGGCAGAACCTTGGAGATGCCCAGTGGGCGAGTCGGGGGATGCGGCCAAGAACCTCCGGTGGTTGGATAGGAGGGAAGCCCGGGAGGACTGGGCATTGTTTGGGCGTCTACAGAGTACGCATACACATCCAACACCGCCAATTGTTCGTTTTCAAGCCTTCCTGGGTGGTCTCTACTGATATGTTAGTGGGAGTAAGTGAGGAGGCTGGGAGGACCCTTGCCCGCCGTCCCGCCTTCTGGTCCGTAAGGTTTTGCAGCAGGAATGCCAGACCCTTTAGCTCTGGCAGTCTGTCACTGTTAGACAGGGGCTCTTTCTCGCCTTATGTCAGCCTCAATCCGTACCTCAGGTGTACTATGTAGATGGATGTCCTTCGTCTCCGGTGGGCACAATGGACGCTTGGCAACGGCTGAACGGACAGAGGTCCTTCGCCCAGAAACCGTTTGCGTCATCCCCGGCACCTCACCTCGCCAGTCTCTCCCATCTCCGCAGCGAAACCCTTCCAGAAACATGCCAAACCGCGCCGTTTGAACACCACCACCACCGCCTCTGAACCGACGACACCTCTCACACCATTAGTGTTTCTACTATCGTCCACCACCGACACGAACGACAGGAACACCGATCGCCCATCTTCCTTTGCGGCGGAAAGAAAAAAGCAGGGTCCAGCTTCCATAAATAAAACAAGCCCAGTCCAAGTTTTCTCGTGATCAACCCGCTACGTACCTCCTGCTCAAGCCTCAAGCGCCCACCGGGGCCACACCATGCAGAAAGGCGTCCGTCTCCACATTGCCACACCGCGACGCCTCTCCCGGCCCACGTCCCGTAAAGGGCCCCCCCGCGGCGTGCCCACAAAGAACGCCCCCTTTAGGAAAATGACCGGCGCGCGATGAGATCAGATGGAGCCAGACGATTGCGGCTCATCGTCACAACCACCGCCCGTTCCCAGTATTCCCACCACCGGAAACTTGTTCATCGCAGAACCTGCCCGTTGCTTGGTCTTTGCCTGTTCACGGTTCTTCTTCCCACACGTAAGCTCACGATACACAGTGACATACAGCCGTATCCTGCTGCTGGGCCTGGAACCAAGGCAACCCGGGCAAGACGGCACTTGGTCGCGTGCTTGGCTGGAGATCCCTCCATCACCTCAAGACTCCAAGGCGGGATGTGAATCGTGATGCGACGCCCCCCGGACGGGCTTGACGTCTTCTTTGCCATGCAAACGTAAACCTGTGGGCGGTGGGCGGCGACGCCCTGCTTGCCTTCCCATGATGCTTGGTGATGTCTTGTTGTGTTTTCGATGGAGTAGGATTTGACGTAGCTGAGGAAAACAGGTTGACGACAAGACTTGGGAAAGCTTGATCAAGTATATAACTCTAGACATCGAACCTCTCCAAGCATCCAATTCATCTCACTCATCAGAACAAACCAACAATAACAACAACCCCATCACCATCACCGCAAACCTCAAACACCCAACCACTCTAAACACACATCTCTTATAAACACACATCCAAAATGCACTCCGGCAGACACGAGAACTACGGCTCCTCCGGCAACTACGGCGGCGGCAACGACTACGACCGTCGCGGAGGCGGCTACGGAGGCGGCCACGAGAGCTACGGCGGCGGCATGGGCGGTCCTCCCCGCGACAGCTACGGTAGCGGCGGCATGGGCGGCGGCCGACGTGATGACTACGGCGGCGGTATGGGCGGAGGCATGGGTGGCGGCATGGGAGGCGGCCGTCGTGACGACTACGGCGGTGGCTACGGAGGCAGCTCTCGCCGTGACGACTACGGCGGCGGCCGTGACAGCTATGGCAGCGGCGGCGGACGCCGTGACGACTACGGTCCCTCAGACTCCTACGGCGGTGGCCACTCTTCCCACGGACGTGAGTTTTCCCCTTTTTCCAAAGCATGACACTCTCAGTATATACTAATAACGAGAAAACAGGCCGCAACAGCTACGATGACGACAAGAAGAGCTCCTCCGGCGGCGGCTTCCTCGGCGGCATGCTGGGAGGCGGCGGCAAGGACAAGAAGGACAAGAAGAAGGACGAGGGCTTCACCGACAAGATCATTGACGGTGCTGCCGAGTACGCCAAGAAGAAGTGGTAAACTCTCCGAGAGGTATGCCTGATGATGTAATGAACAACAACCTGTACTATTAGCCGGGCTATTGCCTGATATAATAATTCCATGTTCGACAAGAAAAACACGGTTACCAAGCAGTGCGGGTGCGTGAGAGGATGAATTCCAAGGTGGTGGCCTAGGCCTGTAGTAAGTATATGAACCCAAGCAGGAATGGCATATCGGTCATGGCAACTTGCGACGTTGTCGCACTTCATTCAGATCGCCAAAAGCTTGGCCTTCAGGTTCTCGCCTGGTAGTAATGTGTTACAAGCCCTCAACGCCAAATGCCTCGCCTCTTCACCATGAGTGTCGTAGGGATTTCTCCTTGAACCTCTCAATGCTCCAGGGGACCTAGAAATCCTGGCCGAGTTCTCAGGACTCTGCGGAAAGCCAACTCTGCGTGCGACAAGGCGTATCAACCAAGAACCCCAATCCTTTTCCTGTTCTAAGTCGAACCACCCTAATGCTAATGCAAGTTTTCCGTATCGACATAGACAAAGGAAAAGAAATGGCACAGTTAGACAGTTCTCAAGCAGCGCAAGATCCGAATACCGAACCATCACCGTCATGGCCTGCCGAGTGAGTCGAGCGTAAAGGAGCAGTCTTCGCTCAGATGCTTTCGCAGTAATGTACAGGTTGAAGCTTGAAACTTCGTGGCGAGAAATATCATATGTACTAGGCGTTAAGGCGTCGCATGTTGAATGTTCGTAAGCTGCATCGAGCAGACTGTGCAAGTCGTCAACCATCCATGTTGGTGGTGAACTTGATGTGGCCGTCTATCCGGACTTCTCAGGTTTCTCGGCGTCCTCTTCTGCCTTCTTCTGCTCCTCGGCCTTGGCTTTCGCCTTGCCTTCGTTATACTTGGTCCACTTCTCAGACATGTAGCGGATGGAGCGGCCTACGCCTGCGGTGAAGAAGCCCTTGATGGACTGAGCAGTGGCGGGCCAGTTGACCGTCTGCTTGATAACCTTACGGATGTACTTTTGCAACTCCTCAGGGTCGTCTTGCACGATGCGCTGTTCGAAGCCGCCGCCCTCGCGACGCTTGTAGCTAACGTCATCCTCATTCTTGGAAGCGTCCATCATGGCCTTAAAGTCGGCAGCCGGAACCATGAACTTCTTTTGGTATTGAAAGTATAAACGCGAGCGGAAGGCCTTGGGAAGACGGCGGACCATGTTACCCCGCTTGACGGGGTCCATATCCTGGTGCATGGCGCCATCGTACTCAGGGTCCGAGATGTGCTTCGCCTGCTGGTCGGCCCCTTCGCTGTAGTCGATATTCGGCAAGGTGTTCAGGAGAGGGCCGTACAGCTTGCGGAAGGAGACCATGTTGTTGTCAACAATGTTTGAAATCTTGCTCTTGTTTTCCGTTGGGAGAGCCATGCGCGGGTCGCCAAGGTAGGAGATGCGGGCGATGGTAGAGTAGAGCTCCTTTTCGGTGAACTTAGGGGGGAGAAGAAGGAGAGCAGTGCGTACGGCGGCGAGGAGGTTGGCCTGGTTCGCGAGACGAACTCGAGGATGATCGCGCAGGATTTTAACCGGCTTCTGGAGTCTTCCCGCGAGATACAAGTTGTTCCAGGTGGACAGATCGGTGCAGAGATTGTCGATAGAGGTCACACCGTACTTGATGAGCATGCCATTCTTAGTGACATACGGATTGAAGTAGACTCCAGCACCCCAGCGGTCCTGGAAGGTGGAGACAAGGCCCGAGCCGAAGCTGGCCAAGCCAGAGTAGTGGTCGCGATGCTGGCGCATGTTGAGTGAGTGCCAGTGCTGAGTGTGGGTGACTCCGAAGATGAAGTCAATCATCTTAGGGCCGCCCTTCTGGACCTCCATCAAGGAAGACGTCGGCTTGGGGTGAACGGTGCGAAACTCCTCGTCAGTGACACTTCTACTGGTCTTGGACTGGGGAAAGACACCAGAGCCGTAGGCCATGGCGTACATGACGGGAGCGCGGAACTCTCGAACAACGTTTGTCAAGACCTTTTTGAACTCGGCGTTGACCTCCATGTGCTGGTTGATGCCGAAATCTTTGTAAGGGAGCTGATCAAATTCCTCGATCTTAGCGTCTCCGTGATCCTCCCAGTTGTCCTCGGAAATGGTCGGGCCCTCCTTCTTGCGCGCCTTTTCGGCCTCGCGTGCCCAGTTGAAGTTGATGGCTGACCCATGGTGAGTGTACGCGGGTGGGCTATCCTCCTTCTCCTCTTCTTTGAGTTTGTTCTCCTTCTTGTCGGCTTCCTTGGCGGGGTCCCCTTTCTTGGCGTCTTCGTTCGATGAGTACCAGCGAGTGGACCAGGCGGGTGTCACAACGATGGTCGACGCTGCGACCGACCGGAGAGAGTGATAGGGGACAGCCCGAAAAGGCTGAAGCTATCTCATGTATCAGCAGGCAGTTCCCACCTCTGGTCCATTCAGCTGGGGACAGAGAGAGGGCTTACCATAAGGCGGGACATCGTCATCGTCGCCGCTTGGATGTTGTAGACGTGGCTGTCGATGTGGGGTCGTAGGACGAGAGGACGGGAATAGATGCAATATCAAAGTGACAGTGGGAATTCGAGCTTATCCATTCAAAACACACAGGGCAGCCAGGTCACGGCGGGAAAGGCGGGCAGGCAGTGACCGCAAGGCGAAAGGCAGCAGTCCGGGCCAAGTCAACCCAAGCCGTGTCGCAAACAGGCTCAAACTTGCACCCAATATCCAATCGAAGCAGTAATAGCGTCCGTATCGCCGTAGAAGTCTCTCGCAAGTACTTTGTGAATTCGCGATCGTTCCAAATCGGCTTGGGCGTGGTTCGAGTCGAGAGATCCGGTCCGGGTTCGAGCTTGGCTATTACGGACCAAATTGATGGCTACTGGCAGCTGCCCCTGTCTATCTGCCCCAATTGGCCGAGCTTCACCTTCGCAAGCGGTGTTTCGCGGTATCGTATCGCTGGGTATCGATGGGCTTGGAAGGGGCTCGGCGTCGTTGTCGGGGTTGCGGAGGGGGGAATTCGGAGGGGGAATTCGGAGGAGCTGAAGCTATCGTTGAAATCTGCTTCTAGCAGTGAGCTCGGGCAAGCACGCACTAGGTAGGAGCAGCCGGGCACGGAACAGCCCGTGACCAATGCAGCAGCCAAGACAGGAACAAGCTTCCAGGCATGTGGGATGTGGGGATCACGTCATGGTGCTGCTGCCCCTGTCCGCCGTTCCGCCCTGCCCTCTCAGCCGGCGCAGTGACAGCCACAGGGTCCAGGGCCGTTGTCTTTCTAGCTGTGTCTTGTTCTTTGGTGCTTGAGGCCGTGATGAGAATCTGACAGCTTTTCGAAGCAATTGAAACAGTGAAGGGGCTCAAACAATGCAAAGAGAACGGAAAACTGGTAATAGCAGAACAGATGATGAGATGACATGACCAACAAGAGGCAAGTGCAGCTTGCTGATTCAAAATAGTCGAAGACTGTATGGGTTCATCCGACAAGGCAAGAGAAGCAGGAGAAACTTCGATTGCCATCAGCTGATTTGTAGTGCAGAAAGTCCCTGTCTAGGAAGGTGCAAATAGCGAAGAGACTTTCCATCTCAAAGCTGCAAGTGTGACCCACGGCTTTGACAGGCAGCACCGCCCAGTTCCTACCTGCCGACACCGAGAACAGCTTAAGGTAGGAAATCGGACAGGAACAGTCGCAAACTGGCGTCAACACCTAATTACCCAAGCACGCCAGGTCAGGAATGTCTTGACTTTCTGCATATCTCAGAGGGCGAAACTTTCTTTCCGTAACTTCAACCTTCAAAGTCACAGCGCCAGCGGCTCTTCAAAATGGAAGACGATGATGACGAGCAGCTCACGCTTGAGATTGGTCGTTTTTTGACCACGAGAAAGGCAGCAATGCAACAAGATGCGACAAGCAAATCGGGCCCAGCTGCCTCAGCTGAGATGCAGGCGACACCGCGGGGAACCGACGGGGGCGACAGGGGAGAGCGGCCGGGCCTGGGAGATCGAGCCAGTGCAGAGATCCCTGCTAAAGAACACGTGACACGCTCACCGGCAACCCGGAGCTCCCAGAGCCAAAACACCAAGTCACTCCTCAGACGCGCCGTTAACAATCGGCACAGCATCCACGACATGCGCTCTCACACCCCATCAGGCGACCCTCCAGGCAGGAGAGGTTCCGTAACTAATCGCTTTCGCAATAGCACCGGCGGAAGCGCGTTGCCACGACCTCACACCTCCCTCCGAGAATCCAGGGTACGATCCCCTAAAATAAACAAAAACAAAGACCCCGATCCCCGCAAACGCTGACCATAAACTTTCAGTTTCGCGCAACCCAACCGACATACAACCTCTTCACCGGCGGCGATGCGAATAGCCGTCCCGGTTCCCGTCAAAGCTCGGTACGCGCCGCTTCTCGGGAGAGTTCCAAGGAAAACATGGCACCGCCAGACGCGGCCGAGTATGAATCGCAGAGACAGGTGATCGAGGAGCTCAAGGCGGAGCTGGGCACCCTCAGGTATACGATCTCTACATTCGAGCAAGAGAAGGAAATGGCCGAAGCACGACACAAAGTTGAACTCGAAGAGGAACGCCGCCGAGCCCAACTGGACTTCACTGCTAAGCAGACTGCCGAGAGCGAGAAGTCGCAAGCACAGCGACAGTTTGAGAATGTCCAGAAGGAACTGAGTGACTTGCGAGAGGGCGCGTCCGAGGAGAACTCCAGCTTAGAAAAGCGCGCGCGAAGTGCGGAAGACGAAGCGCGATTGCTCCAGGAACAGTTGGAAGATCTTTCAAGCGCAAAAGATGAGGCCGCACGAATCAACGAGAAGAAAACAATCGACTTGGAGATGCAGTTGCAGGCTGCACAAAAGTCAGTCCAGGAGTTGGAGCAGGAATCACAAGCTCGCGAGACTGCCCTACAACAGGTCCAATCCCAGCTTGTCGACAAAGACAACGCGATTGGGGACCTTGAAGCGGAAGTACTCAGGCTGAAGGCCCAGACTGGCGATGCTGATACTATGGCTATCATCAAGCGGGAGTTGTCCGAACAAGTAACACATATTCGCAACCTCGAAGCAACCAACCGCGAGCAGCTATCTGAGCTGAAGCACCTGCGCCAGATTCACAGGGCCGTCGAGGTCGTTGAGGAGGAGAAGCGATCCCTTCAACGTAAGCTCGAGGCTGCCCAGTCTCTGGAGACGGAATTGTACGAAGCCCGCATGCAACGTCAACGTCTTGAGGATGAGCGCATGGCATGGACTGCGTACCTAGCTAGCACTGGCACTGAGGCCGAGTTTGAATCCCCCGAGGATGTTGCTCGCGCTCTGATCCAAGAAAGACTCACGTCAGCCTCCCACGTCGAGAGAATAGGAGCCCTCCTAGCTGAGCTGGCGGCGCAGGAGTCTGCACTCAACTCTCTTCAACAAGAGCACGCCAACCTCAAGTCACAACTCGCAGAGGCAAAGACTGCGGCCACCACCCAAAACGTTGACAAGGCCCGTCTGCGCACCGAGCGCCAGCGTGTCCTTGCTGTGAAGGAGGTTGAATATCTTCGCGCTCAGCTTAAGACCTTTGACGCGGAGGACGAGGCCTTCCAGCCGGAGTCTGTCGATGAAACCAAGTCCCGCCGCATTCAAGAGCTCGAGGACCTGGTCGACAAGTACCGCTCGGAAGTGCAAGCGTTGCACACGGAGATGTCTTCGATCGAGTCAGGCAAGCCTGCACCAACAGTTGCTGGCACGAAACGCCCACGCGACGAGAACGACGAGGCCGCACACGAACAAGTCGGCCTTCTCACTCGCAAGAACCGCAAGCTCCAAGATCAGCTGTCTTCAGTCCAGACGCAACATAGCGTCACTCAGAAGGAGCTGTCTGTCGTGCAGGAACAGCTCAAGACCCTCAAGACCCGATCCAAGACGCGCATCCTCTCTCTCCGCTCCAACCCCACCTCGGACTTTGAAGCCATCAAGATGTCCACCCTCACCGCCCTCAAGCAAGAAAACGCAGACCTTCTCGCCCAGCTGCGTTCAGATCCATCTGTCCGCCTCATTCCCATCACCCAACTAGACGCCGCAAACCGTCTGGTCGAAGAGGCGCGCGCTGAGACGGCATCCGCACAGAAGTCCGCCAAGCGTCTCAAGGAGGTCTGGTCCAAGAAGTCGCTCGAGTTCAAAGAGGCCATCTTCTCGACCCTCGGTTGGACCGTCATGTTCATGCCCAACGGCAAGATGCGTGTCGAGTCCACCTTCTACCCGTCTCAGACGGACGAGTACGAAAACTCCATCGTTTTCGACGGCGAGAAGGGAACGATGAAGGTCGGCGGCGGGCCAAAGAGCGCCTTTGCCCGTCGCATCGGCGACCAGATCGGCTTCTGGGTGCGCGAGAAGGGGTGTATCCCCGGCTTCTTGGCCGCGCTCACGTTGGAGTTTTACGAAGAGCATTCAAGGAACCAGAATTCGGGCGAGTAAATGTATCGTCCGGACGGGGGTAGGAGCGGGATACGATGGGTTTTCTTAACAAAAAGCATAGCTCGTTTAATGTTTCAGGGCCGATGTACTTGTTTGTTTACACGAGATACCTCACCTCGAACCCTAGACTGGGACGAGGCTTACATGCTGCATGATTCTTTTGCTTAATGACAATATGTATTATTTCTGTTCAACTAAACTGCCTTGGATAATTCCACAATTATTCGCCCCAAGACCACCTAAGACCACCCAAGACCAAGTGACTGTTCACCATTTCAACATAGATATCACCTTTTACAATAGCATGTGCTTTGGAGGACTTTTTCTTCATCATATCGGTACAAAAGCTACCTACAATCCAAGCCCTTCTCCATCTTGTTGGGAAAACCAAGAAGACATGTGACAACATATCCTCGGGGGAATCCAGAAATGAAAAGGAAAACACAATTTGCCGTCACCAGGCGCAGAAAAAGCTGTCCGCGCGTGTCTTTTTCTTCCCTTTCTCCCGTTGTGCCGTCCACATACCGCATACGCTCGCTATGTAAATGTCCTTCAATCAAAATCTACCGCTTCCAACAAGGGTATGTACACCTCATGAAACTCCTCCTCATTATAGCTTGGCGCCGATCACTTGGCCTCGTACTTGCCGCTCGTGATCTTCTTCACCAGCTTCACATCCACCCATTGTTGATCAGCTGGCAGGGCCGGCGAAGCCGGGTTGTCGTCCGCGAAAGGGTCGGCTTCCTCTTCCTTGCCCTTGCCCTTGATCTCTTCCAGTCTCGAGATGGAGATGCCGCTGCTGAGGGACTCGGGAGTATATTCCCATCTGGCCTCGATGTGGCCCGGCTTGGGCTCGGCGTTTTCGGCGCCAATGATGCGGCACACAATCTTTTGCGTCTCGGCGGTGAGTGTGAGGTCTCCAAGGCGCCAGTACACCAGGTGCTTCTCCTTCAAGTGGGTTCCTGCCGGTTTCGTCTGGGCTCCTGAGGCCTTGGCGCCTTCGTATGTAGCCACGAACACGACGTTTTGCAGCGTCACGGGTGCTGTGAGGCCGCTAGCAGGGTTGAGCGAGTATTGCAGAAGGAGTCCAAGCTTGTCGCCCTGAGGCTTCCAAGCTGGTCGGATGAACAAAGGAACATGGGCGGCCAGGCCAGCGTCGCCGGGGTGAACACGATATGTGAACGCTGTTGCAGTCTTGTTGATGTGCGATACATCGAGATTGAACTCATCCGGCTTGTCAGGACTGTTCTGAACAAAGATGCGATTCGGTCCAATGACTTCCAGGCTAGGGAAATTGTTGATACGAATCGTCTCACGCTCTGCTGGACGTTAGCACACCAACTTGTGTAAGTATGGCTCAGAAGCTTACCTGGAGAAGCGTCGCCGGCGGGATGATAAGCAAAGGCAATCTCGCCATGAACCTTGGCATTCTTGACCTCCCCTTCTTCGAATGTAGCTGACACTGTCTCGATGATAGAAGCATTGAGACCAGGCTCGTGCATTTCAGGGTGCTTGAGGTGAGCAAGGCTCATCAGGGAGTTGGCTGAACGGATCGACTGAGTATCTGATGTAGCAGCGATGCTTGCTTCGGAGGCGAGCGCTGCGACAGTAGTAGGCTTAGAAGACTGGCTAGGCAGTGATGGGGATGTCGGGAAGGGGTTCTCGTTGGTGAGCTCGGGCATGTTTGGCGGCGGCACATAGATGGTATTCCTGACGTCTCTCCGTCCACGCACTGTTCCAAGCTTTCGGGAAGGAGCAGCCATCTGTGTAAGAGTGTTGGCGACGCTGTTCAACGCAGCCTCCTTGGCATCGGCGTCCTCCTCCTGAATCGGCGAGCTCGCAATGTTGAGCTTGAACATTTGTTCATTCTCCTCTGCGGCCTCGCGCTGAGCCTGAGAGATCGGGTCGTCCGCAGGAGGGCGAATCGTAAAGCCCTCGGAGTCCTTCACTTCGGCCTCCTTAACCTGGGACGGTGGCGGTCCCGGGGGAGGGGCCACATCCTGCACATCCGTATCGTGGGTGCCATTAACAGTACCAGCCGATGAACCAAGACGAGCAGCTTCCGACGATTCCTCACCAAAGCCATTGGTTCCCTCATGGAACGGCCTGTCGGTTCCAGACGAATGGGGCGGCCTAGGCGAGTCGGGTGTTTCCGCAAGAGCCGACAGTCGGTTGTTGGTTTCGGCCAAGTTGTGCGAAGAGGCTCTTGGCGAGAGGCCACTGGGGCGGACGTGGGTACTGCTATGGCTGCTACTGAGGCCACGGCCGAACGAGGAACCGCCGGTCTTCTGTGGAGAAATCGGACCGAAGCCACCGTGGATGCTCTGTCGGCGCCGGCCGAGCATCGTGCCGATTCGACTCCGCAGCTTCGATTCTGCGATACATGTCAGCCAACTCTGTCGGTTTTGTCATGATTCTCGTGCTCAACATACCGGACTTGCCCTCCAAAGCTCCCGAGTGATCGCTCGTATCGTCATCATGGTGACCTAAGCTGGAAGAAGGTGGCGGGGGTGGAGCCAGAGTCTGGCTTGTAGGCACGTTCGAGGACTGTCGTGATGTCGTGACCCTCTTCTCCATGCGCGGCCTTCCGGAAACAATCTTCTCCTTAAAGCTCGCGATTTCCTGCTCGGTACTTATTTCAAGCATCAAGGCCAGCGTCTCGGCAGCCTTACTCTGGGATCGTTGGGCCTGGTCGCTTTCGTGGGTTTGGTATTGGGTGAGAAGGTCGCGCAGCTGGTTCACGCGCTGTTCGTCGAGAGCCTGGAGGGTTTCGAAGATGAACGGGGCTTGGGAATCCCATTGCTGGGTGGCCTGCTCGAGCCTAGCGGTGGCATCTGCCATCTTCTGCGCATTCGTCTTAGGACCCTTCCTAGCCAGCGCGTCCATCTTTTTCTGGGCATCCTCGAGGTCTCGAGCCATAGCCGTCAGGTTGGCAGAAATGGTTTGCATGTTCTGCATCTCCTTTCGGGCCTGGAAGTTGCGCAGGGGCGCTTCGACATCTTTCTCGAGCAGGCTGGCGAATTGGTGATGAGAGTGGGCGGTCGCATCGACGGAGAGCACGATCTTGTCCCAGGGTCCAGAAAAGACGCTGGACAGACGATTAGCACGCAAGACGGTGGACGGGCCTCGGAGAGAAAAGCGACCTACCCGAGCTCGGACTGGCCGTTGGGAACTTTGAAGTTCATGAGCTTCCGTAAACTTTGGACATACTGTTCCTCGACTCGACGGCGCTCCTGGAGATGCTGGTTCAGCTTCGAGTCTTCTCTTCCGAGAGATGATTGGGTAATCAATTACCTGTAGCCAGTCTGCGACTTCGGTGTTGATCTTGGTTATTCTCTTCACGCGATCGGTCAGGACGTTGACAGCCTGCATGGGCTGGAGGTGTGCCTGGACAAAGGAGGGACCATGGTTAGCAATCAGGTCGCAAACAATGCGCTTCTGCAATGGCACACGGAGGCAAGGGGAGAGGGGTCGGTGGCAGTGTTGGGCCGTCGGGCTCTGGAGTGGGAAACAGTGACGATGATGGGGAGAGCAAAACATACCAGCATGGCAGGGTATTCGGCCCTCGCAAGATCATCCATTGTGTCTAATTAGTGCGCGCAAAATCATATACGGTGAATGCAGTCAAGGAGAAAAACGGCGCGCATAGCGATGCTGTCTATAATGCTGTTGAGGGTGTCGCCAAGGTGAGGAGCATTCGCATCGTGGGAGGGCGACAGTTGGTGGTGGAGGAAGTTGTAGGAGTGGCAGCAGCAACAACAGCAGTGGTGGTGGTGGTGGGTTGCGAAATGGATGGAGGAAATGGAGCGGATTGGATGGATGGAACAAGTTCGGCGCAGCGAAAGACGGAACTGGTGGAAGCAAGGCCAAGCCAGGACGAGGCAAGAGGTCAGAGACAGGGAAGGCGTTGTTGCTGTCGCTAATACACTACGGTACTGCACGCACACTCACACGAGGCAGAGGCAGCAAAGGCAGCACCTCACCAGTCAACACCACCGCAGCAAAATGGCAGAATCCCGGGTTGGCAGGAAAGGCCGGGAAAGGTCTCCTGGGCAGCTGGATCCAATGTGACCTGGACCGATGATGGAGAGTGTGGAGTGGACCGGACCGGGGGCAGCGCTGGGTGAGTACCTAGGTGTGGAAGCAGGCGCAGGCAGTGCGAGGCCAGTCCCGTCAGCACCCAAGTCTACGAATGGAAGCCTGTCCGGAGCTGGACCGCGCAAGTGACCTGACGGAAATGGCCTTGGGTCGCCAGGTCCACAGCTAGAGGAGGTTACCTTAGGTATCCGAGGTACCTCGACAGGGTAATTGGCGACATTGGACTCTTCTCTCGCCTTGCCTTGCCTTGCCTTGCCTCGTTCGCAGTTGCGCTGCTGAGGAGTGAGTACGGAGGAGGTAGCCAGCCACTATTACCGGAATGAAGGCAGTCCTCCAGAGGCAGCTCCCAGCGTCGGGTCTCTGGCTGCTAGGTACTGTTTGACTACGTCTCCACTTGTACCTTTCTTACCTCATCCCAATTGTCTCACCATTCCCTCCTCCGACTTTTTTTTTTCTTGCTAGATGCAATCAATTGGCCCAAGTGCTGCCGAAAAGTTCAGCGCATGTCCGCTGGCAAATTTGAATTCTTTAATTGGGACGGGAAGTTGGCCCGGGAGCGGCGGACACGGACGGCCCTACGGAATAGAGGTACACGACGGACTCGATACACGCAGACTGCAGTACGGATACACAAGAGTCGTCATCGCCAGTTGCTGCACAGCAATTCTGCTTGCTGCACAATGGGCCTCTCTTGAACTCAAGAACCACATGGCCCAGTCATCAACTCACCTCGCCTCGGTTCGACCCTTGTTCGAACATGCAGCCGTCCTAATGACCATAACCAGCCTCTCTGCATGTCCCCCGTCCTCGCCGCGGTGGTCTGAAAGTACTTTACTTCCGCCTGACAGGGCTCCTGTACTCGAAACGGGCTAGTTTGGAGGGGACTTCTGCAATACGTCACGCACCTGACGGTCCCGGTTTAGTTTGTTTTCACCTTGTGCCTACTCGACTGAGCTTCTTCGAATAACCCGAGCCCGCTCCCGCTCCAACACCCAGTTCCAATCCTAACCGCACCGAATGCTAGCTAGCCGACGCCGTGCTCGACGAAGTCTTGTCTGGCTTCGAAATGCTGAACCCGACCGCCCGTGACGCTGATGCTGGAAACAACGGCGGCGCCGACCTGCATAACTAAGGAACGCGTCCCGTCAACTCTAAGAACCTGGCTTTTGCACACTTTACTTATTCAGGGCCTTGTTGCTCACAGGATGTCGCCTCCAGCAAGGTTCAGAAAACGGTGCCTGTATGAGATGACGGGAAGAGCCCTGGCGTCTCGCGCCCGCGCCATGAATCTGGCCCGAATTCAATTAGCACATGGCAAGCAAGCCAGCACACGAGGATTCGTCAGTTGAGCCGCATCATCCTTGCCGCCATTGCCAGCGATGCATGAATTACACTTTCAGCCCTTATTTTCATCGCAAGAATTCGGGTTTTGTGCACGATGCAAACTGCCATGCTCAGGAGAACCCGCTGGCGTGACTTGCAGGCTTCCAACTGCATTGCAGACAGCGGCCATGCATCGGCATTAACATAAGGACACACAACAGTCTTGGACATCGTAAGGTAAACAGTGTCAAGCCTCTCCGAGCTAGCGGAAGCTAGGCAAAAATAGAGGAATAAGCAAGCCCAATTGACGCCAAAGGAGCGCCTTGGTCAGGTACCCGTGAAATTGCGATGCCCAGCTTTGCCTTATGTAAGCAGCACCGAATACAGGGGCCCAATGCAAGTCGAATGTAGCCCAAGCCACACTGTACGGCGCCGACGGGTCTGCGGGGTGGCTGCCGGCTGCCCCGGCCCGGACAGTCATCGAATCTTCTCACACGGTAAAATTTCGCATCGCTCTGGCGAGTGGAAGGTACACCGCGCTGGATGCTTACTACAACAATCCTCGTCCCTTCCTCAGATATTTTGGTGCTCACTAACAACCACTGGAAGGCGTTGTCGGACAGGTCACGAATACTTGCCATCCCCGCGTGCAGCTCCCTACGCTCGACTTCAAAGTTCAAAATCAATAGGTTCGCCTCAATGGCTGACGACAACCCGGATTGGAGGTCGCAGCTCTCGGCGTCCGAGCGCTATGAGAACATTCAGAAGATGTAAGTCGGTCTCCTCCACCCGCATCTCGGTCGCCGACTTACACCATCACGCAGCAAGGCAGTCCTAGAGGCTGCAAGCCCAGACGCATCCGCAACATCGCAGACCGAGGCTTTCTCGGTCGAAAACCAGGCTTACAAGGATTCCTCTTCGAGAGTAAGTTTTTGGCCATGTGGTATTCTGCGCGAGCTCAACTTACACTCTTCTGAAGGCGCAATATGACGAGATATGCCAGCTAGTCGGATCAGCAAATCTCGTTCCCCAGGAGAGCGCAGCACCCATAGGCGATGCTGATGACGGCGTTGGAGTCACTATTGGCTCTTACAAGAGCTGTATGCCAGTCGCAACTGGCTTGACGTCAGAGGTCTACCGATGCCAGGACCGCGCCTTGAAGGTCATCGTCGAAACGCACAACATCGAACCTCACAATCCGCAACGTGAGGCCAAGATTCTTGCAACTCTGAAGCGTCCTTGCATCCCGCTGTTGGAAACGTTTCGAGACCAAGAACAAAGATTCGTCCTGGTCTTTCCCTACAAGCCGCTCACCCTTGCCGATGTCATCGACAAAGGAACCCTCCCGCTGCCTAGAGTTCGACGCCTCTTCAAGGAGATTCTAGCTGCTCTGAAAAACATACACAGCCAAGGCATCATCCACAGAGACGTCAAACCGGAGGCCATTCTGCTCGACGGCCCCGATGGACCGGCCTACCTTTCAGATTTTGGAACGGCCTGGCATCCGACCATGTCTGTTGTTTCCGAGCCACCCACGGCCAAAATTTTGGATATCGGAACCGGGGCATACCGAGCCCCTGAAGCACTATTCGGCAACAAGGCTTATGGGTCCTCTGTCGACATGTGGGCTACCGGCGCCATGTTGGCGGAGTGTTGTCGCGATCCTCCCAAGCCCCTTTTTGAGTCCAGAGCAGCGCACGAAGACGGGAATCAGCTGGGCTTGATCTTGAGCATCTTCAAGACTCTCGGCACGCCTACGCGAGAGACGTGGCCCGAAGCTGCAAGCTTCAAGACGCCGCCTTTCGAGATGTACCGCATGTTTGAGGGCAAGTCCTGGGAGGAAATTCTGCCAGAGGTGGATGTGGATGTTCGTGATTTGGTCACGAAGCTGGTCCGCTTCGATTCAAAACGGTGGACTGCCGAGCAAGTAAGTTTTGATGGTTCATAATCCCGATGTTTGATCTGACATTGTGCTAGGCTCTGCAACACAGGTGCTTGCAAGAACCCGACGAGACGCCGATTTGAGGGCCTTTAACGAATCACAATGACCTGTCGCAATGAATAATGACTTGTAACGACATCGTCAAAGTATGTCAAAGCCGGTTGGACAATTGTTTAGAAACTTCTTTGACTGTAAACCTTCACAACGACGGAGAGTACTGTCCTATCGCAAACCAACAAAACATCTACAACAAAGAGCTCAACGAGTCCGAACAAGTATTAAACCAGAAAGCCGGCACGACGTCTCTGAAATCCGCAGACAGCATCTAAAACACTATCCATCAGAACCGCAAAACAATCGCAAACCGAACCGCAGCTCCAAGCAGTAGTCCTCGATACCACGAAAGCCAGCCGAACCAGCCCGCCGCCATGTCCAGCCCGTTATATTATCGCGCCGGAAGCTTCGATACCTCCTCGAGTGCGTCCGACTTGGACCGTTTCTTTGACGAAAGAGGTTGCCATCAAGAGGTTAATGTTGGTCTCGCAAGTAAGGCAAACGAGCACCATTGCCACTGCGGCGCACCCGGCGGCGACTTTCAGATGTGCCTTAAAAAGGGGTGCAAGGTCATGTGCAGCGACTGCGGCGTCGTGCGGTCCTCCCAAAGCAGCTCCTTCTGTATGAGGTGTCACCTTGCAAAGACGAAGGAAACCCGCGATGAGAAGAAGGCCCAGAAGCAGGAGGAAAAGGCTAGCAGGAAGCGGAAGGCGGGAAACGATAGTGGAGGGGAGCAAGCCAACAGTCGCAAGGCGCGCAAGCCCAAGCATACTGCTCACCAGAAAGAACTCCGCCAACAGGTCCAGGCCGCGGCGCACGACGCCAACCAGGTCCACCACGGCGGCATCGTCAAGATGGCGAAGGCGAGGACGATCCCGACCATGTACGGCTCGACCGGAAAACCGTGTCCTTCTCACTTTATCAAGAAGTTTGATCGGTTCATACGCTCCATCGACCCCGATGCGGTCTTCGCCCGTGACTGGATGGACACGGACGGCGCCTACGATGAGGACGTGGAGATGGCTGACGAGGACGTCATTGAGGATGATGACGAGGATGATGACATGCGCGATGGGCATCTGTGGAAAGACGACAACCAGTTCATGGAGGACGCGGCGGCGGGTCGCAGACTTCGTCACATTGACGACTTTATCGGCATGGTTGTCCGTCGTCGTTGTCGATACTGAGCGACAGCTCGGTTTACCTCTGCTGAGGCTTTCATTTTATCATCAATCTGGGTTTCGTTCTCTTGTTTCCACCTGTCGTTGCTTTTCATAGAAATCATGGTTCTGAACTTCATCTTCGTATTCATCTATCCCCAGCTAAAACCCCCCAATTGCTTTTTCCATGCCGTCTAGGTATGACCTACATAGAAAAACGAAAAAAACAATGATACCACCTCTTTTCCTTGACTCATTTCGTCTCTCATTTCCATTCCATCGCTTCGACGTTCCCCACTACCACATAAAAGTCCAACTTGCCTTAACCCCTGCGCGCCTTGGTATCGGCACCAAGGTAGTCAATCGGGTTACGGCACAGCGGGCAGGTGTTTTGGTTACTGCTCTGGAACCACTTGTACAGACACGTGCGGTGGAAGAGGTTCTTGCACGTGCCGCAGCGCTTGTCGGGCATCTTCTTGTCGGTCGAGATGATGCTGTAGCAGATGGCGCACTCGCTCTGGCCCTTGAGGGCGCCGACGATGTTGCGCTTGAAGGCGGAGAGGCCGTCGATTATGCTTCCGTTCTGTGCGACTGGTTAGTACGATGTTGAGAATGGCAAATAAGTGCGCAATAGGGGGGGGTAAAGCTTACAGAGAAGGTAATGACGCCCTGCGTCGTCAGCAGCCAGCTCTGCCACTTCTTCTCGCTGACGGCGACGCGGTTTACGCCGACGACGCTGACGCCCTCGATGGGGTAGCTCGCGGGCACCTTGACGGCGATGCTGGCCATGCTCTCGTCGACCTCGTAGCCCGCGGTGATCTCCTTGCCCGTCTTGCTGACCTTGACGACGAGCTCCTTCTCGTCGTCGGCGGCGGACTCGCCCTCCTGCGACGCGGCCCAGGCGGCGACCTCGTCGAGGGCGTCGGAGACGATGATGGGGGAGAAGTAGCGCGTCATCCACCCCTCGACGGCGATGCGGGTCTGCTTGGAGCGGCAGTCGAGGTACCAGGTCTTGAAGAGACCGGGGGTGTACTTGAGGGTGAGGTAGTAGAGGTGCACGAGCAGCCAGTGCAGGTTGCGCTCGTCGGGCTCGGCGTCGGCGACGGCGAGGTCGTAGGCGGTGATCTCCGCGATGCCGAGGCCCTCGCGCTCGAGGTTGAGCGGGTGCGCGGCAGAGTGGCCGAGCACGTCGAAGGTGAAGTTGAGCAGCGGGGCGATGTAGTTCTCCGTCTTGAGGTGCTCGGTGTAGTCGTTGCGGACCTTGAGGGAGGCGGTGCTGAAGGCGTCGAAGATAAGGTGCCACGAGAGCAGGTAGGAGCGGATGGCGAGGGGGAATTGGGCGAGGAGCTCGTCGGGGTAGCGGTCGAGGGTTGGGGCATCGAGCAGGAGGGAGAGGAGCTCGTCAGGGAGGCGGGCGTCGGTCTTGTCGAGGAGGACGTTGACAGAGAGCTCTTCTTGCCGGGCGGGGAGCGCGCGGTGCAAGAGGTTGAAGGCGGCGGTTTGGATCGAGCGGGAGTCTGCGGCGATGAGGCCGTACAGGTCGGAGAGGTCGGAGATGTGCTTGAGGGGGATCTTGTCGACTTGTCTGCAGATGATGGCGTCTACGATCTCGAGAGGCTGGGTGCTCTTTGCGCGGTCCAGTTTGAGGAGTTCAATCAGAGAGAGGGACTTTGTCTCTGCGAACTCTTTCAGCGCATCTTCGAGATCGTCATTGGGGTCCAAGAGGGTCTCAAGTGCTGACACGAGCTTGAGGGATGTGTGGATATACGGTAGCGAAGCATCAAGACGGTCATCAGAGGCCTTGGCCCAGAGAGCCGTAGAGAACTCAATCGTCTTTTCCCAGTGAGGGCCGTAAACCTCCTTTATGCTTGGAAGAAGTCGTTGTAGGGCGCGGCAAATCTCTGCGGAGAGGGCCGGTGTGAGGTTGAGGGTATCCTCAAGCCAAGATGTGATTTGGCGGACGGCAAAGACAATGCGGTTGTTAGCCACGGGAACTTCGCCCACCTCGTAGACCTGCAGACAGGCATTCAGAAGGATAAGGATCATGAGTGCCTTTTCGGCCTTCTCTGGCTCGATGCTTGCGCCGGCAACGTCACTAACGAGGCGGTTGCATAGGTTGTTAATTGCTTTGGAAGACTCAAGACTTTCGCCAAGACCGGTGAGCACCGCCGTGGCTGAGAGAATCGTAGGGGGCGTGGCTCTCAATGTGGCAAGCTGGGCAATCTTCTCGTCGCCTGCAGCGGGGAAGCCATGCTTCTCGGTGAGGGTTTGAAGGAGTTCGCTCAGGGCTCTGGCGCTGTACAGACCAAGCGCAGTGAGCTCCTTTGTCTCTTGCGTCATAATGGCGATGAGACCGTTGATGAGTTTTGTAGAGCCAGAATCAGAGCCATCTCTCCATCCCTTGGCGTCGTCAGCGATGGCGTTGATAGTTACCCTGGTGGACGACACAAAAGCCTCAGCAGCGTTGAGAGCATCGCCAGTCTCCAGGTTGAGGAACAACTTGTTCTCGTCCATCAGCGTAATTTGGTCGGAAACTATCTGGACCGCAACGCAGAGAAGGTAAAGGATTTCTACCTGGAAGCTCTCGGGTAGGGTAGAAACGGAAATGTCAGATGACAGCAGTTTGGAGGTGTACGCCGCCATTCTCGCAGGAACGGAGTAACCGTCGCGATCTCGCCGTACTCTGACGCGCTGCGCTGACTCTGCAGGCGGAACCAGGAAATGAGCTCCGCCCAGACTGCTCGTGATGGATAGAGACGGGTTGAGAGATCCCTGTAGGAAGTTGGACAGCTGCTGCATCCAGACATTCGTGCTGGGGAATAGATCCTCAAGTGCTGAACCGGTTTTGGATGCTTGCAATGCCTGCTGTACCAAGGTGTCGATTCCAAGGGACTGCGGTCCTGCATCCTCCAGGTTCCGCTGGATGATGGTGACCAAGGGCGACGTGCCGTCCACGGGGTGTTCCAAAAGAGCTCTCAAAGAAACAGCGCGGGACGAAACGGCTCTGTCGTTGAGCTCAGCCAGCCCCAGTAGCTCAGCAACGACCGCTGTATGAGTTGACTCGTCTTGTGAAAGAAGACCCGGCTTGTTGTTGGCAATGATCTCCAAGGCCCTGAGCGCTTGGGCCGAGTGCTGTTTGTCCTGAGAAAGGTAGGAGATACTGCTGTCAACCAGCTTCTTCGCAGTTGATTCCGTGACGGCGTCGTTTCCCAGGCCCGCTTCGAATAGCGACCAAAATTCTGACTCGCCCCGGATGGTGCCGGTGCACTTCGTTTCGATGAAGCTTTGTAGCTGCTCGTGGGATTTGGACAGGTCGGATGCGTGCCGATTCGCGATTAGGCGCTCGATTCCTTTCGCGGCCAGCTTTTCGTCAGACAAGCCAAGCAGGGACTCGATCCACGTCTTCCAGATGGATGCATAGGCTGTCTCCTGGCCCTGCAGAGAACCCAAGATAGGCACACAGCTCAAGAGATCCGGTGCGGATCGAGAAGTCATCAGAACATCCATCCGCTCCCGACCTTGGCTCGAGAGAAACTGCTCCAAGGCTTGAGCAGCTTCGGCATCTTCCCAAACCCGCGGGGCACTCTTGCCGACATTGTACAAAACCCCAGCTGCACCAAACGGCTTCAAGTTTCGGGTCGCAAGAAGGTTTAGTGAGCAGGTAATGATAGCTTTGGAGGGGCCAATGAGCAGCTTTGCAGGACCTGTCGTGGAGGCTTTGGTTTTGGTTTGAACCTGGCCAACTAGATTGAACCACCGGTCGCCCTCGGCAGCGATTGACTCTTGCGACTTTTCATACCCTGATGATACTTCAGGCAGTGAGTTGGATATCCTCGTGCAGAAATCGGATGACAAATGTTCCGTCATGTCGGCAGTTGCTTTAACCAGGTCCGCAGACGAGTCGTCGGCGGCAACCTGGTAGACTTCGCTGAGAACGCCCAACCGTCCGGCACCGCCAATCTCCCAAGCCGCATTTTCAGGGGTTGGGAAGAGGAAGTGCCCCAGCAGGGGAAAGAGGTTTTCCTGCACAAGCTTGGCATGGCCTTCTGAGGGAATCGTCTTCAGGAAATGCTTGGCAACGTGAACGTAACACGTCCATGCTGTGGGTGCGTTGAATCGCGGCTCTTCCCTATGGGTGATGCCAGTTCGCAATGACTTCAAGGCTGCTGCAGAAGCCTCAGCAGTAAAGTGCTCGGCTGGGATGACAACGATGAGTTGTTCGAGGTATTCCCAGTATTTCGCGGAGCTTCCCTGAGATCCCTTCTCTAAGAAGCCATTCAGCCTAGTGATCGGAGTCTTCTTATCACTTGAGCTAGACCAGATCTCAGGGAACCTGCTCGTCAACTTGGTAAGAACCCTGACAAACTCTATAGCAGATCCAATCTGGCTGCTCTTCAGGCCCTCTGCAATGAAGATCTTCTTCAGGCGGGAGATCTGCGAGGACGTCGAGTCGGACCTCTTGTCCAAGCAAATCCACAGCAGCTGGCAGGATGTTTTCCTGACAGAGTTGTCAGCCATAAGCGCGCTCTTCCAGACCTTCTCCTCGGCGAAAAAGGTATCGTATGCCTCCTGTTCTTTTTCAATGTCGGCCGGCTCCAACTTTTGCAGGAGACCAAGAACCAAGGAAAGACTGGCCCCCACCACCCTTAGGTACTTAGCCTCGGCATCGTCTGGAGTCGTTGACCTCTCATCGCTCAATGTGTCCTTTGTTTCCTGGATGGCCTCGGTGGCGTAGGTCAAAATCTGGGACTGGCACTTCTTCCAGAACGAAACGACCTTCTCCGGGCTATTCAGGAATGACGATAGGCCGGCATCCGCTGCCCTGGATACCACACGATCCTTGTCATAGAGACCTGCGAGCCAGGTACCAACAATTTTGGGGATATGCTTCTCCATGCGCTTGCGAGCCGACTTCATCAACTCGAACTGCAGGATATGGGAGAGCTCGCGGACGCGACGGGCGTTGTCTATGGAGATACGAGGATATATTTGTACCTGTTACATACATTACCACATGTTCGTCAAAGTAACTCTCCCGGGGAAAACGCACCCATGCTTCCAAGACTGCCTCCTCTGTTCCACCATCCTTTTCATATGGGTGAGCCTGCACGTATGCCACGAGTTCCTCCAATGCCTTTGCTTTTGTCGTAGCATCTTTCTTCAGGGCGTTCTTGAAGGAAACGACAACGTTCGCATCGGAAAGGGAGGAAAGATCGGGCGGCTCGGTAAGGTAAGACAGTCCATTGTCGTTCGAAGAGGAGAAGCCGCCGAAGCCGCCCCGCGCCGGGGCACCAAAGCTCTTTGCGCCGCCCGAGCGGCCTGCTTTTCCAAAGGCACGCGACATGATCTGGTGGTTAGTGTCGTTTGCGCCTTGTGCGAAGGTGATGTCGTTGAAGCTGCGAGCGCGAGGGACCTAGCGCGGCGAAGCGCGGGAGCTCAAAATGATGTTGGCGGGGTAGAGTGCAGAAGTGCGGCACCGAAGAATCCAGAAGGGTGCTTAGGAATTGGAAACGTGAAAGACGGACCGAGGCGCTCCAAGTCAACAGACTTCCAAGGGCCTATTATTTCAAGGAAAAGAGAGCAAACCGACGGTAGGCAGAGAAGTGCTGGATTGGCCTCGTCGCATCGCAGGCTTCAATCGACATGGAATACCAAAGAGAGTGCAGTGCCCTGTTGACTCAGGCCGAATGAGTTTTGGCCGAACCACATCCAGAACCGGCGAATGAAAATGGCCAAGCTGCCCCGCCAAAGCTCCTTCTCAGTGTTCTTGTGGACGGAGATGATGCGGTCATAGGTGAGCTCCTCGCACGTGACTTTGGCTGATTGTGGCCTCATTCCGTCCGTGCGCTGTGATGTCCGTGCCTCCCGTCCTTCCATCCCTTGCTCTATCTTGATGCTCCTATTGGCCTTTTCTTATCACTTCTCCAATTCGTGTTACTCCACTCCCAGCTTGAGCAACAGACGGCGCTTCACCAAACCCAGCAGCGGCGTAGATGGAACAAGGGCACCTTGCTGGGCATTGGACTTGTGTATTCAATACAGGCGTTGCATATCTATGAATAAATAGCCCAGGTGTCTGAAAGTTTGCTTATCTGCTTGAATCCCATGGTAAGTAAGGCAGGCATCAGAGACAGAAGATGGCGGACGACAGCGGAAGACAGCGACGAGAAGAAGACAGAGACGGCGCCAAGGACAAGGACGAGGACGAGGACGACGATCACGAAAACAGCAGTGAGCCGAAGTCGAGATAGGTACTTCGGATAGGAGCATCGACTATTATGTAGCTTTCATACCTACCTTACAGTCAACGTTCGAAGAGGCCCCCCGTTGACCTGGGCGTCGCCGTTCGGGATCGTTCGGCGGTTTCGAAAGGCTACCCCGCAAACTGCACGCTGAAGGCCGCCTCCACGTCCACTGCGCCGAGCCCACTGCGGGAAAGGCGCTAAGGCACTGGGAGCGGAGACTGTGGGCCAGTGACCCCGGGCAGCTCCCCTGCAGTACCTCGCCAACCCAAGACGGCTCTGCCCATAACGGTAGGCCGTCTCCTCGATCCGTCGCTACCTGGGTAGCTACCTCCCAACCTTCTCGTCCTTATGAAGGTGGCGGTTTTCCACTTCCCCTTTCCTCCCGTCATTCAAAAAGCGTCGTCCATGCAGGCACTTGGCTCTGCAATTCCTCCCTTGTGTAAGTGTCTCCTGTTTATTCGACTATTCATGTACGAATAATCTCTGGACGTCGCCAGTGACGGCGGCCAGAGACGGCGGGGACAGTGGCCAGAGACGACGCCTAGAGATGACACCCAGCGACGACAACCAGAGCCCAGCTACGTCGTGTACCCTGTGCTAACTACAGCCAGTGCAGGTAGCATGGTAGAAGCGTCAACATGCTCTTCAACGTCCCTCGCTCGTCTCGTGCGGGTGGCCTCCAAGTGAGAGCCCTCGCCAACAACCATGCGAAGGCAAGCCATTACGGCCAGACTCGCGGCTTTCGCTTCCGCGCGTGGTCCACCTACCTAGACCCCGAGTTCCAACGACAGCTGCGACAGCACCAGCGCAACGTGACCTACAAGTATATGGAGTCAATCAACCGAAAGATATCATGGGACCCAAGCTCGCGTGGCGAGGATTCAAGAATACTCATGAAGAAGATGATGTCGCAGTGCTGGATTAGACACGGTCACACCCATTCGAAAGGAAGCCGCGGGCCGAGCGATAAAGCAAGCGGCGAAGAAGGAGTTCGCCCTGGTCAAAACATTGAAGACGTCGAGCGCGGTGCTATCAACGCTTTATTCTCTTCCAAGCGAACGGGACCCTACGAATATGACTTGTGGCAGTCACCCCTGCAGAACATTCGCAACTACCTGGGTAGCCAGACTCGCGGCAAGTCGACGACCTCGGCCAGCCGGGGTGCGGAGTTCGAAATTGATCCTATCACGAATCGAAGGGTTTCACCAGATTCGGCCGTTGAAAGTAGTTCCGCCGCAGCCAACGAGCCGTTCTACGAGGACGGCCCACCTCCGCCGGAAGAGCTTAAGCGGTACGGTCAGGTCCCGCTCGATGGTACCCCGTGGGCCGACAGTGGAGATGCGGGGGCCCCGCAGTATTCGGACCTGGACAAGTACAAGCCCGTGATGGACGAGAAGCTCGATGCGGGACAACAGAAACCAGCAGCGTCCGAATACGACGACCTGCATAAGTACACACCAGTAGGGCTGAAGGACTTTATCAAGGACGACGAAGCCGGACAGCCAAAATATGAGGACCTTCACAAGTATTCCAACCCATCCCTCTCTGACGGGCCCCCTGAGGAGCTCTCTCAGCCTGCCTACGAAGACCTCGATAAGTACCGCCCTGTGATGCACAATGAGGACGCAGAAGTCCCCGAAGCACAGGAGAGGTATTCGGATCTGAATAAGTACGGGCCAGTGATGCACAACGAGGACAAGGACGCCAAGGATACGTTGTCCTACGACGACCTACACAAGTATGGCCCTAGTGGTTACAACGAGGCCGAGGGCGGCGCTCGCCCCTTGAGTGCCGAGGAGAAGTCGAAAGACTACGACGATCTACATAAATACGGCCCTATGGGGTACAACGAGCCCCATGGAGCGCCCCCTGTGCATCCCGAGGAGGCTTCCAAAGCATACCCTGACCTGGATCAGTATGGGCCCATGGCGTACAACGAGCCGTTCGGTCGGGCACCCATACACCCAGAAGAAGCCTCCAAGGCTTATACGGACCTAGGAAAGTACGAGCCTGTGGGCTGGAACGAACCGCACGGTAAGCCGCCAGTGCATCCGGAAGAGGCCTCCAAGCAGTACACCGATCTGGGTACCTACGGCCCGGTTTCCTTCACTCGAGGTGGGAAGGCACCGGAGGGCGTTACTGCCACAGTTGCTCCAGAAGACTTGGCTCGTCACAGGCCTGTTCAATACGACGAGCCCGAGGGTCAACGTCCCAAGCCAGATTGGGATCAGACTGCGTTCGATGAGGCGAAGAAATATGAGTCATATCGGCACAACGAGCCAGATGGACAGCCGGTCGAGATCATAGATCCTGTATCTAAAGGCCTAAGCGATTTTGACGCGGAAATTGCGGCAAAGGCGTCAAGGACGACGACGGCGGCAGCAACAGCAACAGCAGCAGGGGCGACTACAGGAACGGCAGGGGCGAGCAAGCGCCTCCTCACCACCTCCGCGACAGACCAAGAAAGAGCTGACGATTTGGACCTGCTGCGCGCAAGCGATATTCGAGCCAAGATCCCGACCTCTTCTGGCCAGTCTCGTAGGGGTTACAGCACTACTAACCGGCAAATGCTCGAGGCTGACCTACCGCGGTACGAAGTGAATTGGGATATTTCAAGCAAGGCAGCTCGCGTGAGTCTGCGCAAGGCTAAAAACAGGGCGTGGGAGAACATCCAACCCAAGGAAGACTTGACCGGCAACTATTTCAGGGATTTTCCAGAGGATTTCTCCAGATCATGGACCAATATTGTGGCGGAAAGCCCAAAGGCAGAGGACAGCAAGTATCAGAGCCCCCAGGGTGATGACGTCGAAGCTGCTTCCTTCGATGAGAGCTTTCCGAAATTGGAGCCGGCGTTGAACAGGGCCTCTGCTTTCAAGTCGCAACGTGTAGCAGGAAAGCAGGGTCTGCCTGATATGTACTCTACAGAGCCCCAGGGCCTTGAGCTGAGCTACTCTGAGGAGTGTGGTGGCAAGCAAACCTGGCCTTCCTATGTGCGATCGTACGGCACAGCGTCAGACGCCGCCGCAGATGCTGCAGCTTCGGAGAGTGTGTCGACCTCGGCCAAGGAGGAACTTCGTGAGCCTGTTGTTTACAAGATTCTCGCCTACGACCCGACGATGCAAACCATCAACACAGCAGAGACTACTTCGGTGGTACCTGACAGCGCGACGCCACTGACACCGGCCGAGGTTCTCCTCCGCTTGTCCAACCCGACAAAGTTCTTCCCCTACTTCAGCCCGCTCCAGAAGGAAGGCTACGAAATCGTCTCCGGAAGCGGAGACGTCCTGGTTTTCCGCAAGGTCCGCGAGGCAGAGATCACCCCTTTCACTCCTACGATCGAAAAGCCGACGACCTACCAGGCTCCAAAGGTGAACCCCATCGACATGATGGGGAGCGACCCCGTGGTACCAAGCGCTTACTCCTCGAGTCCAACAGGCTATCTGAACTATGATTATCCGGGAGCGGAGGCGGAGGACAAACCCCCACCACCCTTTAGCGCAGTGAGGAGACGCAACACGATTTCATGTGACCGTCAGGATTTTGAGGCTCCTCGAAGGCCGAAGAAGCGCAGGGCCAGGAAGATTCTTCTTGGCGCTGCGTGGGTCGGCGGGATCTCATACGCTATTGGTGTGGTTGGGGAGTATTTCAACACAGGAGGCGAGGACGGTCGTGGCCCCAAGAGGCTGTAGGCCTGATTCAGATTTCATCCAGAGAATGGTGAACTATATACTTTTGCGATGAGGGATTCATCACCAGTACTGTTACTCTTTACATGTACCAATAGTACTCTCCAGGATGCGATTGATTTTCATTCAATTCCACTCATCGGGTTTTGTTTTCGTTAGGACTGGGACGGGACGGAAGGCTAGGGTTACGGGATTCAATAGCACACAATGAAGCTTCAAACCAATTCAATTATGCGTGTTTGGTAGAGTACAAGCAGTATCGTGATCATGCAATTTTGAACGCCTTATTCCCCTTTCCCAACATTCCCAGCTTGATGCTCTGGGTAGTCAGGCGGTCTTGGTCGTGGCACCCTTCCCGCCTCCGCTCCGTTATTCTCTCGACTCCGGAATCATGCAACGCTACGCATTCATGCCCTCTCGGTAAACCCAGGCCCGGTCTTGACATCCTCAATGTGGCTCATCTGCAGCTCGCGCTTCTGGTCCTCCTTGTTCCAACTCTGGCGGCGCTCGAAGGAGGGCTTCCAGCTGTTGGTGCGCTCGATGACGCGGGCGGCCTCGGCGGCTGGGCTGGAGGGGTCGTGGGCGTCGGCGTGGGGGACGCCCTTTTGCGGGGCGACGTTGGCCATGGAGGGTTGGGAGGACATGTTGATGTGTGTTCTTGTTGGGTGGATGGGAGAAGTAGTGGTGGATGTGTGTTAGGTTTGGAGTCTGACGGTGGTGAGTTGTTGTTTGGATTAGAGGACTGATGCTGATATTTGTCTTGAGGTTTGTAGGATGTAGAGGCGGACGGATTGTTGTTGATGTTTTGGTTTAGAGGTATGGAATGTAAGTTGAAATTAGAGACAGGTGCTGCGGGGAGTTATAATAGAAGTCACGCTAATCGAGGTGGGAGCTTCCCCTTTCTATATCAAGACGACCCCGGGTAACAGCTTCCCTTAGACGTTCCCCCAAAAATTCCAAGGGTCCAATGTCCTTCAAGCTCCAATCTAACCTTCAACCTGCCTGCTCACCCCCTCCTTCGTCTTCATGCAGCTCAATCCGTCCCCCGTTTCCGTCCCGGGGCCACCTTAGTTAGCAGGCAAGGCGAAGCAAGCTGAGAGTTTCTCATGCACGAGCGATGGGGGACCGGCCAGTGAGCAACTGACATCAGACGACGATCACACCAGTGGACAGAGCTTTTGTCGCCACTGGCGGATGGGGGTTGTTTCTGTTCAACCACACCACCACCACTACATCCAACGAAGCACATGCTTTTCTTTGTCTAGCTCGTCTTGATGCTGTGAGGTGAGGTAAGGGCATGGAATCTTCTACGTAGCTAGCTACCTAGCAAAGCTGTGTGATAGCCCATAATACGGTGTTGCACCTTTTGATCGCCGCCTTCGTCGTTTTTGTTAGGTAGTTCCTTCTGGGCAAGGTGAGTTGCAACGAGAAGGGGGACCACCACCGCCGTCATTGCGGGGTAAAGAGGTCGAGGCCCGGTCGCCGGCCTAGCTTTATCGGACGTTATCGGGGTGGGACAGGTGGTGGGACCCACAGGAGCTCCTTTCAGTGTCGCTGCCGGTGCAACCACATTCCATCCTTCTCGTGATGGCGGATGCGTGATGACATCTGTGGTTGACTTGCGGATCGCGATCTCGGGTCGTTGTTCGAGGGGCGCGAGAAGATTGCTCTCCAAATACCCAAGAATCTATGGTTGCTAGATCATCTAGATTATTACGAACCAGCGAGCTTCAGGAATCGACGTAAGAATTGTAGTTCTACAACGGCCGGCCCATCGACGGGCCTGGTGGCCAGCCACCGAGACACCCGACCCGCCCGTACTCAAGACCCAACAGGAACGAAACAAATCTCTGAAGGAACAAGCATTGTATTTACCAGACCTGATTCAAGCGTAGTCATCGAATTTTACATTTCCACCATCACCTCGTCAATCCGTTTTTACCAATCGTTCGCCCTACCCCTTCCCCTTCCCGTCTCCGTCCCTCGCCAGAATCCGTCCCATCCCAAGTCTTCTTTTTCCTGTATTCCTTCCAACGCAGAAAGATGAAACCCGCCGCCGACAATGAAAGAAAAATCGAGAATTTCAGCCTAATAATGCAGCTTTGCTCGCTCCGAATCGTTGAAACTGGACCGGCGTAATGCATGTATCTCATCTAAGCGGGGGTTGTGTGTATGGGGAATCGTTGGGGATAAGAATAAGGGGGGGAAACCCGAGGTATAGTAGTAGTAGTGTGAGTCGTACAGAGTTCAAGAAAAAAAAAAGGGAACACAAAAACACAAGATAATAAAAACAGTGTAATCCATAAAACGCCTTGCGCTATGCAGCCAGAACACAAGTTTTGCCAAACGGGTCGGTTTAGAGCTAAGGTATGGACAGTTGAAGGGGTAGCCTGAGTGCTGATCATGCGGAGAGTGTGCATGGCATCAGCTCAGCTTGAGCAAGGTTGCTGGGTGCAAGCCCAAAAAAATTTGCCATGGGATAAAAGCCAGAATAGTGATCATTCAAGGGGTTCGCGGGCGCTTCCAGTAGTATTGCTAACAAGCCAATCGTGTTAGTGAAGACATCTTTCGACTTCTTTTCGGCTGATCGTACCTTGTGCTGCTTTCTGCAGGCTCTCAGACTGGGCTTCCGGAGGCCGTCCGTGACAGCGAAGCGACGCTGCTCGTCGTCGTCGGCCTCGGGGACGTAGTAGTACTCGCTCTCGAGGGGCTTGCCGGCGGCATCCTTGCCCTGGCGGCGGATGATGCCGATGCACGCCGTGTTCTCCAATAGGCTTCGCAATTGTTCCTTGAGCAGACCCTTCTTCTGCTCGGAGGGGAGGTTGTTCATGATGGTCGACAGAGGGTTGGACGACAGGCGGGAGAAGGCGAGCTGGTTGACGACATGGTTGCGCACGGCAGGGTTCTCGTAGGGAGGCTCCTTGACTTCCTCTTCTTCCTCCTTGATGACCGGCGACTTTGGCGGTGCCGAGATGGGGCTGGAGGGGTTGGAGTCATCCCGGATAGGAGGCAGCTGTGAGTGTTTGGAAGAGGGGTACTTGGGTGCAGTGGCCAAGACAGAGGCCAGGCGGTTGGAAATGTCAGCTCCAAAGGGACCGAAGGAGTGGACGATGGGGTCGTTTTCCTCATCCGGGTCGTTCTCATCTTCGGGCTCACTGAGCTCGGACGAGAAAGAGTTGGTCACTTCGGTAGCGAAGCTCTGGCCGACATTGACACCCGAGTCAGTAAGCTTGGGAAGTTCAGGCTCGTCTGCGCTGGAGTCCTCGTAGATGTGGACCTCTCCATCATCGGTGGGAAGAAGAGCTTGCAGGCGCTGGGAGCTGGTCATGTGCGCCGGCGTTGGAGAGTCCGGAGACTCGATGCGCGAGGTACGGCGCAGGGGGCTTGACTGGAGCAGGTTGGCAGCGGCGGCGGCGGCACGGGCATTGGGCCGGGGCGGGGAGTCGTCCCACTGGGACTCGGGGCTTCCCAGCCGGTCACGCTGGTCCCGCTTCGGCCATTGGATCATGACACGCGCATCCTGGACGTCAAGCATAATTTCGGTACCCTCCGTCTCGGACGTGAACGAGTCGCCCTTGAGCAGCTCCCACGTGCGGCCCTGGCAGTGCAGCTTCAGTCCGTTCCAGCCATTGCACAGAATCTCAATCTTATTCGGCTCCAGTGCCGAGGGAGCAGGCACGAACCGCGCCTTGACGTGCACACGGGACACGAGACGGTTGGCGGAGAGTTGGTAATGGGATGAGTTGCTAGAACGGCCCATGAGCAGGGTCTCGCCGTTGTCGTTCAGTTCAATGGAGGCGACGGCACCGAGGGGCGTGCGTTCGGAGGCGGAGGAGAGGGCTCGCGAGAGAGCGCCGGGGCGCTGGTGGACGCGGGGTGGGGAAGATGAGAGGATGCCGGTGCTCGAAGTCGGAATTGGCGTGGGATACTTGAGGTAGGCGCTGTTTCCTCCAACGGAACCGGGACGAGCTTGACGCTTGGAAGGTCGAGGAAAGCCCGGGGAGGAAGACAGAGGTTCGAATGCCGGGAGAAGGCTCGGAGCAGGACGCTTGGTGCCGGCCATGGGGAGGGTAGGCTCCGGGTTCTTGGATTGAGGCGACGAGTCCATCATTGTTGCGGCGACGACGGCATGCCCTGCCAAAAGAGTGACTGCCCCAAGTGATGTGTGGTCGTGCTTCTTGTTCCTGTACCTCTTGATGATTTTTTTTCTCTTCAGTATATTTCTTCCGCGTGGTGAGCAGTCGCGTTTTGGTGGGCGCGGTTTCGGTCCCCGATATCAGGCGTGGATTTTGGCGTAGAGTGGAATCGCGTGTAAGTGGTTTCGTGGTGGGGGACAGGGCCGATGGGCAGGTAGGTAGGTTGTGAAGAGTGGAAGTGATAATGGATATACAGGACGAAGGTGAAAAGACGAGAGAGGAGTTTTCCACACAAAATAATTCCCTGATGCAAAAACTGTCAAAGTGGTTGCAGGTCTGGTGGAAGGAGGCCCAGAGTGTGAGTGACCAGGAGCGTGGTGGTGTCTGGACGGGGACGGGACCTTTTTGATGGCCCCCTTCCGTTAGCATGGCAGGAGCGAAGCGTGTTCTTGCGCGTTGGCGTTGATCGCGTCCCCCGCGTCCAGACGTTGTGCTGTGCAAGGAATTGTGCTTGCCGGTGGAGCACGCACACCACTGTATCCGTCCCCGACCGCTGTACCGGGCACTCGCTGTCTCCTAGCGGTCCACTGACATGCCAACAGCTACAGCGCACTTAGCGCACCGGCGGAGCCTCGCAAGCGCTAAAGATGACGCTTGGGGTGTCTTCAGGCCACGACCCCGGCCGACGCGGGCCGCTATCTGAGCTTTAATGGGTGTTTCAATCTTTAACTGTCCCGTTGACGGCAGTCTGCATCTTCAACTCGGGTGCAAGCCGCCTGTTTGCTTTCTTCACTTGCATCTTCACTCTTGAATATTCTGAGTATTCTGGAATCTACTCCATAGACCGCTCTTTCAAACCAGCCATCTTATCTGCAAAATATCGCAGCCTCTGACCTCACAATGGACACAATTGCCCCTCATCCACGTCGAGTCTGCCCGTTCCAGCCTCCTCCCGAAGCCGAAGCGCGTCTCCACCAAAGAGAAAAAAAAAAACTACGACTCACGTCCACTTCCGGTGCGCGTCTCTGGCCAAGCACCGGGCAGTGGTCAGCAGCACCTCATTCATCCATCCATTTAATCCTCTTACGGGGGCAGCCCAACGGCGCAGAACGCTGAAGAACGTACCTTTGGCACTTTAGCGCCGACAGACACCCACGGCCCAGCCCACACATCAACCGTCCCTCCAATGGCTGACACTATTCAACCCTGGCAATCCAAAGCCTGGCCGGACGAGTAAGTACTGCGTAGAGCGTGTCGACACTGACAGAGAGAGCGAGACTGCGAGAGACACAGGCTTGCAAATTACATGCTATGTAGTCCGTACATTAGCACTGCATAGCTCTGTATTAGAGCACCATGCATTCCCACCTGCCCTCTTCCCTGATATTTCACCATCCCTGTGGCTCCCTCGCTTCCAGCATTTGCGCCGATGCTCCTCCTGTTGGTCACATGGATCGTGGAAACCACGCCAACTCATTGGTTCTCTTTGGCAGCTTCACCTGCCTCCATTTCCCTTTTCTGCCACGAGCATGTGCTGCCCGTCCGTCTTTGTGAGACTTGGCCCGCTCAGAGACTGGGTTGCGCATACACGAGCCTCAAAGTGCCCTCATCCACGGCTCGCATACATAAGATACGCTGAAAGTGAAGGGGTTGAAACGAGGCATCGCGGACGTGTTGGCTCGCGTAAAAGTGGTCTCAACCCAGGTACCCTGTCTGTCCAAGTCATGATATACATACCATACCCGTCGCCCGCTCTGCTACCACAATGATACCTTTTCCCCTTATCTCGTAGCCAGCTGTCGTATGCTCTAGCAATATGTACTTATTTGTTTTAGCTCTGTGCGCGATGAGGGCTGACAGCTGGCTTCGGGAAATGAGCGTCAGGAGGCAGACAGCCGAGCCGTGCTGAGCCCGCCTCCCGAACCGTCAATCATCGCCGCGTCTCGGCGTCCACCCCGCATCGCTAACGCAAGTCGCGCTCCTGCTCACACGACCCGCTGAGGCTTTGACAGGTTTGAAATGATCCCGGCGTTCCCAATTGGACTGAGGAAGCAACCCCCGTTGGCCGCGCGTGTGCAAAGTTCTTGCGTGCCATGCTACTGCGTCGTAGTCCCACTGCTCTCGTACGCAGGCAGGCTTTCCAAGGGCCCGTTTTCAGAGTGAGACAGAACCCGTGTATCAAGACCCATTGGCTCTGGACACCCTTCCGTGGACCACGGTAACGTTTAATCGGCAACCGGAGGGGCTTTTGCACGAATTACCAACGCTCTGGGTTATCCGTAGAGGGGCACCGACTGAATGCGATGCTTGGCCGCTCAGCCCTAAAGTTGAATGGCTATATGCACTCAAGATTCAAGACGCGATGTCAAAAGCCAATAGACGCGTAAAGCTGTGGTCAGCTTGCAGATGCACAACGCGGCGCAAAATTTCTCTTCCACAACTACGAATGTGTCCGTGAGGCGTCTTGAAAACTTTTCGATCTCTCTACCTTTGCAACGAAACAAGACATTAGTTGGCCGTCGCATGGAATGGTCGGGTTTCCCCCATTGAGATGTTCACCGGCCCTTCACCTCGGTAACTCGGTGAACGACAACTTTATCGGATCCACTCACTGATAAGCTCAAACTTATCGATAACTGGGTATGGCCCGTGCATATCGGCTCCGGCAGTCCGCATTTGCCGACAATTCATGATCCCTGTCAAAAAAATTTGGACGACCGCGAAAAAACTCCCCGCCAACTCTGCAGTGTAGGCGACGTTCTGCATCCCCATCCTCTCCAGCTAGAACAAACAGACGTTCCACCACAACATCTGTAGTCATGGTCCCCTCAAAGACCTCCAAGGCCGTCGCCGTCGCATCGAAAGATGTCGCGCCCGCAATTGACCCCGAGCAGGTAAGAATTTACACCCCAATTCGCCACTGACAAAGCCCGTTCCGTTCTCTAATCGCAGAAAACAAAACACAGACCTTGAAGGCATCCAAGGCGCTGCTCGCCCACATCAAGAAGGCCGCGGCCTCCAAGACCGAGGAGTCCGGCAAGAAGAACCTCCTCGCCGACCCCGAAGACGACCTCGCCAGCTCCCCCGTCTGGCTGACCCTCACCACGAAGCGCCACATCGCCGACACCAACCGCCTCAAGCCCGGCAAGATCGTCCTCCCGCACCCGCTCAACACGGACGAGGAGTCCACGATATGCCTCATCACCGCCGACCCCCAGCGCGCCTACAAGAACATCATCGCCTCCGACGACTTCCCCGAGGCCCTGCGCAAGCGCATCACCCGCGTCGTCGACGTCGGCAAGCTCAAGGCCAAGTGGAAGCAGTACGAGGCCCAGCGCAAGCTCTACGCCGAGCACGACATCTTCCTCGCCGACGACCGCATCATCAACCGCCTGCCCAAGGCCCTCGGCAAGACCTTCTACAAGAGCACCACCAAGCGCCCCATCCCCGTCGTGCTCTCCCCCAAGCCCACCCGCATCGACGGCAAGCGCCAGAAGCCCGCCGAGAAGACCCAGGGCTCCGTCCGCGCCGGCACGCCGCAGGACATTGCCGCCGAGATCGAGAAGGCCATCGGCTGCGCGCTCGTCAGCCTGACGCCCTCGACCAACACGGCCATCCGCGTGGGCTACGCCGGCTTCACCGCCGCGCAGATCGCCGAGAACGTCGAGGCCGTCGTCAAGGCGCTCGTCGAGAAGTGGGTGCCGCAGAAGTGGGCCAACGTCAAGAGCATCTACGTCAAGGGCCAGGAGACGGCCGCCCTGCCCATCTGGCTGACGGACGAGCTCTGGTTCGAGGAGAAGGACATCGTCGCCGACGGCAGCGAGGAGGCCAAGGCCATCGCGGAGAAGGCCAACATTGGCAAGAAGCGCAAGTCGATCGAGGCCGCCCCCGAGGGAGAGGAGGAGGAGGAGAAGGAGACCAAGCCGACGACCAAGAAGGCCAAGAAGGCCGCCGCGCCCAAGGCCCTGCCCGAGGGCGACGACGCGAAGCTCGACAAGAAGATTGCTGTGGCGCAGAAGGAGAAGTTGAGGAAGCAGAAGGCCAAGGCCAAGGCTGCTCTGGACAACTAAGAACGTGCCATTTACATAAAAACGAAAAAGAGTCCACAAAAGGAGAGGGATTCCTGCGGGATTATACCATGCATGGTTCGAGGCGTACGGCGTTGGTTCAGACAAAAATAACCAGAGAGAGAACTTGTGTGTCAAGGGATTTATCAATCAGACCTAGTGTACAATTTGCCCCTTTTAACCAATACTCGCGCGCCATTAAACTATCCCATTTTTCGTACTGTGTTACCAATTACAACTCCTCAGAGACGAAGCTAGCCTTCTCGGAGCTGAAGCGCTTCTTGAAGGGTCCGAAAAACTCGGAAATGGTCTTGTTCAGGTTCTTCTGCGTCAGCTGCATGTGATCACCAGGCACCTGGCGGAAGCGGAGGGCTCCCTTGCGGTCAAGCTCCCTTAGGCCGATCCAGTCCTCCTTGTAAATCTGGCGGGCGCGCAGCGGCAGGCTCTCCGTGCCGTTGACCTCCTCGAACCAGGCCGTCTCCTTGGGGATGACGGTGGTGTCCTCCTCGAACATGACCATGACGAAGTTGGACAGGCCGGCGAGGTTCTTCTTGTACTGGACGTTCTTGAGCTCGCGCTCGTTGTTGATGTCGGCGAGGAAGTTGGACGACTCGAGATACTTCTCGTACTGGTCGGGGGCCGGGTCACGGTAGTACTGGGCGGGGACGAGGCGGTTCTGCACAAAGCTCGACCAGGTGTTGAAGCGCAAGAGCGCCATAGCGCCCTTGCACAGGAAGTCCGAGTCGCCGCAGGCCTTGAACTCGACGATGCCGTTGTGCTGGCTGCCGTAGGTCACGAGACTGCGGACGGGGGGCTTGTTGCAGCGCTCGACGTAGCCGCGGAGGAACTGGCCGCCCTGGCTGAAGCCGATGGCGTCGACGGCCGGCGCGGTGGAGAGGATCGGGTGCGCGGCGAGCTCCTCGCAGACCTGCTCCAGCTGGGTGGTGACATTGCCGAAGAAGGTGGCGGACCGGTCGCTGCTGGCGTCGGTGCCGACCTTGATATTGTAGACGAAGGTGCCCGGGTTGATTGCCTCCGCGAGCTCGCCGACCTGCTTGATGCCATCGCCGTCGTAGGAGTCGCCGAGGCCGTGCCAGATGATGAGAGGGATGGGGTGGTCAGGGTCGTCGTTGTTCTCGTCCGAGAGCGGCCTCTGGACGGCTGCGGAGTATGCGACAGCGGCAAGGGAGCCGGCCGTGAGAAGCCTGGCGATGGAAAGGGACTTCATCTTGGATGGCTCTGCTAAATGGGAATTATGATGATCAGTGCTAGGTTATGAATCCAACAGTCTGGTGTTGGTTGAAGCAATGGTGTTCCAGGTGCCTTTGCCAAAGGGAAGGTTGGACTGTGGCGAGGGAAGCTGACGACACGGCCAAGCAGGTTGCCTGTGACATTGGGGGAGCTCCCTCTGCTCCTCAGTTATCGCCCGGCCTAATCACTGGAGCTTCCCATTGGCCACGGACAGCGCCAAAGGTCTTGGAGATGATCCGAAAGGCCCGTCGCTCTTGGTCCTGCAGAATCTGGCCCGTGCACTGCTCAAGTCACGGGATTTTCTCGCTTAAAAGCGTTAGCGTCTCAGAGCTCCTACCCCAGTACTTCTGGAGCTTTCTTTAGCTCTGCTATCCTTTTCTCTCCTCGACCTCCAGTCAGACATCCGTCAAAGTCTTGGTTCGAATCCTCCGGCCGTGGCGGGATCTTCAAGCGCTGGCCTACTGCGAAGCTAGCCCAGCTCCCGGACGGATGTTGACGACGACGCTGACAATGACGGCGACGATTCGAGGGGACTCCATGTTCGACAAGCCCATGCTCCGGCGGGTAGATCCCACGTTGCAGAGGTTCCCTGCCGTCTGAAACGCTTCTCAGGGCACTTCCAAGATGGTCCCCTGTTTCAAACGGCGCTGACGACTGCTGGCACAGCTGGCACACGCCGAGGGTTGCATGACGAGGGAATGCGAGGCGGGCTGTGATGCGCACTCGTGGCTGGACAACTCTCTGACACTGATCGGCCGATCTTTGTGGGAAGGGCTTGGCTCGGACTGCGGACAGCGCATGTTCGGTCGGTTGTCACGGCGTCTTTTTCTGGCTGTGGCAGTGGCAGCGGTTCGCCCATAAGTATGGACGAGGCGCCGCTGCCATGGACGACATGAAACACCACCTCAGTTCGCCATCGAAGTTTCCCATCTCTCTGCAAAGTTGTTAGAAGAGTCTGATCTTCTTGTTTCCATCGTTCCTGCATTTGTTTGTTCTCTGCAGTCGTTTCCTCCCATCTCTCGCACGTTTTCCCTGCAGCCTTCCGACGACAGTCAAAATGCAGTTCTCCAAGGTTCTCTACGTCCTCTTCCCCGTGGCCGTCCTTGCGGCGCCGCTGCAGACTTTCAACATCCCGACCATGGACCCGAACACCGTCGCCCCCGAGGTCCCGGCCATCGGAAAACGCGTCCCTCAGGCGGAGGACACTTGCACCGATGAGTAGAAGGTTTTGGAAATGGGTGCCAGGCAGCGGAAAGCGAGCAGTATCGGAGAGTGATGTTGCCGTATGATGGTCTCGAGGATGTTGCTCGTGTTGCCTGGTGCTACGGAAGTGATTGTCAACACTCAAAAGGTACGTTTGGTTCTTATTTATCTTACCCTGCCCTCCCTGCCTCATCATGATGACTTGCATCCACTCAACAATGTTTCAAGACGGGATTGAGTATTCACCATGAAACTACGCAACACTCTGAGATGTTCTCTCAACACTTCATTGTCTTTGGACTCTTGTCTTAAGCACAATGCTAACTCTACTTACAGATATCTGGTTGACATGACGACATGCCTCGGCCTATGAGAGCTACTGCCTGGACAGAGGGCCCACGTCCCCATCGAGTGAGGCTTCAAAGTCCCCGCGTGAAGCCCTCGCCGAGCATTGTCTCATGAGGCAGCGAGGCACCTCTCCCTCTTTGTGGTCTTTAGCGAACGGTTGGATAAGGAAAGAGCAATGGCTGGAATGAAATCTTTGTACCTACTTTCGGAGCCCTCGTTGTTCCCAGGAAAAAAATAGACTCAGACACAAACATCTTCACCTCGATCTTGTTGTTGTTCTTTGCCCTCATCACACACAACGACTTTCGACTGGTCTATTCTGGACTTGGTCTACTATGTTCGAATCGTTGCAGTGTTCTCTTGCCTTCGCTTGCTCGACATTTCTGGTTCGAATCGACGCGCAGCTCCATCGCGAACGCCTCAGCTGTTTCGCCGACTTGCGATTGCGCCCAGCTCGCCACGCATCAAGACGACTTGTCAAGATTGCTTCCTCGTCGAGGTGTAGCCAAGGTAAGCTGATCCGAAATGAGCGGGCGCCATTGGATTTTTCTCCTGCCTGTGTTTTACTCCTGATACTCGGTGTCGATGCTGCTGGCGAGAGGTTCTTCGGAGCTTCGCAGACCCCTCGTTTTGGACGCTCGCGATGGCTTCACTTTTTGAGCGGCGCGCAGCCAAGAACTCCCCTCCATTCCCGATCACTGTCCTGTGTTACCAGCGGCGTCCTTCGTTTTCTCTGCTTCGTTATGTGGGCGATTCATGTGACGCGTTCCCCATGTTTTTGCTTTTACTTTTATTCTCTATGATTTTTTTTGTTTTTGAGGTCACTGTCCTGCATGGCATCTACTATCACCGATTTTTCATAGATCGTGACTATCGGCTTTGGCTTTCATTTCCGCCGTTCTTGTATTCATGCTAATACCGACCTACAGATGCCCAGAGGCCTTCTATCTGCCTGGTGCCAGAGATTCAACAACTATGAAGCACCCCTCGACCTCCTCGGTCCTCACAATGCCACCGAGACCCTAGACGCCTGGACCGCATCTGGTGTGGTCAGGGTCTTGGTGGGTGAGGACCGAACGGTGTTCCCGCCCCGTCTCCGTCTCCGGATTGTGGAGCATGACGACTGGCGCCTGTGGTCCGTGCAGACAAAACGGTTCAACTGGCACGTCGCTGACGCTGGCCCGCCGCCGCCGTTCATTACCCAGACCCTTGCCGCCGAGATTTACACGGGCGCGTTGCAGCACATCCATTACCGAGTCACGGACGCCACTCGGCAGCAGATCTCGCTCCTTCCCAGCAACGAGATCCTCGACCTTCCGTTGGACGGTGACGCTGTTTTTCACTGCGACTACTCTTTCCTTGGAGATCCGTACGACGTCGCACCCGTGCGCAGCTTTGCCGAGCTCGAAGAGAGTGAGGACGACGAGGACGACAAGCCTGAGGCCGACGCCGACGCCGACGACTTCGAGAACGAGAGCTCTGACACGAAGAAGGACGACAGCTCCAGCACCAAGCAGGACGAGAGCCAGGCCCAGTTCAGCGAGGGAAAGGGCGGTTACGATAGCGACAACGACATTGGCGACGCTGACGAGAGCGACCTCGACGAGAGCGGCAGTGTCTACGGTGACGAGGGTAGCAGCATTGACGTTGACGAGGACGTCGACCAGAACGAGGCTTGCGAGGAGAGCGCTGTCGATCACGAGAGCTGCCACGGCGAACACAACGACGCAGAGCCTTGCACCGACTCCTCCGAGGATCTCATCGAGTTCTCGAGCAGCAGCAACAGCTCCGACGACGACCCGTTCTACCTCGAGCGCCGCTACGCGACCGTCCTGATGGCTCCTTCCGGTCCCAAGGCCCAGCAGCAAGCTGCGGCTTCGAACAATGCCTCCACAAACAGCTCAACCCCGGCACCTGCCGCGGAGCCGCAGGTTCCCAAGGGACCTCACCCTGGCCACATCCAGGTGTCGTGCCAATACACGAGCGAGCAGCGCTTGCGCCGCATGCTGAGAGACAACAAGAGCGATCCGGCTAGGGAGGATAGCTACCGTCTCCAAGGAGTGCAGCTGATCGATAACGTCCGCAACGTGCTCCATGTGTACGTCGTCATACTGCTTCTTTTTGCCCGGTTCAAGGCTAACGTTTCACAGCCCAGTCAAGACGTTCGATACTGCATGCGTATACTACCACTGGTTCCGCCTCTCCTTCCGTGACGCCGAATACAATTATCAGGATGCTGCCATGGCCTCGCTCTTCCTCGCCTGCAAGGTTGAGGATACCATCAAGAAGTCAAAGGAGATTCTGTGCGCTGCGTACAACATTAAGAATCCGGATCATCCTACGACTCAAGATGACAAGGTACGCCGTTGGCTTACTACATCAGCGTAAGAGCTTGACTAACACATGGCAGATGTTCGAGCAGCCTTCCAAGATCGTCATCGGCTTGGAGCGCCTGATTCTCGAGACCGTCGGATTCGACTTCCGTTGCCGTTACCCTCAGGCCTCTCTCCAGAAGGTCACCAAGCAGATTATGGGCGCCGACGCCAAGGAAGTCTTTGCTATTGCTATGGAGATGAGCATCGACCTCTACAAGACCTTTGCTCCTATCAAGCAGCCTTCCTTCGCGATGGCTCTCGCCCTGCTCGAGCTCACCGCTCGCCTTCTTGGCACCGGCGTCGACAAAATCGAGAAGGTCGACCTCTCCGTCTACCATACCACCCGCCAGAACATCGTCGAGACCATGCTCGATCTCCTGGATCTCTACACCCAGCACCTCAAGTCCACCAAACTCGGCAACCGCTTCGACCTGAACAAGTTCATCGAGGTCAAGATCGTCATTAACAATGAGGTCGACAACGATGACAAGCTCGTTCGGTACGCGCACTGGTGCAACAACTGCGACGGCGGCGAGGACGAGAACCTCTCGAATGGCGTGTCCGTCCTCAAGAACATAAGCTTCTTTGGTAGCAACTCCGCTAAGCGCAATGGTCGCAATCAGGACGGCACCATGCGCTTCGTCTTCGATCCCGAACAGGCCCGCTGCGAGCGCCGCGAGGTCGAGCCCTACTTCAAGGACGAGTACGAGGACTACGAGGTCGAGGTCGAGGTGCCCATGGAGCCTGAGGGCAAGAACCACAATCACCGCGACATGAAGCGTGATGGTGGCTGGGGCGGTGGTCGTCGCAATCATCACCACGATCGTCGCAAGGGTCGCGGATACTACTGAGCCTGATTGTTTGCATTCTCTCTGGTGGTTCTACATTGAGCATAATTGGCTTCCGATATTGGCTCAACCCACAAACTAGCTACAGCATTTGGTACCATTGTACCAGGAGGAAAAGGACGTGGGAAGGGATTTTTGTCTGAGTTACAAGGCGTTTACGGAAGATACCCCGTGGGAAAGATTCGGGAAGATATTGCGTTATTCGGCGGTCGGTTCGGCCGCTTGTACATCTGTTGGACTACAATCATCCACAACGCTTGTGTAAGTAAAAATTGTAAGTAGAAAATCTCATTCTCTCAACGTCATGCTGCAATGCTATGCAAGTGTGCCCGATTTCAACGCCTCATCTCAGGCTTTCCTTCCAATCTTTCCGAAACTCTGACGTGGTTGAGTTGCGAAGATGTCGCCTCATTGTCGTTCAGCCTAACCCCTGAATTGAGGCGCCGGTGCAGCAGGTGTTTTCGGGGGTTTAACATGTCGTTGGTGGTAAATTTGACAACTGCGCCTGCGGAGGCGCCTATCGATGTGCCATTGAGGAGGCGCTGCCTGCATTGCTGCGGGTTAGTAAACCAGTTGAGAGGGGTCTGCGGCGCTCCGTCGGGTGGCCTCAACTCCTGGCCAACTGGCTTCTGACCTGTCTGTGTCACCCCAAGTTTCAACACGAATTTTTTTGTTCGATTTCTGAACGTGTCGGCCCATGATGGCTTGGTGGCTAGGCAGCCTCAGTAGGCAGATTCGTCCTCGTCCCAGAATCTAGCAGTCATTTGTCCACGTAGCGTTGCGTACGTGGATTGAACCCATACCGGCGTGGCCTCGTCAAAACGCATAGGAGCCTGATTCGCATTATGCGCCGCCTCATGTGGATGGCCATCTTAGATAATCCACTTCGAACCCCGGGGGAGACTCAGTATAAGACCCACGGCTAGCTTTGAATATCAGTCCAAACAAGATCATGTCCATCACTCTTCATTCCTTTGAGCTATACAGGATTCGATCATTACAGCAACAACCAATCTCAACCAACACCGCCTCAAAGGTCGCGGCTTACGGTGTGAAGACATCCTCTTGGGTCTGTCTTTGTATAACGATTCTCGCCAACTTTCGCAGCTATCTGCTAGAAGTCCTTGAACAGTGAAAGCGAGGTCATCGTCGTTCCGTGCTACATGATGGCACCGTCACTGTTGATTTTCTTTTTGCGAATGACAACGCAGTTTTGCTTCTCGGCCCCCCACTATCTTGACGGGAAAATAGGTTGACGACGTCTCATAGCACACTCGGTAAGAGCGTACGTAGGAGGATGGACGCAGTAGGAGCACTTCAGACCTGACTTCGTTCAGTGAGGGCATCTCAGTGTACGTAAACTTAATGATAACATAAAAACTGGACTTTCCCCCCATCTGAGAATTGGGTGATGCCTCGTGAATTCTTCGTCAACTATTAGGCCTCTTACTTTAACACCAGAGCAGGAAGCCTTGTGACTGATCCCGACCACGCGAAGCTAGTACTACCCATGGCTTACCCTTCCCATACCCAGTACGTCTCTCTCGCGATCCTACGCTTGGTCTCCAGACTTTCAGTTTATACCCAGACTTCACATGACATTGTGGTCTTTCCCTAACCCCTTCTCTTATCTTGTTAGACCTCTCCACCCGAACCGGTATCAGGCACCAGAGACTTCCTGGGTGCCTTCCCAGCTGCCCAACAACTACCACCTAACACAGTCGCACTTCTCTCACGATGCTTCCCATCGTTCTGGCTTTGACGCCCTCCCATCCCAGCCATGGTCTATGGACTCCTCAGACAACGCCGGTCTTGGATCATCACTGCTTCCAAATCATATCAATACTCCTCATATGAACGAGGCTAGTCACCCCGCGTGGGGAGATCACTTCTTCGGATGCTGTTATGGCTGTAGCGTGCCCCAAGGAGACGCTGATCTCACAAGCTCCCTCCTTCATAGTTCCACGCACAACAGCGAGCATTTCAGCAACGGCATCAATTCAACTCCCGGAATCCGTCCTCTCGACATCAACCACAACGACGTCAACATGTACGGCTTTCCCACCGACAGACAAAGAGCCTCGAGCGGTCATGATCCGAGAGCAATCAATTTCAATAGTAGTATTGATGGCTCTTTGACGTCTCAGCTTCCTCCTATCTCGCAAGTCAACCTCGCAAGCAGCGCATCAGGAGAGTACATGTCTAGATACTCCCAGACTGCGAGCTCACTTCAACGTGAAGGAGATCAGGCCTTCAATTCTCAGCTTTGGGAGACACAAATTCCCATTGACCCCGCGCTGCAGTATCGCGAAGAGAGTCTCATAACGTCTTGGCACTCCATCCCATCCCCCTTCACCATCGACATCCAAACAGCAAATTCGGCGTCTCGTTCGAACGACTCACTCCATTCGTTTGACACGTTTGAAGCTGGCTATATCAATGCTGTAAATCAGAACGGTATCGCAGATGGGTCATTTGAGGACGACAGCGACTCAAGCGTTGAGTCCGCACGACCACAGACGATGAATCGGTCTACGTCATCGGTCCTGGGAGATCATACCTGTCCTGTGTGCAAAGCCTTCACCGGAGGAGTGAAGCGTCTCAGGCACGTTTCCCCGACTACCAGATCAGAAATTCCCAAGCGCTAATAGCTTTTAGGGAGCATTTGAGATGTCATGAGCGAGACCATGTTTGCCCCTCGACCGACTGCGACCTGCGTTTCAGCTCCCTGAGAGATCGCGATCGACACTACAAATCTGTTCACCAAAAGGCTGTCCTGAAATGCCCGCGATGTTCGACGGTCATTAAGGGCGGCCGCGAAGATAATTTGCAAAGGCACATAAGATCCTTTCACTCGACTCATGCGCTACTTGCCCAAGATCTTGGGAAATGGTATCGCGCGGAAGTCATTGCAGCTTGAGTTGCTAGAGGACACTGGGTCATTTTCACGTCGATGTAGATTAGGGTCTATGCATGGTTTTTCTGGCAAGATCGATCTGTTTATCAGGGGCCTCTCGTTTACGGAAGATGCCCCTTGAGAAAGACAGGAATTCGTTTCGTTCGATAGCCAGCTTAGCCGTCGGAATAATTGTTGGGCTACTATCATTCACAACACTCATGTTGGTCAATACAAATGCTCTGGAAAGAAAATGCTTGATTTCATCAACCTTCACCCCACTGCAGGCGAGCCTTGCCTTCTGCGAAGTATCCATGCGTCTTGATCAGGACGGGTAAGTGGCCTTAAAGGCGAATGACTCTTGTCAGCTCCAACCCGCTTCACGCCGTGCCGATGAAGCCCCTCTGGAAATGCTTAAAAGGAGAAAGCCCTGTGGCTTTGCGGGTCATGCGCATCTGATTGTTTGCCATGGTCAAATCGTACGCTAAAACCGACACGTTCAAGCTTGGCATGTGTTCAACCAGCGAGAGTATCGAACATGTCGTTCCACGGCAACAAGAGCTCACGTACGGTGCTGATATCTTGGCAAATGCTGCAGGACCGCCCGGTGGCCTCGTCGAGATGGTTTCAATTCACACTATCAGCAACACGTCATGCCCGGCCCATTCAGATGGTAGATGAGATGCGCTGTGGCCTCTGGGGGTGGGGTGGGGAGGTGAACCATCGCGTGGTTCGCGCACCATAGTAGGCAGCCACTAAAATAGCCTGCGTCTTTCACTACTTATTACCACTTTTCCCTCCTCTTCCCTCATAGCAATAGCCATCCATCATCGACAGATTTGCTGGCCGAAATGTTGTCCGTTTGTGGTTACCCATTTAAAAGAGGCCGAGGGAATTCTTTTTGAATCCGTAAGTTTGGCCATTAATCCCCAGGAAATGAAAGTGCCTCTTTGACTTTACTCTTCTCGAATCATGGAAGAAAATCTCGTTGACTTCCTTGACATAGAACATGCTATCGGTTACCTTCACCTCCAAGCCCCATATCAAGGGCCAATACGTGTGTCACTCATCAACCACTGTCTCTTGTTGTTGGGCCAAGCCTCACGTATCTAACAATGTAAACAATATTAGTGCGACCTTTGACGATGCTTCGTATCCATCATCGACTATCCCTACAGAGGTTCCTTCTATTGCTTTGTTAGATAGTCCGGCAAATTGGACTAACGACCGGGTCTTCGAGCTTAGTATCGAAGAGTTCGATGATGCTATTGTCTCCGTTGGTACAGGGTCATTTGGGTTTCGGGAGCTTGGCAACACCGCGCTGTCGTCTGGCCTAAGCCCCAATGGCGTCAATAGCCTCCATGCAGACAGCGATGTCTGGTATGATCGCATCAGTGCCGCAGGGTGTCGCATTGGAAGTAGCTCTGCTCTGCAGGACACTCACTCCCTGACCTTTTCCAACCACAAAGGAGTGGCTGGAAATACTAGTCACTGCAGCTTCAACAACTTTACCGCTTTCAATAAGCTAAACACCCTCGACGAATCCGACAGCTTCTTTGATCCAAGGCTTGACCATGCTTCTTCTGCAGCAGCAGCCAAGTACGGGGCTTCAGGATTTGGTGATCTTCGGTTCTTGAGCGAACCAAATCAAACAAGCTTTAAATCGACGGAGTTCGGCTTTGAAGTCCCAAACGCTATCAGTCTCCTACAACATGAACACCAGCCGCTGGCCGCCAAGCTTCCTGGATCCACCGATGTGCCTTGTTCCACCTTGACTTTCGTCAACGAATACCAGCCCACGCCGAAGCCTTCTGGATCTCCCAGGAACTCTACTAACACTTACACCGTAGATTCTCGGGACGTATTCCAATGTATGCCTTCCAACGGTATAGCGACCGAGCCTGTGCATGACGAAAAATCTGTCGTACATCCCAAACGACGCGAACCCCGCTCTGGAACCAGACACTTCTCGGGCGATGAGACGTTTTCGTGCTCTGTGTGCACAACCTTCACTGGTGATGTTCCAAGCTTAATGTTTGTCGTGCCCATCCATTTTAGAATCACACAAAGTTAACGGACAATAGCGAGCACATGCGATGCCATCATCGTTCCCACGTCTGTAGAGTCCCGGGCTGTGTTCGCCGTTTCAGTACATCCCAAGACCTTATACGTCATACGAAATCGGCACATTCGAACACAATTTTGACTTGTCATGTCTGCTTCGCGGTCATCAAAGGCAACCGTGTGGACAACCTTAAGAGACATATCAGAAACCGGCATCCAGCCCAAGCCATGGCGCAGGCTTCCCCTTCTAATTACTCTTCATGGTCGAGTCCTGGAGATTACACTTCGATGTGAATCCTTCATTTCAAGGAATCGATGCATTCAAAATGAGGAGCGTTTGCAGTAGGTCTCTCCGATCTCCTGATATTACGCTATACTGATGTATTCATGCAGTGGATCTCAGGGTGAGACAAAAAGGATTATGTTCTGGGTCCCTCTGTATTTTTCTGGTTATAAATATTTGAGATACGAGTGGTTGCATAACGTCGCGAAATATTTCCACATGTGGCTGGCGGTGATGCCATGTCGCCTCAACGAAATACGCTCGATTCGGCTGGAATGACACCCCAAAGACCTTTCGTAAGACATAGAATGTCTGACACACACATCAGAGACGGGTCTAGGGGGCCGATTCAATTGCAACTTATGAACTTGTTTATTGTCACTTTGGTTTCAACCAGGCGTGATCACATCTAGAAGTGCACTTTGCAGCGCCACCAGAGCGGCTTGGCTGTCACGTTCAAATTCTTTCTAACGAATATGCAGCAATTCTACGTCGGATTGGATTTGCCTATGCTCGATATGCCACACATTTATCGGGGACGCGAGAAGCTTGAGGGCGGTTCTCTCGAGCGGTTAGATGAATTTCCAAGCAAACTGATCACACGACAGACAACATCTGCGCTATCACGAGAAGCCACTTTTGCAACCGGCCGATCGTCATGCTGGGGAAGAGATGGGCCACGATGAGGCTTGTCTAGATGCTTTCAAGAACCATTGGGGACCTTCAATTAGACAAGCTAGTCAGTCAAACAGTTTGCCCCTGTTTCAGGCCTTCAACTCGGCCTCGACGGTGGTAAAAGAGTAATTGATTTGGATTGAGCTGCAATGAATGGCTGCTATTCTCGCAAATCTCGCGGTTTTTTGCTTTAAGTTTTCAATTTGTATATATTGAGAGTCTATTAGACTTCAAATGAATTTTAAGGGAATTAGAATCTCAAATCAAGGTCCCTTTTCATGGACTGGCCACAACAGAGGCCTTGTACTTTGCGGGTGGCCCCGTGGAGAAGCTCGATTAGCTTGTTCTTCGGTCCCAAACTTGAACACTGTATGGCAACATGACGGTTGGAGGAGAACAGTGTCGCCTTGTAGAGTGTTGTCCCAGCTGGCGCACGACAATCAATGATCCTCATGCATGGCTTCTCTCAGAAACCGTTCGTATCTTTTCTGTCTATCTCGGAGCCTGATTTGTTGACTGACATCAGTGGGGTCGAAAGTCATGCGGAGGTGGCCTCTGGAGGCAACATGGCCAGCAGAATTGAGCTGTGATTCGTTCTACCCTGCATAATCAGGCGTGGCCTCAACAGCCTCATCTTGGCGTGCGTATGCCAGGTACTTCGCCGGTTTTGCTACGTGCTGTTCAAATACATCTTGTTTCCGGTAGCCAGCCTCAGCCTGTTTGCTACATTGCGCGAAAAAAAAAAGTATAAAAGGCTCCTCAACCTGTCGTTCTGTTTTACTGCCGATTGACATTCAACAGGCATTGTCCCATCGCCTTTGGGACATCTAGTCTCCTCTCGGGTTAGTTTCAAAGACCATGCAGCGACAAAATTTTGCTGACCATGGTCATCCTCAATAGCTTCCCCAACCAACAGCTTCCTCGGCGGGGGCTTCTAGAGTCCCCGCTTAGCACCACATCTCGACACAATGGAATAGTGCTCAAGCAGGATACGACCCAGAGGTCGGAGACCGGTACGATGACCTCTTTGAGGTACCAGGGAACTTGAATATCTCGCCAGTCTCCGATCCAGGATCGTCTCAAGCAGTTCACTATAGCGGAAGAACCGGTTTCTTTTGTCCAGGAGTTCATGTTGTTTTTTGCAATCTTGGATGTTGTTCTCCTTCTTTTCGTACTACTTGATCAGAACTTGAGCCAGTAGCCTCACTTCCTAGTTTCCCACTCCAACGCCAACTATGGGATTGCGAACTTCGTATTCACGACCGCCTATCTGGTGGTCTTGGTTACGATGATGATGGCCCAATGCCAAACCTCTTGAGCTCGTTCAATGGAGATTTGGCCAATCACTGTGGCTCTGCACCTGATCCCTCGGGCATGGGCGACTTCATTATCAATACGGCGTCTTTTCCCCCGGTCTCTGAGTCTCCTGATGCGGTTCCTGATGCGGCCGAGGACATGTCTGAGAATAAACGGACACGTCCAGAGCCCGATTGGATTCGATCATTTGATTTCAGCGTAATCGCCAAAATGGACTTTGCTCCCGTACCTGACGACCGAGACACAGACTCAATCTCGCCCAATCCCGTTGTCCCGAGGCAGAGCTTGGCCGCCCAAAGTCCAACGCCAACGGGCTGCACGTCTTATATTTGCTCAACATGCAGTCGACATTGCAAAAGCAGAAGAGATTTAAGGTTTGATATTCCCTCGATGCCGTCGTCTTCTGAATGCTGATTTTTATTAGGGAGCATAGCCGTTGTCACAATAAGTCTCATCAGTGCCCCGAGATAGGATGTGAGAAGACTTTTGCCACGCTCCGGGATCTTGGACGACACAAAAGTTCGAAGCACGAGGATGTCGCTCAGATATGCCCTCACTGTTCTAAGTCTTTCCGAGGCCATCGCACAGACAACTTGAAAAGACACATGCGATCTCTACACAAGAACGAGAAATAGCGGGAACCACAAACGATGGCAGCGGATATCTCTGCCCAGCTAGCTCACTTGGTGCTTTGACGGCACGAGTAAGAACGCTTCTTGCTCGTAGGCCATCTGCTCAGCGTCCTGGCTACAGCAAGGCAAGAGATTCTCGACGACAGCAGAATACATAAGTTGGGTGTGGATTGAAGGAGAACAACAGACATTTGGATTATTTGAGATGTGATGGGATATATCAGAAGGACTGGCGCTGATTGGAAGACGGTAAGCATGATAGCCGATGCACCTAACGACATTTATTCCGTCAGGAGGGGCTGTCATGCGCATTGTCTTCTTTTCCCTGGATCACGCCGTTTTGATGTAGCTTCTCACGTACTTAAAACGCAAATAAAAGAGAAATAAATAAAGAATCTTCCCCTTTGGAGAGCTTTCTGAAGTTACAGCTCGCTTACCGAAGCATTTGCACGGTGTTGGCGGTATCTAGAGTAGCTTCAGGCCAACGAACGGTTCCGTAGTGAAACCCTTAGTTGGTCTCATTTAAAGCTTTGATGGACAGTAGGCATTGACTGGTAGATACTTAGGGTAAGAACATCTGAGCATGCCTCAAACCACAGGCGCCTTCCACCCCGAGTTGCCAGGCAACCGCGCAAACCCTTATGGTCTTCCCAAAAAGGGTCTGCTGTCACCAAGATCCGTGGTCTAGCGGGGTTACTAGGCACTTTCAAGTGTGACCAAGACCGAACGTCCCGAGTCACGGGTCGGTGAGTTCGAATCTCACCGCCGGTTAGAAAATCGCAGCATCGGTACACCTGAGGTTGGTAAGAATCTCTTGCGAATTTTCATAGGCTCATTGGAGCTGAAATTTTTGATTTTTGCCACTTTTGGTTTTTGTCCTTGCAAGAAATTTGCTGTTGTCGGTCGCGCTTGATAAGAGCGTTGGGAAGCACGCGTGACGAGACGTTGTTAAGAGGAGGAAGGAACGAATTCAGGTGACCTTTTCGAGTCGAGGTGGGCTCGGTGAAGGTGGGGCGGCAGTCGCAGACCGAGCGCTAGCGCCAGCCATGTCTCCGATTTAATTTTTTTATCGTTATCGCCCCGCTAAAATTTCACTGCTCGTCCCCCAAAGACTCGATTTCTTTTTGCGCTGCCTTTCAGGGTCTGCTTGCTCTTCGTCACCTCAACGCCTCGACTTTTTCTTCGACTACCCCCTACTTACACGATCGCCTTTGTTGATCATAACGAGTTTGAATAGTCGTGAAAATTCGCAATGTCAGGCTTCCAGATCCCCGGCCTGGGGTTCGCGAAACCCAACGAGACTCTGCCTCCTCTGCCCCCCGACGTACTCGCCGCGGCCGCAAGCTTCGAGGGTGCCAACATCGAGGAGAACCACAAGCCTGCCGAGACCAAGACGGAGCAGAATGAAGACACAAAGATGGAAGAGACACCTGCCGAGGCAACGGAACCTATCGCAAGCGAACCTCAGCTTCCTCCCCATGTGGAGCGCTCAGAGACAAACGACTCCGACGCCATGAACATCGACGCCGCCGAGCCCCCTTCCCTCACCGACGCCCTGGAAGCCATGATCAACGGCCTCGACAAAACGCCCGCGGTACAGCCTGCCCCCACGACTGCCGCCTCAACAGAGCAGCCCACCAACACCGCCACTACAGAGCAAGAACCCGCCGCCGCCCCCGAGGGCCAAGAAGCCGAGCACCCCGAATGGGAAATCGACTCCTCCCCCTACGAATCCTCCTCCGAGTCCTCCAGCTCCGACTCCTCCTCAGACGACGACTCCGAGTCCGGCGAGGGCTACCAGCTCCTCGGCGTCGAGGAGACGGCGCGCATGCTCATGGAGATGGAGGGCGGCTCCGACGACGAGGGCGGGCCCGACGCCGCCGGTAAGGCTGGCGGCGGCGCGCACCTGCGCACCAAGAACGAGGTCGCCCCCGACGCGGTGCCCAAGCCCGACCTCACGCTCACGGCCGACGACAAGATCGAGGCGCTCGGCGCCGTCGACCAGGTCGTCGACAACATCATGGTCGTGCGCGCCTTCACGCCCGGCGAGTACCAGGTGCTCGACTCCGGGTCGGCGCTGTGCACGGAGGACCGGAAAGTGTTTGGCGCCGTGTGGGAGACGATCGGCAAGGTGCTGCAGCCGATGTACACCGTCATGTTCGGCAGCGCGGAGGAGATAAAGGACGCGGGGCTGGAGGTCGGCACGAAGGTGTACTACCCCGTGGCGCACGCGACGTTTGTCTTCACGGAGCCGTTGAAGAATCTCAAGGGGTCTGACGCGAGTAACATCCACGACGAGGAGGTGGCGGAGGACGAGATGGAGTTCTCGGACGACGAGAAGGAGGCGGAGCATAAGAGGCAGGCGAAGCAGAAGAAGAAGGACGCGAGGGCGAGGAACGGCGGCGGGGAGAGGCCCGCGAGAGGGGGCGGCGCGAGGGAGCCGCACCCGTTGCGGAACGAGGTCTCCGCGGGGCCGAGCGACGGCGGGCTGAACTACGACGACGAGGACGACGGGCCGTACAAGCCGCTCACGAGGCCGCCTGGGTTCGGGCAGGTGCCGCCCATGCAGCAGACGTTCAGCCAGGAGCCCGAGCCCGGCAGGTTTGGAGGGCGCAGAGGCGGACGGGGAGACTTTAGGGGACGTGGTGATAGGGGCAGAGGTCGTGGACGCGGCGGACGCGGCGGGTTCGGACAGCGCGAGGGCAGAGACGGGTACTCCATGCCGCAGCAACGGCACCAGGAGCAGCAATCACAGGGACAATGGGTCGGCAACAACAACAACTACCAGCAGCCTCAACAGCCGCAGCAGCAGTCTGCGCCGGCCCCCGCGGCACCGACCTTCAACTTCCCCTTCCCGGGCATGCCTCCTCAACCGGGCGGTCAAGGATTCCCTGCCGTTCCGCCGCCTCCGCCTGGTTGGCCGGCGCAGGGCGGACAGACGGGGCAGAATCCGGCGGCGGGAGCGTACATCAACCCTGCCTTCTTCGCGGCCCTGCTGGGACAGATGCAGCAGAACCAGGCGCAGAACGGTCAGCAAGCGCAGCAGCAGAACCAGCAGAACCAGCAGCAACCACCGCAACAGCCACCGCATCAATGGGGCGCGCAGCCTCCTCCGCGATGAAGCAGATAAGGAGAGGGAGGTCTAATTTGAGATCGGTGGCTGCATTGCCTCGCAGATGCCGATGCGCGATCTCATGCAGGGTACCCGGCGGTGCTGATGGTTTGGATGGAAGATAGCAGAACGTGGAAGCAGTCCTATCTGAATGTGTGAACGACGGTGACGCAGTCACCTGTTAGGACAATTGAAGGGATTACTGAAAGGCCGTCATGGCACGGATTATGGCGAATGAAGCCAGGGGGCATCAAAGTGTCGGGTGGCTTGGGTTAGCTGCCTGCTTGGCCCCTTCTGCTTGTCGGTCTAGACGAAATTCAAGCCAGGACCTTAAAAAAGCAATTGCATGTAATAATTAGACTTGAGACCGCAAACAATGCGAGACGAGACAGATTTCAGCCACGGACTAGAGAGGCAAGACACGAGTTATTTAAAGTTAAAAGCTCGTCAGGCCTGGTGATCCTGTTGCATCTCCGGTGAAGCTGGCAACGGTGCTGAACGCTTGCACCCATCGAGACTGACGCTGCAGAGATGCCATGTTCTGGACGATCATGAATGTTCTGGTGCAGGTGCGGGTGCATCTCAACTATCGAACGCCGGCAGCTGATGCAAGGGAGATTCGCTCAGGTCGGTCGGAGATCGTAGACGCGACAAACGGGCCAAGCTGCATACATAGGGCCGACGATCCCGAATTAGCGGTCGATATATCCAAATAGCCGGGCAGAAACATGATCGTCTGAGAACTGAGACGGCGACCCAGGCTCAAACTTGGTTGGTTGGGAACGTTTGTTTGTTTTCGTCATTTACCCAGAAATGAGTAAGATGAGGGCAGCGCAGATCTACGACGCTGAGCCCCAGGAGCTTGAACTTTGCATTTTGGCAATGTTGACCTCGGTCACGAATGCGACGGTGGCCCCGGTTGGAACGCGTGTTTGACGTGATTGCGGTGTCCACAGGCGCTCCCGCGTAAGGACGGAGGGCTCCATTGGCGAATGTCGTTGTTGACGTTGGTTGCCTGCCAAAACCATGCGCCGATGCGGTGTTTTTCATGCACCCGGGGGGGACAGGGTACGTCGACTTTAATCTTGCTCGTAGATTTTCTGTTCCCTCCCATTCCGCGTGTCGTGACATGGATCGCGGGCAAGGCTGGGTTCCATGTGCGGAGGAAGGCCGGAGGAGGCTTCATCTCGGTAGTGGTGGAGAATGGAACGGCTTGGCGGGAATTGGGAGTCTGTTGGCAGATCATGGCCCCCATCGCCCAATCTGCGATGAGGGGAACCACTGAACCAGACGGCTCGGGCGGAGGAGATGGCTGTTTCAGAAGGTTTCCCAGTGCGCTAGACGGCGCCGTTAACTCTTCCCCGGGAGATTTCCCCCGTCGCTTTCTTATTTCCCATCTTGTGTCGTCTCGGACAGCGGGAGTTTTGTGCGCTAGGTTCGGGCGGAAGAAGCAAGCACAACGCCATAAAAATCGGACGGTGAGCGATTTTGGTGATTGCTAGACGTGAGATAGGGTATGGATAGTGTCCGAGCATGCTCGAGAGCAGAAACTCAAGTCGGCAGAACGTGGCCTGACGACCTGTCTCGTATGAGAGATAAGCAGGGCGAGGCAGGCAGACGTCCTTGGATGCCCATTTTCGTCGCACTGGCTGCCGGACACTGACTGAGCTGATAGTCTGGGTGCAGATGCATCTTTGTCAGGCCTCCGACTCGAAGCAAAGACAGGCGGATCGAGAGGAAGAGGAGCTGGCTGCAAAGCACAGAAGATGTCATGCCATTTTGAAGGGCATGATTGCTTCTTGTCTCCTCCCCGGACCCTTTGGAAGGAATGGCGTTTCGGTGGTATTGTCGCTGTCTAGTGAGACATGTGTGTCTGATGACCGAACGGCGGCGGGGAGCTGTGGCTACCTCTCTAGAAGGCTGCGGGCCGAATGTCGAGATGATGATGGGCAGATTGAGCCTCACCAAGAACGCCGGCCTTTCCAAGCTGCGACTGGAGGGAGAATGCGATAATGACCGTAGTGATGACCTCGGACCAGGCTATTTTGATGCGATTTTGGGCTTTACTCTTTCAGTCGTAGACGGCCATGAGGTGGTGGCCTGCCCGAAGCTTGAGAAGCATAAGCAGCCTCCCGCTCTTCTCGAAGGAACCCAAAGAGGAGAGGGAGCATGTGGTCGGTTAGGCTAATGTCGCCCATTGGATGCCTATGAAGCAAGGAAAAAGGGGAGTCGGCGGTTGCAGTGAGTAGACGTCGCCGAGTCGTTGGCGACACCATCAAGTCAACCCCTCCAGAGGTCACAAGTGCGTGTGCCTGCATGGCCAGTTGGCCACAGGCAGTGGCACAGCATTCTGCGGACGCAGGTACGGCAGGATTGTGGCCCCTGGGCCCTGGTTGGTGATGACGAGAAGCAGGCGGCAGGAGAGTTGGGATTTGGGATTTGGGGGCTGCGGATTGGAGCTCGGGCCGGCCAAACGGTCTTTCCTGGTTGTGCACCGTGTGACGTGATTGGACCAACATCAGGCGAACCCTGAGCAAACAATTTCGTCTATCCTGTGGGATGCGCAGTGGAACCACAAGGCGAGGTGAGGGCCAATCAGACAGCACCTGTACCTGACAGGGTGGAGCTGAGGACCCCTGGCTAGCGCGGACCGTGCAGGGCGCTGATGAAGATGGGCGCCGGTGTGGATGGTTTTAGGCTTGGAGCAGGGCCGAGTTGCGGGAATTCGACGAGCCAGCGAGTTGTGCAAGTCTCTGGGGGCTCGGAGGGGGCAGAGGGGTGATCAGAACCGGCGATGATTGAATGCGACCGTACCGCTGGCATTGAGGGAGCCGGCGATGGCACAGGGTGCAATGGAAACCATGACACTATCGCGAAATGTTTGGTTTGTGCTTGTGCAGAGTTGTCATGTTCCCTGAAGGCGCAGGGAGATGCCCCAGAAACAGCCCAAAGGTGAAACGCTGACTCGGCGCGTGGCTTCGCGGATCAGATGCATTGTCGAATGGCCGTTGAATGCGCCGTTGCATTTTTTTTTTTTTAACCCAGCCGCAGTTGTTTGTTTGTTCCCATTGTTGAATTGTGCAAAATGTGATCCGAGCCCCCTAGCAGAAATCCAAAAGAGTGGCCTCCGTCGCCAAGGGACACCAGCGACGACCACTGCGACCCCCAGAAGCCGCTAACACGGCAAAAACTGCAGGCGACACAAGCCATGCCGTACCGCACGGCCGCGCTTTCCTGCAAGTGCCATCCCATTTCCATCGGTGAGCCAGCGGCAGGAACCAGCCTGAGTGCTGAGTGCAAGACAGGAAGTCGCAACTGCCTGAAGGTGGGTGGGCAGAAAAAAAAAAGAGACGACGCTGCTGGAGGGAAACAAGTGCCAGGAACGCGGCCAATGGGCGACTTGCTGCGCAGGGATCGTCGTCCAAAGTCACGACCAGTCACACCCGCCGACACCCCCGTCAACACGCACACACGCACTCGCTCCCACTCACATTGGGCTGTCATCCTTGTCTCTCCGTTCAACGTTGCTTGGGTCCTCGTCCACTCGTCCAGGATGCGCATGCACTGACTGCAACCTCGACTTCCCCGTCTCCTTCTTCTCGCGCCCTTTCCCACTTTCGTCCCTCTTCTTTCTGTCCGTCCCATCCCATCCCATCCCGTCCGAACTGCACTCACCGGGACTGTTCTCTCTGCCGCTGCCAGACGCAACCGCCAACAGGGTCGTCTTCTCTCGCAGCTTGCAAAGAGTGACTGGTGCAGATTCATCCATTCTTTCCCTCCACACGACGTCTTCCGTCTCGTCTGGATGACAACTCACTGTCATTAACACTGACTCTTGTGTGTGTTGTCCATCGCTTGTGAGCTGGTAGTGAGATCTTCAACCTTTCTCCCCTCATCCACCTCTCACATTACTCTCTTTCCCGGCCCAGCGCCGCTTTACATTCGTTCTCAAAAATCGCACACACCACACAAAACGGCACCACGTCCTCGAAACCAAAACAACAAAAATCTTCGAGACCGAGACACTCTCTCTCACAACCCGTCCACGACAGATCTGAGCACCGCGACTCCCTGGCTGGACCTGTTTACAGCCCGTTCATTCTTTTGACGATCACGATTCATCTGGCACACGTCGCCTAAGAGCATACCCATCATCAGCCTCTCCCGCCCACGCCAGTATTCCTCAGAGATATTCCAGATACCCCTCTGACCCACGAACCACGACATTCACGATTCGACTACCGAAACATTCCATCACCTTCATTCTTATCACGACGACTGCTGGCTGGGCCTATTGAATTACTTGACCTCGATCCACTCGGCCACGACACGACCTCAGCTTTACACAATGGCTCACCACCACCGTGCTGCTCACAGGCATCTGCCTCGCAATCCCGATTTCTGGAACGACGTTGGAAACAGTTTCAAGAACTTGAACCCTTTCGGTTCCGATGATGACGACAGTGAAACCACTACCAAGAATGGAGGTAATGACAAAATCAAGCGTCAAGACGATGACGATGACACGACTACTACGCGCCGGGCTAACAGGCAAGGTCGTTCAACTGTTGTTCGTACCATCTACCAGACCGTCACCGACGGCGCCGTCGCTGCCTCAAGCACCTCTACGAAGCTCATCGTCGCGCCCTCTGCCCTTCCCACCCGCTCCAAGTCTACTACCACCACAGCCGACTCGGGCACTACCATCCAAAGAGCCGGCGGCGCCATCCTCGTGACCCCCGATGCCTCGTCCTCTACTGCCACAAGCGATTCTGCCACGAGCACTCTCCCCTCTGCCATCGAGGAGTCCGTCACCGAGAGCATCCCCTCGACTCTGGCCATTGCGACTGACGCGCCCACTCTTGCCCGCTCGACCAGATCCGCAGCCACCGCCAACGAAATTACCGCCGTGTCCAGTGCTTCTGCAACTTCCACCGCCATCAGCGACAAGTCTGCCAGTGAGCCTAGTGGTGCCGCAAAGGCTGGTATTGCCATTGGCGTTTTGGCTG